TTGCAGGGTAGAAGATGATAACTGAAACATCTTAGTTTTGCCTATGTTTGTACTGACATCAGTTCAATTTGTAGAGGAAGGTTGGGTGCCTACTCTCCCTACAAAGTTGGCCTGTCACATCACGCACCATCACATCAAATCTAACTGTGCACTTTTTACAATCCTGTAAAAGGTTTACTTCCCATGTCAAGCATCCTTATGTCTTTCCTAACTTCTGTACTTGGTACGTCATACAAATTTGTACAACCTTCTTCTGTGCACCCTCACATCACTCTCCAATTTCATACGTTGCACACCCTCACCCTTCCGCTTGTTAGCTTGCCTATTACGACATACCCATTACGTTGAGTTTACTCATAGGATTATTGTAAAAGAATAATTCAAGGTTCTAACTTGTAAAAAGCTATTCAGTAAAGCTGGAATTTGTCCTTTACCAAAGGTCCAACTTGTTGAACAAAGCAGGGTCATTTTTATGCTGGCTCATGAGTTTCGCTTGGAATTGTGGGAGTAGTACACACACGTGTAACAAGCTTGGTCACGTACACACAGTCTTTAATTATGCTGCGTCACTGAGGCTTTTGTCTCAGAATACTCACTTAGAAATGTAGATACATGTACAATCCAACTTAGTTTGCCCCTTCATCTTTATTTATATGGCTTTAGTCACATGAAGGAAGATTCATAATGGGCGTCAAAAACTAATGCACTGCAAGGACCGTTAAGACTTTCCAAGACTAAGACACATTTTATTTATCTTCTTATCAAGTTTCAGGGTTTTTTTATTTCTAAAAAGAAAATGAACTTACCATGGGTACATGTATGCAAGGTGACTTGTCTGATGCTCAGCTTCTCATACCTCTGATGTAAGGTGTGGACTGACTTCTTATATATAGTTGCTGGTCTCGTGATGCCAGGTCCTCAGGCTTCTGTTTGAACAATTTCAAATCCAACCAATCCTCTCCCTTTTGACTTTGTACCTCAAACTTTGATGTGTAATTTTTGGCCAGGGTACTAATGGACTTTGAGTTGTTTTTCACAGTTGTAAGAATAAAGGGCAATACCAATCAGATAAGAATTAACTGTTACATAGTAACATAGAAATTTTCATGGTCAGCATCATCTGAAATTAGAACTGAAAATTAAGACCATGTGAACTTTTATTGAATAAGACTTAGTATAGATCTTGCAGTACTACCACTGTCACATTTTGAGAACTATTAAGTCCAGATTTTGCCACCCCTCTGTTTAAAGATGATCAAATTCCAGTCATGAATTGTTTCATTACCTTTAATAAAAGGATAAGGCATAGTGTGAAATTATTACACTTGCCAGTTTTGTTGTTTTTGACAAGCTGCCTGCTGCATAACAATTACACTCATAATATCAAAGCCTAAAACCAACATATTTGCAATATAACTACTGTACAGCAAAGAGCTTACTATATAATAAGTGCATGCAATACCTACAATTTCCACTGGAAACACTCAGGGTACTTAAATGAATAATGGGCAATCTTCACCTTCACCTTCAAATTTTTGTATATATGGAAGCCATTGTCATAACAGCAGAAGATCCCATTATGATTAAGATAAAACAAAAATTTCACATGGTCCAAAACACATGTATTGAACATTATCACAGCTCAGGTATGACATAAAATCGTTTAATCAGCTATACATTTTCCTCATGACAGAGCCTCAACAGACACTGTGGTTGACCGGTTGACCTACTCTGCCTACATGACCACAGCACGCTCCCTGTTTGAGAGGGACAAGCTTCTGTTTGCTCTGCTGGTGTCCATGGAGGTAAGGACAATATAAAATACATTGTACAATGTTGCATGACATGTTTTAGCCTCAAGTCTATTATTTGTAGATTGGAAGCTACCTTTCACATAATTCTGCTGGATCACATAGATTGCGTTATATACTGCCACCATGAAAAAACATGTCTAAAGACAATGCATTGTCGCCCAGTGTTAAGTACCCCAGCATGTCTAATAAACCGTGCATATCTGGGGGAGGGGAGTGCAGCCCTAGTGATCTCTCAAACACACCTGAATTTTGAAGTGGTAGGTATATGTACCCTTGGTAGATATCTGTTAAATGGAGTTAAAACAATTAAAGTGCTGTTGGCAGAAATAATTACTGATTATAGCATCAAAATCTTTCTTTTGAAGAATCATAGGTCATTTCATGCGTCTCTTAAAAAGCATGTGTTCATTAGCACTAAAAACCTGTCAGTCACATCGTTGTCTTTATTCAATCCTTGTTTCACTTCTTCCCCAGCTTGAGGACTCAGAAGGCAGACTGGGGCCAGGTGAGAGGGAGTTCATCATATCTCCGACCTTCGCTTCAACTGTCATGTCTACCATGGGGTATGGGGTCGGCTCTGATGCACGTGCTAATGCCAGGAAGCCATTTGATTGGATGTTGGATGACCAATACCATAACCTTCAAGTACGTGAAGCACTCTTATAATAATCATTGTCTGCAATGTAATTGAGTACTTAGTAGCATCATATGTAATTTAAATAAGACTTTAGTGCATTGAAATACTATGTGGGAGGGGGGTGACCTTGAAATTCAGTACATGTATGTCTACAGTGTGATTTCTTGCATTTTGCTTGTTTTTTGTAGATATTGAAAATGTATTTTTTTCCTGAATGTAGGTTTTGGCAGTATACTACCAGTGGTTCCAAGACGCCTTTGACAAACTACCAAAAGACGGTCGTGAGATGCCGTGGCGAACGCTCTGTGAGAACGACAAGCCAGAACTGGCCGCCCTGCCAGACAAGATGGACGACTACTACACCCCCATGCAGCGCTACTGTGTCATTCGGGCCTTACGGAGCGATCGCATCATGCATGCCAGCTCCAACTTTGTGTCCAAGGTTTTGGGTAAAAAGTGAGTACCGTATATCCAACATCTGCAAAATGGATGAAACAACAGAAAACCTGTATAGCATCAACTCAGTTTAAACCATTCCTGGGCCAATTCTTACTGCAGGAATTCATTTAAAATTCCATTCAGCTTAGACATGAAATAGTTTATTTTTTTACCATAGAGAGGAACTTTCAAACCTGTCCTGTCCTTGGTGCTGAATTCCTGGTTTCCCGCTGAATCTCTCACTGTTGGGCTAATGGATCCTCTTCCCTGAGAGCTTGTAGACAGATGCCCATTACTATAGAGAACCATTCCCATTCATAGAACTACCAATTCGAGCTCAGAATTCTTTGTCACAATAAAAATCAGTCCAATAGGAGTTTGGGGCTCTCTCTCACAATGGAAACCAGTCATTACGGTGTTGTGACTTTCTAAACAATCAACCTTTTTAAAACAGGTATGCAGGGGAGATCCCACTAGACCTGCCAGGTGTGCTGAGACAGTCCACCCCGCAGACTCCCATCATCCTGCTCTACACCTCGGAGAGTGACCTGGCTGAGACACTGTTTACGGAGTTCGCCGCCAAGAAGCAGGAGGCGTGCCAGGTGGTGTACCTCAGCAGTGGCAGTCCGCAGGAGGAGAGGAGGGTCCGCAGGGCCATGGCAAAGGCTGCAGAAGAGGTACAAGCTAAATAATCTGTTGCATTTTTGGCGACACCTTCGGGGCAGAGCCTTTTCTTCTTGTCTGCTATTTTTTTCTTCTCGTTTCATTTTGTTGTTACTTCATTGCCAAGGAAGAAAACTATGACAATTGTTTTGGATAAAACAATTGAAGTACTGTCTGAGCTTTATGTAAATACTGCCTTGAGCTAACATCATAATTCATATTATCATATAGCCAGGCAACGTCAACCTATGAGAAGCCTCCATTTCCCATTGGTTATCAGGCTGTAACATCATAAGTGGTGAATAATGAAAAAAGTGGTCAGTTATTATCACTTTTAATTAGAATAAGCAACCACTTAAAATGTTATTGCACCTCACCAGGGATTATCTCCACTATCTCAACATATACACCTCGGGGCAGGGCATTAACCCTTTATCGGATTGTATTATCATTGTGAGACTCAGTGTAATATTTTTGTCACTTATCCAGGGTCACTGGTTGCTGCTACACAATGCTCACAATGCCCTGCACTTCCTGCAAACCCTGGACACCACCCTGCAGGAGAAGAAGCTGCTGGCTGACTCCAACTTCCGCCTGTGGGTGTCGGCCCAGCCCCACCCCAAACTCCCCATCCACCTGCTGCAACATGCCATCAAAGTAGTGGTGGACACTCCCATGGTGAGAACTGTTGTATATTTGGTTTGCTATCTCTGGTTTTGTTTTTGGTGAGTCTGTCTGTGTGTTTGGTTGTGTTATTTGTAGTTATTTACACATGATAGACACAAAAGTTAGGTCAAAGGTTCCAAAAATGTTAATCTCATATCCCATCACTTTTCTACTGTGTGCATGTCTGTTGCCTAATTGGAGCCAATAGGAGATGCATATTAGACAGAAGTAAAAATGTAGTTGCATTGAAAAGCTAGCAATCTTATTGGTAAGAATGTGAAAATAAAACTTCATCATTATGAGAGAAGTCTTAAATCTACATGAATCTACACAATATACTTAATGCTTTATCATTTCCACAGATGATGAGGGACCACATGGTGAGGTCCATGCAGTGGATAGAGCCGGAGACTCTGAAGACCAGCACGCGGCCTGAGTGGCCTGCCGTCCTACATAACCTGTTCATGGTGCACGGAGCTCTGCGCCTCAGGGCCAGGTTTGGCAGGGGAGGCTGGAACAGGCCTGGGGACATGATCTTTGGCAACAATGAACTGCAGGTACGTTCATTACCTTGTGTATCTTTAAATAACACATGATGTTTTAAATATATCAAGTAAGGCAGCCATTTTGTATTTTGATTATAACAATTATGAAATAAATTTTCAAAATGCACGTTCTAATCTTGTACTACATGACACCTATGTATATCTATCTGGAGCACCAAACCCTAGAAGCAAATACTTGCTTTTGTGATATTGAAGTTGTGTTGTATTGTATTTCAGGAGGGCCTGAGGCTGGTGTTAGATGAGTTCAGTGACACCACTTCCACTGACATGCCTGGTACACCTGGGAAAGGCATCGCATGGACCGCACTCAGATATATGCTGACAGAGGTATGGGTGTCCTTTATGATTGTGCACTTATGAGTCACAAAATAGTATAGATGAGCACTAGGATGAGCACCATAAATCCATGATAGTGACCATCAAAATATCATAAAGTCTCAATGTGTTCAAAGCACAATGTCATCTTAAAACATATATCCTGCATTTAAAATACCAATTGTTTAGTTTATCTCATAGTAGCAGGAAATGATAGATAGTTGCTGTCAATCATCCCTGGATTGGTTTTCTAACGAGTTTTCTTGTTTCCCAGGTAATCTACGGCAGCTATGTGAGTGATGAGTATGACCAGCAGACCCTGTCAGCCATGGTGGACTACTGGATGGGACCCAATGCCATGAAGAAGGAGTTTGAAGTCCCCAGATGTGAGTTGTACACAAATCTTATCACAAGCAAACAATAAACAATAGATAGCTGCAATACCTGAATAATCAATGGCGGTGTGCACTAATTTGTTTTGATCGAATAACTAGTATGTGCATAATTTGTATTCTACCCACAGTGAAACACAAGATCCCTGCTGCCTTCTTTGCCAACTACATCCGGTACAACTCCCTGGTGCAGGCTCTGGAACAGATCCCTAACTTCTTCCTGGATGTGCCTGAAGCCTGTAACATGCACTCATTCACTGAGGTATGGGATTGAGCATTTCAAACACAATTTCAGAGTATTGCATTTTACCCACAAGAATATGATGACATATAAAATATAACATATTGTAACCAGTGGAAAATAGAAACCTGCTACTGTAATGATATTACTTATCTAGAACATACGTACATCTGAAGCTTACATGTACCTCATTTTTAGGTTTTTTTATAATGATCAGATTTCAACAGTCTAATGTTGTGACACAATTTCTCTGGGTTTTGTACAGACCCTACTGGGAGATGACCAGTACATCTTCACCAGACTCAACAGTGTGTACGACATCATGCCATCCTCCCCCACCCTCAGTCATGTGGTATCTCCCAGACCCCCCACTCCATATGCAGGTATGTGGTACAGTCCAACATCTCTGACTTCTTCTTTTCCTCAGTCCATCATTTTGCCAAAAATTATCTTCTTTTTCCAATTATCATTATAAGGCTTAGTCTATATAGTGACCATTACTACATTGTAACAGAGACTAGTTAAATTAAATATATATCATATTATATACATCACACTTTTCACACCATCCCCCACCTCTCACCCAGGTCCCCCCCTGACGACTATCAGTGCGACCAGTAGCCTCCCCCTGGTGGTGAATCGGGGGGTGTTTGCCACCCAGACTTACGCTGCACTGAAGAACAGGAAGGAACAGGAGTTGTACGAACTCTCCACCACTCTGCTCACTAAAGTACCCAGGGCATGGGGAAAGGTTGGTGTGAAATCATTCTTTTCTGAAAAAATAATCATTGAAAATACATGTAGTCTTTTTGAAACGAAAATTGCATGGCACATGCTGGCTTTGGAATGCATTATTCATTCTATCATTAATTATTAAACTGGTAACATTACATTATGGGCTGCAACAGGTGTCAATTTGAAAGTATTTTTTAAACTTTACAGCAGCATGGCTTGACAACTACATGACATTGTGTAATGATTGGACTGTCTACTGTGTTTCAGGAGTACATCGCTGACCGTATCAAGAAACTGGGAGGAGCCACAGCCTTTAATGTGTTCATCCAGAGAGAGGTTGAAGCACTGATGAAGCTCATTGGTGAAGTTCGCAGGTCACTCAATGTAAGTAACTGTTACACTGATATTTAAAAGAGACAATGGCCAAGTTGTGTTCACCTCATCTAACAGAATAGTAATGTTGCCAATGTCAGATTTCATTTTATATTCATGCCAGATTTATTTGTAATGTGGATTTTTGCAAAAAGCAATTGAAAAGACATTCAAGGACTTAGTTGGCAGGATGAACAATTTTCTGACAATTTTATGCAATATTAGCCCAGTTACAACCTGTTTGATAATTCTTGTGGCTGTTGTTTTTTCCCTTTCCTTCATGCCATAGGTCTTAACTGGTTGGTAAGTCTGTACTACGGTGTAGATTGTGTGACACATACTTTTTTGCACATCCTGCATTGACACCTACAGTGTTTCATTAACCAGAATTTCATTGATTGAGAGTGGCACACGTAAGTTTCAATTCTAAGTGTTATAAGGTGCACTCATTGCTCAACCTCTCTGCCGCAAAATCTAGGTAGTGCACTGACAATCAAATATACTCAGAGTTTGTTTTTTCTGGTCAGCAATGCACTGCCTGTGTGAGCCCACTGTGAACTTTATAAGCCCCTGTCAGGCTTTAAACAATGCATCATTGACAGAATCACTCAGGGGAGAAAATTTTTGTGTAAGCAAAGAATATTTCCTTTCAAATTTAAAACAGCATGTTTTACCTTTTTTGAATCTTCAGGCCATCAAGTCAGCAGCTGACACAGTTGAAGGCCTCCCCCTGGGTGACCAGTTGTCGAAGGATTACCTGACAGTTGCGGATGACCTGTACCACTACCGTACGCCGGAGCTGTGGTGTCGTCTGGGCGGGGATGCCGTCCCACCGCCAACATGGAACCCTGCACAGTGGCTGACTGACCTCACCAACAGACACGCTCACTTTGAGAAGCTCTTGTCTCAGGTAAGATAGACAGATGTCAATCATTAGTTTAAAACTTACACAATATGTATCTTTGAAGAATTTAGCCAAAGAGCTCCATCATACATGTATCACAATGTTTTCAAAGATGCTGAAATATAGCTACTACAATGTAGGTACGCCAAAAAGCAGTTACTCAAGCAAAGCAACTGGATATGATTTTGGAAATGGTCGTTATAGCTACTAGGAAATTATGTCGCAAAAGATAGATTTTGAGAATAATTAAAGCTACCATAACATTAACTGCAGTTACATAAGCCAAGATTTTAGACTTTTCCAGAAATTGAGGTACCAAGTAGGGCATACATTGTACATGAACTTTCACATTATTACAGTAACTGTTTTTTAAACGATATGGTTCCATGTTGGAAATCTTTAACTCCCTTTGAATAATTTACAGGGGAGAGAGAAGTTCCCTGCTTACTGGCCAGGAGCGTTTTTCCAGCCTCGTGCCCTGTTTGGGCTGCTCAAGTCTGAGTCAGTCAAGAACTTCACAGACAAGTATGGATATGTGGAGCCTCTCATGTTCCAGACTGAGATCACAGCAAGGGACAAGGACCATGTAAGTGGTACCAAACATGAAAATAGCTGTATATGATATTAATGATACTTTTGATGATGTATGCACCTCATAGTGATTCACAAGAGTACTTGATAATACACATTAGAACTAGAAAGGCCAATATTTGCTTTGGAGCAAATACAGCGATGGGTTCACCACATTTTATGACATGGCAGGGAAAGAATGAGAAACACAAGGGAAAACAATGATTTACATTGATATAACTATAATATGAAGTAACTTACAACTAAAACAACAGTTGGATAGCTATTCCCTACTTTATTGGTTAGGATTTTTAATTGCATAATGCAAACTGTTGATTTTCAAAAAAAAAAAAAAACGTTCATGCCCCGCATTCCAATGCTGGAGCAGAAAAGCTTGAAATACCTACCAAAACACTTGAATAAAGACATACTGTCAGTATGGAAATGCTCTGTGCAGGTGTTAATCAAGTTAAATCCCAACAGCCAATCAGCAAGAAATGCTCTGTGCAGGTGGAAATGCTCTGTGCAGGTGTTAATCAAGTTAAATCCCAACAGCCAATCAGCAAGAAGTATAGAGGAAAGCTGCATGCCTATTGGTTGATGCCCTGCATTCCATTGTGATGACTCATGCCCAGACGTGGTAAACAAGGCACACTAACACAGTAATACATTTGCTATAACACAGCCAAAAAACTCAAATAAAACCATTCTAAAAGCCTGTATCACAAAAATTTAAAAAAACGCCTAGGGGTATTTGCCCACTGTACCTCCATACCAAATTTCAGGACCTTAGGCCCTAAAATGAAGAAGCTGAATCCATTTAAAGATATGGCAGGAGGAGGAGGAGAAGGAGGAGGAGAAGAAACATCAGAAAAAGCAATATGGGTTCACCACCACTTCGTGGTGTGGTGAACCCATAATTAGATCCTGACAGCATTAACTTGTATATTACCAAAAATGGTTTTAAAGCTCAACATAAACTCACAGAAAGTAAGAATTGTGGGCTAAAGGTTTACAGATATACAGTTGCATTTGCCCATAAATACATGCTCCTATAATTTTGTCTTTAAATTAGACTCATAGATAATATTTTCTTCTTTCACTCTTAGCTGAGAGATCCTCCCAACGAGGGCATGTTTGTATTTGGGCTGTACCTGTGGGGTTGTACATGGGAGAAGACCACCAGTGAGCTCCTGGACACGCCGCCCAAGTCCGGCCCCTCCACCCTCCCCGTCATCCACGTCACGTGTGTCCCGCAGTCCGACAAACTCACCGACCCCGTCAAGGCCGCGGAGACGTACCAGTGCCCGTGCTACATCTCCCGTACCAACTGCAGGGAGCCAGTTCTCACGCTGGACGTGCGTCATGATGGCATCACTGCTACTCGTTGGTCTCTGCGGGGGCTGGCGGGAACGCTCAGACCTTTCTAGCGCCCCCTATCTGAGGCTGTATGCTAATGCAGAGCAACGTGGCAGTTTTGTCAATATAATGCACTTCCAGCATGGGAACGCAAAGATTGTAAACATTCAAAATTTACACCTGTAACATTACAAGCTTTCTCTACTGAACAACAACGGAGAGTAATATTATTAACAAAGAGAATTGTCAGAAACAGTTGTTAACAGTCTAGTAAGTTTTGTTTGAAGAGATTTTAATCCTAAGCTCTTGCTTCATGCATATACTTTATGTATTACACATGATTGCATAATGTGCTATTAACATAAACCTGAAATTTTTAAGGAACAAGCTTTAAACAGACTTTGAGTGTTTGGAACCCTTCTTTGTGTCAAGTTAGTATCATATAATTTTGCTGAGAGTTACAGCAATATGTATGCTGCTAGTGTTGTAGCCTGACTAAATCGCGCTCCTGGCGGCCAGCCGAGAGCTTGTATACACAGGCTACTAGTGTTGTACAGTTAAAGACAATCAGATCTTACACTTTGACAATTTAACTGCCAAATGATTTCAGAAAAGATATTTTCTGCAAGCCAAAGTTACAATAAAAGTTCTATGCACTGAGCTATATCCGTCCTGGTAAACGTACAATCATTATATTACATGACTGTTCTTTTCCGTCCTCAATGCCTAGTTTAGCTAATCCGTCCTATTCTTGACATACCACTTTCAAACCCAGCCAAAGTTATTAGCAGTAACTGTTCATCCGTCCTATGAGATTTGTACCTTTTAAGTTAATGCTTCCATCCAAGATATGGTAGAAACTTTGTACAAGCTGTATCAACATTCAAGTGAAATGTGTATGATATATATTTGCATATTCAAGACTAGTAAAAATTTGCATAATTGTAACTTTCGAGATTATAGTGATAACTGTTGAGTGTTACTGCCCATTGCATTTTGTATCGTACATTTCATTATTATTATGATTTTTGTGGTGTATTGACTATGCAATGGCAGTATGTTTAATGAGATTAATCTGTTCGTATTGCATGCATTTATGGGCTTTATAGTGTGTATAATATTGATTTGGAAGTTTGTATATGTTGGTGTTCAGAATTTCTTAGAAAGTTTTACATCAGGAATGCTTTGTTTTTGCAATGGGCTGCTAGAATACTACATTTTTGTAAAGGTAAATTTTGTTATAAGGCTTATGTTAATGTGACAGTTGAAATTAAAATGTATGAGGTTATTGAGAAACGTCCGGTTTATTTTCTTTTTTTTAATACAATGATGTATTTCTTGCTCTACTTCTCAGTTTTTCCTGTGATATTAACCTTCTTTCTGTTGCCTAACTTGTAAAGTTGAAATGCATTGTCTGCTTATTACCAAACATTAGTTATCATTTGCCATCAACTATTATACTGACTTGTACTTGTTAAGGTCTTATCATCTTCTCATGAGTAGCCAGTGTCATTGAGTATATAGTAACCATTCACTATATGATGTTCCACAGTAAAATAGCACATTGTTGTGTATTATCTCTGATTTTCTGTGAGCGCCATAGGATTCATGCAGACTTTTTACTGTTGGCATGATTGTGTTGTACCAGCTGTTTTGCAAATTCTTCTTTTAGGATGGGTTGTCCCTGCCACACGTGACCCAAACGTCATTTTGGTACGTACACATACCTTCTGTGTATCACGCCCATAGTTAAATGTGAAATTTGAAGTCTTTCATAAACATTGGTAAAAACTATAATAGTAAAGCTTAAACATGTAAAGTAAAGCGTATTTTACAGTACGTTGAAGTTATCGATTGGTGTCAAGTGCCAAGTATTGTCTTGGATATTATAACATATAATTAAATTGTATTCGATTGATAATTTTTAAATTTGGAGGGCATGGAGTACTAGTATATTATGGTTTCATCATTCATTAGAAGTAAAATCTATAACTTGGAAAAAAACAATTTATATCTTTTTATATTTTATCTGCACCAATACAGTTGATGCTCTTTCACGAAGATAAAGTAAAGGAAGACGGTCACCATAGACTGAACTTTTAAGGTTGGTATGAAATCCATATCAGTTATGTCCAAAAAAATTATATTTTCTCGCCACAACGCTGCCCGCTGGTCCAGTACATGCATATTTCCCATACGCACCATTACAGGCATTTTTCATCCCCAGTTACAACATAGTCACAGTGACACGTGTTTGAAACGTCGACGCGTCAGCTGCCACTTGTCATGAGTTGTCTGTTTCTTTCAACGGATTTTCGCGTTATCAGCCTCTATACGTAAGATGTATGTATTTATATCCCTATGGTTTATACATACAACCGCCAGGAATAAGTTCCTAATCTAACATAGCAAAGTAGACATGACAAAGTAACATGAACTTTATAATTACGCTGTATACACGAACACAAAACTTAAATTTGATTAGTAATACGTAAGCTTTGCAAGGTATCATACTCTATTTTTGTTCATGGTTTACAACTTTTCTATGATTTCCAATTGCAGTCATAATGCAATTTTGCTGTTGCTATATTCACATCTAAGGGCATCGTTATGCAGTATACATGTAGCAAACCTGCGATTTTTAGCATTACAAAGTTATTATGTAACATTGATTGCAAGGGATTTTAACGCTGTTATACAGTCATGTAACATCGTTTTGGCCAAATGTACAATGTAGTCTGTAGAAGATGATGAGGACTAAATTATAACATTTGATACACGAACTGAAACTTCCTGATATGCACCTGTTTAAGCCTCGGATATATGTTCATGACAGACATCTTACTTCTTACGTGACCTTATTGCCTTCAGAACGCACTTGGTGTTCACATTGTAAACATATCCCGTCTGCACATGTACACGTCATGTGTGCCTGACATGTCACATATGTCACCGGCCGAACCCCTGCGGAGCCGGGGCACTCATCCCGTCCAAACAGACCTCCTGTTGGGCAGGAACGCAAACTTATGGCTAGTTTTAGTCTATTAGCATTATCTACATTCTTTAGTTGCTTTGTACAATCATTAAGGGCTGTAATTCCTGATGAATACTCGGGGTGTGGTCCGACTGTTCCCTGGTGTATTCTGATGCATCTGCCGTCGTCACTTTTCCGCAAAATATCGCCGTTCTATTTTGGTCGCTGACGGCCGTCTATGTGCCATATTTGCCCGAATGCAGTTCGCTGGTTCACATTAATAATCACTGGTCGAGATTATATCGTCTACAATTGCTGTCAATATATGAACAAATTCAATTGTGAATCTTTATTTATAAGACGGAATGAGAATATAACATTTCAAGTATCGTTCCATATTTTGTGCCTCACAAATACATAACTTTATACAGAAAGATATCTACTTTCAGTCAAGAGATATAGGAGTTAGAATGATATATAAGATTAAACCGGTAAATTCCCCTGAATCTGCCCGACCCCCTGCATTTCTCGGCTGCGCGTTCCCCTAGAGCTCTCAGCCCCCAGTTGTAGCAGTGTCATGGCGTAGTGTGTCCGCTAGCTCTCATCATTGCACCCCCATCCCACCTCCCGCGCACCAAATCCCAGCACAACCAAGCCAACCAACTTTACGGAGCAACATTTCCATTCCCCCGGAGCAAGTTTCTACCGCGTTTGAAGCGCAGGCTCATACATACTTGAGCCGAAATGCCTCCGACATCGTTAAAGGACGTACTGCAGCCCGCCAGCCTGGGCTACACCCGGGTCCTGACCACCATCACAGTAGACGTCAACATCGACGATCTAGGAAATGTCAGGATCGACTGTATCCGAGAAGACAAGGAGATGGGCAAGAAGGCCCTACTGCCCAGGAAAACTTACTGGTAAGAAATCCAAACTTGCAAAAGTTCTTTATGCAAAAATATACATATTTGTAGTTACATAAGTTTACCTTAGTCATCATTACATGTAAGTTGATTGTAGGAGGGAGGGGAGGAAGGAGCGCTGAGAAAGAAACTAGATGAGAAACAGCACAAATTTTCTTCAGTAACACTTAATTTCTGTTTGTTATTGCAATGCTTTAATATAAGTGTATTCTATGAGCCTATTTCAGTATTTGTTCATGTCAGTAAATTGAAAATGAACTCAGGCTGATAGTGCCAATTGGCAAATGTCTGTCACCACTTGCACTGGGATTAGAACAGAATTTATTTCCTAGATTCCTGACATGTACTGATAAGAATATACAACTTGTATAAGTGAACGAAAAATAGTTCAGCCAGCTATTGTATGGTGCGTCTGTTTGTCTTTCCATATGTTATACATTCTATGATATTTTCGAACTCTGACTCACTTATGACATGTACCTCTGTGTCATTCTGAAGAATTAGAACCTTGCACCTTACGACCTCTTGCTTCATTGATAACTTCGCAGAAAGTTGTCCGTTGAGATTAATCTTATTGCATTAGACCAGTGTACCGTTTCTCCTATCTTATCTCGATATGTACTTTGCATGTTGTTGACAGTTTTGTGATACTGCCGTATCTATTTCCGCTGTGCGCTGACATGCCGTACATGGCAGGTGCCATTTGTGTCCTCCTGCTGAGGTCACCTCCGGGCGATAAATTTGTCTGCGGGCCTCTTATGGCAGACCGACTGGTATAGAGATATTGTTCGACCATGCACGTCTGTACTACGTTTAAAGACATCAGTACACGCAAATGCCCCATGAATGCTTTCTATAAATCGTGTATGAAAATGTAATGATATGTCTGGCATTGCCACGGGTTACATGTTCGTAAGAGCAGTTGGACTAGTTAATGGCTCATGATGTAGCCGTGATAACTGTCAACTGTAGAGTTTAGCGTTTGCTCGTTGCAAGAAGTCCTTCACCTTCTTGGACTAGGATGAAAGAAACGAAAGTAAAACAACTACAAGACTTTAAGATCCGGAGTTCAAAAGGTATTCTTGTCATATTCGACATCTTAATTTACTCACGTCGGATATGAAAAGACCATGCAACTCGAATGTCAATCATATCACGATAGAACTAGATAGAACGTATTTAGATCATTCACTAGGCCTAGACAATCTTATTTTTCTGTCAGCGTTGTTTCATCGGATATTTGCAACAATTGATTTTTCTAGAGCAGAGAAACTATCAATGAGCACCAGGCCTAGTGCTAGTAATAGGTATCGCCTCAGATGATGCATATTTACCAGTTCTAAAGACAACAGAACATAATGATCTGCAAAATTTGAACCTTGACTTCGAGCAGTCAACAACCTGCAGACCACCTTGCCACCTGATAGATCTGTGCATTTTCTATGGTCTAACAGTCCAACACTGTTGTCGTCTGTCCGTTATGTTGGAAACTCTTAGCGCCAAATTCCAATATGTTCGAAGTTTGAATGTCCCCCAAAGACATTGGTATAGAGGAGTTCGGGCAACCTCACGAAGTTTGATTTAACCCGATGTACGTGCTGTCAGGAGGCGTTATCGGTTTCCACTTTCCTGGAACTGTAACTCTATATCCCCCACCGGTATCATATGTCTGTACGGACGTAATATATAGGTATTTAAAGGACGTATCTATGGGCAGTATCATTGATATGTCTGCGATGTAGGTCCTAAACAAGGTACAGGTAAACAACCCCTTGGGAAAAGGGCTTTTTTATAAAACAACTTAATAGACTCTTAACTTGCTTGGCGATATCTACAACTTAGCTGCCATCAGGGTGTAATGAACGTTGCTACTTGGTGCCGCATGGTGGCGTTGTGACCAAAGTGGGCGCAAATGGCAAATGGGTAGCAAAGTTCATGTCACACTGATAATGGAAACTGACAAGTTGCAAAGGCATCGATCAAGTAAAGGTCTTTAAGATCTAGCTTGTGTTATAAGGACATTGTGCCGATAAGCTACAAGCATAGTAATAAAATAAGCATGCATAGGAAGTATGTATTGTTGCCAAGTAGGCCAATAATAAGAATGGATTGTTATTTGTGTTGGATGACATACTGTGTGGTTTGTTATTCTGGCCAATGAATGTTTGCGTGCTATCATCGAGCTATTCCAGAGTTGTCATTGTATTGTCATTTGATAGTTTGGCATCATTTTACACCGAAAACAGGGCAATAAATATCCAACGATTTCGGGATTTACTGAATGCACCTTTGTTTGTTTCAAATGTTCATCAGCGCTAGCCATGAAGTGATATGAGTAATGACATTATCATCACAGCTGCTTTCTCCAGTCACTGTATTTGGCCAAACTCTCGCTAGACTATAATTATAAACGATGACGCGTGTAGTTTGGTATTGAGGGCTACAGTTACTGTTACACAGTATTAGAACTCGTAGCTTGATACGTGCATGCATTTTCGTTGATCGTTGAAATATAACTTCTAGTCACTATTGAATGTAACGTTAGTTAGAATTATCGAACGTTATACATTTGGTTGTGTGAAAAATGACAGCCAGTGTGAAAAATGACAACCTGATGAAGCAAAAACAAAATATATTTTCTCGTCAATACTTCAGTAGCATTGAATGGTGTGATGATGATGCAATTGAATATGACAGCCAATGAAACTCATCTGTGTTTCTGTGTTGTACAGGACTGAGGAATACAGATGGAATAGACTTACAGTCGGATCGCCAGAAGAGAGAAGAAATTGGTCACTGAAGAGCATCGTAGATGGGGTTGACGCCCCAGCAGAGGAGTACCTACGGTACATAGAAGGAAGGACAAGCCCCAAACCAGAAGCTTTGGAGGCTCTGCCACCAGTTGAGGAACCGGAGTCGACGGAAGAAGAGAAGGTAGACAGTGACGTAAGCTATCCCATTCCTGAAATCAACAGCCTTGACACAGCAGTCGAGGCTGATGAGACATTCAGTTCTGAAGAAGAAGAGGACAGACCACCAGCTCCTCCACCGAGGGTTGACAGTGTTACCACAGAAGACAAAGAACCAGAAGAGACAGTCACAGAAACAGACGATGCGTTAGATAGAACACAACCGGAAGATGAAGAAGAACCAGAAGTAGAAGAGGTTGTACTACGAATAGTAGAACCACTGGACGAGACTGTCTTAGAAACCACAAAGACGTCTGAAGAAGTATGCGCACTCCCACCAGAATCCCCCGACATCATACAAGACACTTCCCCTGAAGACACCATCATTCCAGAAGAAGTTTCAGACCAGCAAGACGAAGAAGAAGAACATGTAGACAAAGATGAACATGATGAGGAACAGGAAGTAGTAGATGATGCCCAATTAAAATCCCCAACTAAAAGAGTGCGTTTTCATCCTGAAGCAATCTACGTAAGTACCATCCAAGAAGCTGTAGAGGAAGACGAAGGTGCGTCCTTGTCACCAATCCCCGAAGAAGACACAGCCGCGGGGAAACAGACTAAAGAACCGGAACCAACATCTCCTGAAGAAGAGAAGGACGACGACAGTGATGCTGAGGATAAACCACAGGATACCCAAATATCAGTAGAAGTAGACGTGCACGTCTCAGCAGACAAGGAAGCTGAAGACGAGGAAACATCATCAGACGCTCCTCTTGCGGAGGAGGAGATCCTCACAACCGACGACGAAGCAACAGACTCAATAGCAGACGACAAGGAAGAGACTCAATCAGAAGCTGAAGTTGAAGCAGAAGGTGAACACAAGGAAGAAGAGAGTGGGCCTTCCGTGGAAGAAGCTCACGAAAGTAAAGACGAAGCTGATGAAAAGGAGCAAGACGAGGAGGGAGAAGAGCCTCAAGTTCCACAGGAGAAAGCTTCGATAGAAGAGGAAGAACCACCGCAGGAGGATGAAGCTGTACAGGAAGAAGAAGCAGTCTTAGATGAATCGGATGTCTCTTCTGTTCCCAGGGAATCACTTGGGGAGGAAGAGCTTCAGGTAACGAAGAATTTTTATGAGATGTTAAATACCAGATTACTTACACTTATTTCGTCTCTTTAGACGTTCAGTGTCAATGTCAAATCCCTTAGCTTATGGATAGCATTAACATCTTATTTATGACTAAGGTTGGAATAAACGCGACAAAGTAAATTTGGTACCCTAAACTCCTCACGATTTAGGCTCTTTTAGTAGTAAAGGTCTTTCATTACCCTTAAAAAGCAAAGACGAAGGGCGTGCCATAAATTACTTCAGCTTTCGTAAAGCTAAAGGAAGTGCCCGGGCACATCTGCTCTTCCGATCTGATCACGTACTGCGTTTGCCAGTGCTACACAGCGAAGAGCGACGCGGTAAGTTCCACGTCCGGTAACTGATCCGCAAGGCAAATTCCATACAATGTCAATCCTTGAAATATTTACACGTTAGAGGGTCCACAAAGTCAACCCAGCTGCCGTCTAGGACGTGCTTGGAAAGCATTGAGGGCTGTCCCTCTATAGAGGAGAGGGTTATGTCCTTGACAGTTGAATGTTAAGAGGGCTTATTAAGATAGACAGACATCTTGTTTTCTGTACTCCAATATCGTTTGGGATGACCCTATTAAGGTTGACATAATGTGAAGGGAATAAGCAGGAACAGATTGCGAGTGCTTGGTTTCCATGAACATGTTGCATAGTTACGGACGAAAGAAGAAACAGAAACCCTGCCAAAGTGGCATTTCTGACACAATTGTAGTTCTTCATACTAAATACTTTGACGCGGTAATCACAACTACATCTTCTTCTAGGTCCACTTTGCTCCCGATAACCTCTGCCTTTTCAGCTTTGATCTTTTTGCTTTGACGCTAACACCCCTTGAGCCGCATCTCTTTAGTAATACCATAAATCCTTCCCTTAGAAATGCCCACTAAAATAAACCCTCCCCATCTGCTCACTTCACTCAACCATCTGTCCTTGCATGCATCACAGCAAAAACCGTTCCTATTTGAACCCATACGTCACAGAGTCAGAGCCATTCCTACGACTCCCCTTCCTTATAAAGGCCCTCATTTGCATTTTTGCCAGTACGAAAACGTGTCCATTTTGACATATCAATCCAGCAAGCGGATTGTATGGGATCGACGATGACACTCATTTCTGATAATATGCCGACCTAAAGACGTGTATTTTTGACGTAAAATGAACACATTTTTGTAGCGAAAATGCAAAGTCTTAAGGGACAAAACTTTCAAGTATGTGATCACGGCATTCTTGGCACCTATTAACGTCTCGGAATGCCGTGATCACAACTTGTATCAGGCACTGATATCCGATGACTGGGACCTGCTAACTTACGACGAGCCTGACGATGATGACTATCCCCCGCTGAACAGCTATTGCCCGCCAAAGTCGCCAGTGGGAGGGCAGGTAACAAATGCAGCCGCAAAAGCATATATACATCCTAACGCTTGAAGTCGCCTGCATACAGTTCCATCCTGTATGGTTGAAACATGCTTCTTGGAATCCGTTGTGAACTATGTATGTGTACACGTCAATTAATGTGTGTACTTTGCATTATCACAATGTTTTCAATGATATGTTCTTAACGTCGTATAAAATCTATCGAACAAGGTACATTTGTAAATGAAATCAAAACAGATGAAAAATACAGATTGTAAAGATGTGAGTGAGATGAAAAGAGTTGCAGGCATGCAATAGCCTCTGTATCAACGATGGTATAAATGAGAAACCGAACATAACATATTTTGTGTATGTACTGACCCGGACCACCATTGTTTTGACTTCTGAGCTTTGAACATTGCATCTTGAGGTTAAAGACTTCTTGTATCACTGATTAGCCTACCATCCTCAGTTGTATGAGAAATATGATGAGGTGACTGATATCTGCAACGAATAGTTTTCATGTGTGTGTGGAATCATGAATGCCAACAGATCTAGAAAATGATAATGTAGCAACCCTTTCCTCTTTTGGTCTTGTTCCAGGTTGCTGAACCCGTTGTCGTTGAGTTTGAAGAGTCATATGCAGAGGTGCTGAAAAAGGTTAGCCATATCGCAGCTTATAATGTATACCAGACCTATGAATATATATTTTGTACGACCGTACGAGACATTATAGGCAGACGTTCCATACATGACTGCCAGATGTGCTCGGATGTAGATAGTGTTTACCTTTCGCATTTGATATTTGCATTGATCCTATATCAATCGGTCTCACCATGTTAATCCCAACTTTGATCACAGGCACCTCCACCAGCAGAAGAGGAAACTCCAGAGGATGAAACTCCTCCAGATGTAGAAACAACTCAAGAGGACGAGGCCACTTCAGAGGAAAAAGCTCCTTCAGAGGAAGCTCCTTCAGAGGATGAAGCTCCTCAAGAAGAGGAAGAGGCTTCTGAGGAAGTGGAGGAAGCCCCTGAAGTGAAGGAAGCAGCATCTGAGGATAAAGCTGCTTCAGAGGAGGAAGCTCCCCTAGAAGAGGAAGCAGCTACTGAAGACAATGCTCCTTCAGAAGAAGAACCCACTGACGAAGATACGAAAGAAGATGATAGTCCATCCATCAGCCATGACGACACTCCAAAAGAGGAGGTTAGAGCAGTTTTTTATCTTAGTACACACTGCTGCCATAAGGTTCGCGTTTGGTGATTACAGAAAATCTCTATCAGCAGATAATAACGACTATTTGTTTCGCACAGGAGTCCGAATCAGAAGAAGAGGCGACACCACCACAAGCAGACGAGCAAGAGGAAAGCCAAGAGGAAGCCACCAAGGCCTCAGAGGCCGCACCATCTCCAAAAGAAGAGGTACGATGACTCATTGCTTTTTCATCAACAAGCGTCTAGGTACCAACCTTAATAAACATGGGTACTTCAACTTTAAGTAAGACATTATATTGTTTTATTTCTGAGTCTTTGTAAATGGAATATAAATTCTTGGCACACAGACATCTACTCCGGATGACGAAAAAGATCAGGAATCCGAAGAAGAAAAGAGTCAACCGCCCACTGACAAACAACCTGCAGAAGACGCGGATGACCCTCAGGTACACATATGCAACCACGAAACTAAATCTAACAAGTAAAACTTTGCACAGTGCGAGAGAATGGCAGGACCACACGTGATTTTATAGCTTCTTGCTGTTTTTTTGGGTCCAGAATGCTTTATCTCATCAGGGCTAACGCGTTTTTCTGGATCTGTATTTTTGCCAGTATTTTTACGACCGGATGTTGTTCTACTGGATGACCAGCGGAACGTCATTGGTGACAGCTAGGTATTCTGACAATGCAAGTTGACGATACTTTTTTTTGCACGAAGATACTCTTCTCAAGTAGATCTTGGGAGGAATGATCTTTGAGTTTTTCTGTCTGCTCAATTTTAAAGCGTCAATACGAACGGGGCAGTTATGATCTTCCTTCCCAAGATCTACGAAGAGAGTAGTAGACTAGCTGTCTCGATACTGCCAGAAAGAAGATTTGGAACGGAAAAAAATTTACATGCACTTACATGTTTTTCTTTCCTTCAATTGATCATGACTTGAAATGGGAAACTAACGATTACAAATGCCAGTCTAAATGTGATGTCATGGAAGGACCGTTCTTAGTTTCATGGCATGTGATCACTTTAGTGAGTTTCCATTTCACTTAGCCATCCCGAGTTCATGTTTCGTTTGTACCCGGTAAAATGATACTCCCTCACAAATGATTAAAATAATCAACATAAAACATGCCTGGTATATTTTCGCCATCGGTCGTGGACCTGGCTATGGCCCGTGCTTGCTATGACGAAACGTTTTTCGGTGTCATTTGTACATGTGTGTTCTTGGACGTTAACCTCTTTGACAAACTATCGTAACATGACCCTGACCACGTGCATCTGTACGAGTGATCCCAGATCCTTTTGCATGTCATCTATCAACAATGATGGTGGACAGCTTTACCAAAGCCTCCATTCAGACTGTTAGGCGAAGGTTCTCAAATTCAGACACACCCACATGACAACATTCTCACACATATTACATAGCTTACCCATTTAAACGACACTGCAAGTTATATTTCATTGGAAGCAATGTGTCAAATTGATATCAGCTGTTGTATGTCGTTATGACGAAATCATTCACGATTATATCATACCAAAATGCAAACCATCATGTCCAAACTGGAAATGTACCAAAAGAAGTTTGGACTATTACCAGTGATGCCCTATGTCAAATGTCCAGATTTTGTACAGTCTAGGCAATCCACCATCAATGTTACTTGATACGATAACCATCCTAAAAGCCCACCAAACACCCCGTCATATTTAAACCAAACGACCCTTCGTGGAAGCAGGAATCGTATTCCGATGAGTGGGACCTGTCAGATTATGAAGCCGGAGAGGAGGACTTTCCTCCCCTCACCAGCTATAGACCCCCCAAGTCGCCGATTGGCGGGAAGGTAAACGGAAAAATAATTCAAACTGAACGTCAAGAGTTAGGTCTTAAGGTGACAAACTGTAAATAACTGTACCCTAGAAGATAATAAACGCATACGGACATCCGGGAGAGACTTTTTGATATTGTGTATAAAGATGCAATTGTTATTGTTGAGCTAACATTATCACCTGAAAGCCGTATTCCGAGTACTATGTGACAGGGTATACCGATTGCAATCGAGAACAATTAGCCATGCAAATGATTGACAAAGACTTACGGTTTGTCAAGATCTGTACCCTTTAACGTTTCAAGCCTATCAACAAGCTTTCAAAGCGAGTTGTAGAGTCATGCCATAATTCCTACTCTCAACATGTTCCGTATTGCCACCCCCATACATGATAGAAAATAACTGATTATTTGTGACGTTTGATTGAATTTTGATTGAGTTGTTATAGACTACCATACCGTCTGTTGATATGCTCATTGTTTTTCTTACAGCCACCGACAGAACCTGTTGCCGCAGAGTTCAAGGAATCATTCGCTGCCGTCGTCAGTAAGGTGAGACATGCTTTCATAAGCTTTCACTTATAGATTTCAAATAGTATCTTGACGTATTTCCCAGTGCGTAGGTTGGTCTGATACTGTGCCTGAACAAATTGCTATTCGGTGTCAGGAAGGAGGAACAATAATTATTATACGTGTTATGCGTTGTTACCATTTGGTATTCATGTGTAATTACAAACGCAGAGGCGGTGCTTTAATTTCAAGGTCTATAATCTTGAAATCTATGACATAATGATAATTCATAGCTTTGTACCAGTGTAATGTGGCTAATAAAATTGTTTGTTGTTTCAGCCACCACAAGTTGTTGAAGAGACTGCAGAAGAAGCCGAGCCGGTAGAGTCAATTCCCTCTACAAAAGATGAAGATCAAACAGAAGAAGTCTTGCCTGAAAAGGAGGAAGAACCGGAAGTGAGTCCGGCAGAGGAACGTGCCGTTCCTGATGTCTCACCTGAGGAAGACGACGGTGAAGAGTCGTCTGAGGACGAGAAGGAAGATCATGACACTGAACCGCAAGGCACCGTCACTGAACAAAAAGACGAAGAACAGTCTGTCAGTGATTGTGCTGCTTCTGGTGATGAGGCGGTCATAGTTCCGTCAGAGGTGACGGAGGGCGATGACAAAGCAGACGATGAAGACAACGACGGTGGAAGCCTAGAAGCCGTAAGAGGCGACACGCCTACAGACGAAGACCTATCTGAGAAGGCAGACTTCGAGTCATCAGAGAAAACGGAAGGAGAAGACAGTGCAGGTGCTGACACAAGTTCTGTTGGCAGCACTGAACATGACTTGAAAAAAGACGAGACACCAGACGAAGCAGAATGTGACGAATCGGCCGAGATAACTGCCGATGACCTACCAACAGAAAAAGCAGACGATGTTAGTGAATCACCCACGGCTGACGTGGACAAAGAGACACCTGCTGATGAGTCAGGTGAAGAAGCAATTGCATCAGATCACGAAGATGCTGAAGAACCAGTCAAGGAGGAAGACAACAAACGAAGCCCGCTACAGCGACAGGAAGCAATGTCAAAAGGCGAATCTATCGAAAGCCAAGAGTCAGCTACTGCCGCTGATACCAGCGATAAAGCTGCCGACACATCCTCCTCTAAAGACGAGCCAGAACATCAAGCTAAGGTAAAAGCAGGCGAGGAAATCCCAGAGGAAGACGTAGAAATGGGTGAAGATGATGACGATTCCTTGAAAAAAGAACGGGAGGAAGAGATGCTTGACAAGACACGTGAAACCAAAAGCCGAGACTCGTCTGACAGTGAGGATGACAGTAGCTCTAAGACCCGCCCACAAGCACTAGCTACAGGTGAGTCAACACCAAGGGATGATACGAAAGAACCGTGTGAGTTTGCTGTAACAAGCGCAGATCGTGAATATCAACCTAACACGGGGGCTTCAAATGAGGGAAACACAGAGTGTACTGATGGTCATTGTAGTAGCGAGCCGCAAGCGGTGTCTTTGCCACAGAATGAAATGTCATGCCCTGAGCAGGAAACAGGAAGGCTCAGGGTGCTGCCGTGGGCGAGATGGGAGAAGATTGACGACACATCGCCCCGGACAGTACGGCGGAGGCCGCCATTCCTCGAACTTGAAGCACCTGTCTGTGAGGCGTCGTCGGAAGAAACATCGCCGATACAACAGCGTGCTGAGCCAATGGACATAAAGGTTGTGTGTCCCGCTACAGTGTCAGAAGGTAGTGATAGTGCTGGTGGCGATAACAGTTCTGCTTCTTTTAATGCCAACTCACATGCTTCTAAGGAAATGCAATTCTGCGCTTATAGTGATACTGGTAACGAATCTGCCGAAGGGTATCTTACCCCACTTGGACGACCTTTGCCTCGCAGCCCACGATTTGAAAGTCTCTCTACTCTCTTGCAGGAGGCCAATGAGTCGACGCCAAGGAGGAGCTCCACATCGTCGGCTGAAACATCAGAGGAAGAAGAGGAGGAAGAAGAAGCGATTTCTTCTGGTGACGAAGAGGGTGAGTTTGACGTACCAGAGAGAACAGAATCTCCAGAAGAAAGGCTGACACGCACAGACGCGTGGGCTACCTCAGGCGGAAACTTGTATTTAGGTGCAGCTACTAGAATGGTAAGGAATCAGCTGCCGGACATTCCCGAACACAGCCGGGAGGACGACTCAGAAGCATCCGACGATGATAACCAGCAAGACGAAGTAGAGAGACCGAGGCAAAGTGCAAAGCTAGCAGATTCACACAGCAGTCCGTATACACATGATAGGCATCATGAGGAATTAGAGAGTTCTGAAGAATCAGAATTAGACCCTGAGGAACTGCATTATCTCGACAACGATGATGAAGAGCAGTGTATAATGTTTGAGGAGGACAGACCAGAAGGTAATCCGCTGTACCTGCGACAAATCCATGGGGAAACGTACACTGAGCAGCAGACAGGCAATAAGGATGATACATCCTCAGATGATTCGGAGGACGAAGACAAACGGCAGGCTGTTATGGAGCACGACCGGCTTGTAGAACTACAGGAGGATCTTTTTGAGAAAGACAGCTTAGATGACGTAGACGATCATGTGACATCTACTGACGTGCTAAGAGAATATGAGGACCAATCAAAACTGTCCGCTACAGAACCGACCGAATACCGGTGTGACGATGGGGAGGATGCAGATCTGATGGCTGAAGGGGAAGTAGACCCTTCAAATAACAATGAAATCCTGTTGGCGTCTGAAGGTCCTGGTGATGATATGGATTCTGACCATGAAGAATTCCACGTGACAGTGTCAGAGAAACACCTGGTGGACACGTCCACACAACACCTTATAGTCATAACAAAAGACGCAGACGAGGACAAAGACCAGTGTCAAGAAAAGACCTCAATGGACTCATTCGAAAGTACCGGCCCGTCCACTGAGGGTGGGTCAGACACGTCTGATGACGACGGTTCTGGTAAGAAGAAGCGACGGCGCAGACAAAAGTACGGTGAACAGCGATCTTTTACAGAAGCTATTCACCACGATCCAGACAGTCCAACATACATATCTCGAATGAACTTTGAGTTCAAACATCCTGAAACAACTGATTCAGAAATAGTGCTGCCACTGGAAGTTGAACAAGAGTGCACGCCAACGCCGGAAAATATTCCTGTCGAATTGGTGGCTGAATCAGATCATCAGATGTGTACCGTTGAAGATCAAGTTAGGGAGGACGGCACAAAGGCAACAGTGCCAGAGTCTGGGGCTGAATCTGTCGGTGACAATGATCAAGAAGACGATACCTTTGATCAAACTGTAAGGGAGCATGTGGAGGATACCAGTGTTGATTCAGCTCCTGTTGTGTCATCTGATTCACCTGGTGATGACAACAGGCCAAGATCAGCAGAATACACCGATTCGTCCGATTCAGACAGTGATACCGACACCGCAGAATCGGAAACGTCTGCGGACTCCATCCTTGCCTCACCTGGTAACGGTGGTCCGGGTCCGTCTGGTGGTGGACAGTACCGTACTCCAATGGCAACAGTCCCTGTGACGTCATACTACGTAACATCAGGTGTTCCTTTCACTATGGACCCAACGACGTCAGAACACGTGGAGATCCCACCCATGCCGACGTCACCGAGACACAGCTGGGGTATGCAGGCGAGCTATACCTTTGAGGAACACCAGCCTGCTACCACCGGGCTACTGACCCCCATCATCAACGGTCACATCCCTGTGGTCAAGCACCACGTCCAGTACGACGACCTGAAGCGTCCGATCATACCGATCTTGTTGGACATTGGCGACAAACTTAGCCCTGAGTACTCAGGCGAAACGAAAGCAGCAGAACCATGCAGCAGCGAGCGAGAGATATTGTCTCCATCGCCGTACGACAATCTTCTTGAATCAGACCTAGCTGAAGGGGAGGCTCAGCAAGGTGTGAACGTAGAGAGTCTACAGCCGATGAGTTGCCGCTGCGTCGCCCCACCACCAGACCGAAAACCGTTCGAGTCACCGTCCGATGAACTAGAACTCCCACCCAACCCTGACTTTAAACCAATGGACTGTCTCTGCACCCATCCCCAGAAGGGCGCCAGAGTGGTCTGGTCACCAAAGCACAGTCCACGGCATTCGCCGCAGAACGTTGAACGATGCTACGAAGCCATTTCGAATACGCTAGCCACCAGCAGGCATAATTATGTCGAGTGCTTGAGGCAAGAGCAAGACGCTGAAGACGAAACAACCGCCCTGAATCAAAGCCAACCATCACATGGCGATGATTTAGTCGGGGACATGCCTGAGGGCAGAACTGTGACAATCTTGCAGTTCGACATGGAGGACGACAGGTCCTCACAAACATCATCCCCGCTCAGCGTCCATTCTACCCACCTTGGCACTCCGCCAATACTTGAAGAGGAACTCGATGATAGTCCTGCATTTTCCCCAACGCGGCAGACGCTTGACACCTTTATCCCGGTATCTCCCCCTGTCAGAGAAATCAGACATCCTGGCATCGTCCAGGAAGCCATCCGCGCCCCAAGAGCTCGCAAACTCACAGAAACGGAAGACTCTACGAGTCAAGGGCACAGCCCAGTGTCAAACAGAGACGACGAGCTTAAAACGCCGACAGGTTCTCTGCTCTTTCCTTATGACAAAATTCATGGACCCTATCCTCCACAGGATCAGCCAAGCTTTGTAACCCCAGACAGAAGAACGCAGGTAAAACGGAAGAGACCATCTGATGACGTTCAGGGTACAAGTCCTCGTCCTACATATACGTCACCGGTAAGACCGCGGACAGATTCTCCAGCAGAAAAATGTTTGTCTCCATCAGATCACCGATCAAAAGACGCTTCCCCGTCTAAGATACCAGACGATTTTCCCAAGCTGTGCACCGGAAAAGTTCGGTCTATGGTTAGTAAATGGGAAGAAATAGTGAAGAAGGAGCCACCAAAGAGTCCTCTGATGCCAACAAGTTCTCCCAGTTCACCAGAAATCCCCAGATACGGGGAAAGGGATGTAATTTCCCCACCGTTCAGTCATCACGGCTCTTCGCCTTACTACATGTCGAGGAGAAGAACGGAAGAAACATCACCAGAGGGCGCTTCAGCAAAGCAGCAGAAGGTGCAGAAGCACAATGTTGACGTGTCTGCCAGACGACCACTTCATGGTTCCCATGCCCTCACTGGTGAAGAGGAGGAGAGTATGATCACCGCAACAGAATACGGTGTTCCGTTCCAAACAACCGCGCACGACGACGGCGCTGAGAAAGTCTTGGTGTACGGTTATGAAGTCGAGTGGGATATTCCGCGGTTGCAGGTCTGCCTCAGCCCGCGTGAGGGCTTCGATGATGATGAGGACAGTATGAGTGATGATGTCACTATCAGTAGTCTGACGGAAACAGACGGAGAGGGTGGAGTGTCTGCATCTTTGTCGTCTCTGGAGGAGTACATCCTCGACCCAGCCCGCATACTCGGTAGGCCGTCCAGCTTCACAGAGCTGCCCATGAGTCCGGTAGAAGAAGAAGAGGAAAGTCCAGCAGAGGACAGCGCGCAGGGTAGCAGCAACACGTACGTCAAGTACATCCTTTGAGGCATTTGAGACATGAGAAAGAACTAACGAGGGAATGGAATTCGTGAGGGTGTGTTGGGGGGTCTCATCATTCATCAACGAAATACCCCTTTCACATCCTCTTCCGCACCGCAATCCTTTACTATCGTATTCAGTATGCTCCGACTGAATTAAACCCCTGCATGCCCTATCCCCTATTTGTCATGCCCTTTAACGCTAAGCGTAGAGCAGAAATATAGTGTACTGAAAATTTAAAAAGATAACTACTGAACGAAGCTTAAGATGAAGAAAAACATGATAAAACGAAGTATAACCAAGTACAAAAGCAATGACTGGGGGCTCATGTGTTTCGGTGTGTATTGGTATGCCGTACAGAAAACTGTGAGAAAAAATGTTGTAAGTCTAACTTTCAGCATGTGTTATTCTGCTCCCTTCTCTGTTAGGAAAGAGGCGCTAAGTTCCCATAGCGTGTGGGAAAGGCTGGGCGTTCTGGAGACCCCATGCCCTTATTTCTGCCAAATGTGGCTGCCGATGCTGAAATATCACCTGCTGGATTTCCAGTAGAAAACGGCAGACGTGCACAACAAACACGCTGGCAAAAAAAGTGCCCCGAACCCACGAGAGGAGTTTTACATGGAGAAGGTGTTACTGAGTGGGTGTAGGAACTTTTAAGTAGCAAAAGACATGGTTATGGCAAGGACGGGTGACTTAGGTACGCCCAATCCGTGGTGGACATTTTCGGTTCTGAGAACATACATCAAGATTGTGTACAGGACTGGAGAACGCTGTGTAGACTGGTCAGTGATAAGTGTATATTTAAGAAAGACAGAAGGGGGTTCCAAAAGAATTCAGCACATGCAGAAAACGCTGAGATTCTAGAACCTTTTCAAGCTTTTTAGAGGCTCTCGTCACATTCGTGCGTTTCCCTCTACTATATCCCAGTAATAAAGACACGCCATGACACTTATTATTGACGTAGTTTGAGTCGTTATTTTTCAGAAAAATTCTGAGTTCTGTTCTCAGCCAAAAATTTCATTCTGCCACAAAACCCCCGCCATTCAATAGGTATATGCATGCTTCTAGTAGAAGAGCAACGTGATGTAGCGTATCTGTTTAGGAGGGGTGAGATAGATTTGTAACACAGGGGGCAACCGGTTGATGAAACAATGAAGTATCGAGACAGGAAGGTTTAACAAATGGAGTGAATCAAAGGATTCAGAAAGGCGAGGAAAGTAATCTAATTACGAGGATGAACCAATGGTTGTATGGTATTCAAAGATGAAGATAGATACAGATACATTTCTTGACTTCTACAGTAGCATGCATAAACAACAGGCATGATGACGCAGAGAGCTAGCACAGCAACAAATAAAGGTAGTGACGTAAAAAAATAAAGAAACTCTTTTAAGTTTGTGTTTGAAAAGAGTAGTTGGTGTTTCTTGTTACCATAGATACAGGATGTTGTCTTTATTGCACGAAGATTTAACTGAATTTGTAGCGTCGACGTCTTGTACTAACACGTTTTAGAACAGACACACATGTCCTTCATAGCATCGCACATAATTTCGTGAAAACGTTCAACAGATTTATTAATTCTGCAACAGTTTTACTTTGGTTTCTATTACTTGATAAAAGAAACAACGTTTGAATTTCAAGTAAAAGATTAAAGCAAATTGGAAAATCTTTTTTCATGAAAACAGAAAAAGTCACATTAGAAATAGTTACGGACAAACAAATGAAAAAAGAATCCCAAGAGATTTTCCCATTGGTGGCCTGATGCAGTTCCGGTAAGTTGAAAGCTTGAGTTTGACAAACTAAAGAAATGATATTTTGTTGCATTGTCTACAATTTATAGTACCTTCTTTAAACGACAACCTACTCACATCAAGTGTAATCATACACAGAAAATGTTACTCCTTTAATCTAGCCGTATCAATAACTTTTAGCACTAGACTACTGTCATGCAAAAGAATGACCATACAATATGTATGTGGCATGAAATTGTCAGTTTATATTATTAGAATATTTCTTCAAAATTGCACAGGACAAACAAAATCAAATTAACAGCCGGCTTATTGACAAAGGTTTTGACAAATTTTACGACAAAACAAAGTCATACATCTCTTGTTTGCTTTTGATCATTGGAATGTTACCTTCACCCATACATTTAGTACGATCGCTGTATAATCGTGATGGAATCATGTTTACTTTAAAAATGCAACAGTTTTCATATGATTCAATCAATACAAACCCAAAATATCACTATGTACCGAGAAAAAGACCTTACATAGCCATCTTTCATCGTTGCAGCTAACATAAAAGAGGGCTATTTTGCAACAATTCTACATCAACACAACTACGCGATATCAAATGTACCTGCCATATAGAGAGTGATGAAATGCGGAACACTACATGTCTAGTACAGTGAAAACAGGACATTTTAACACAACTGTTTGATCGATTTTAAACGGTTCAGACGATGAAAGTTAGCCATGCATGCCCACGGTACAGCGTTACAACATCAAAAAACATTCACGAGAATAGCACTCACAGTAGCATATAAACAAGCATTATGATAAGTCTAACAGTTGAAACTGAAACATAGCAGACACACCTATTTCCACATCGCTTGAAAAACAGGCAGTGAATCAGTGTTGCAACTTTACATGTCATAATAAAGCAAACTGTAATATACTTAGGTAACGATTTTTCTAAGTAAGAAGGATTCCAATGGCGGCATCAGCCGCTTCTGCAACAGGAGGGAGCATCATCAAATGACAACCTTTTCCTATTCTACTACGTCTTTAGCAAGCTGATCCAACGGCAAATGATACGGGTACAGTATACACCTTTTGTATGGTAGAGAGATCGCAGTGGCTTCCGACATGATGAACAGTCGTGACCTAACTGTTGATGTCTACATTACATTATACATGTTATATACCTTTATGATGTTCTCAAAAAGAAAGCAACTTAAAAAAGACCAACTGCTATTGACTATGTTCCTGAAAATGACCACCCAACATTATATTAACCCTGTTTTGGACGTCCTCATCTCTAGGCGTAGCTACAATTGATACATCTTTACTCAGAAATTTGATTAACCAGAATTCGATTTTCAATATCGTTTCGTCCCAGTTTAAGTCTGGCTTATAGGACACGTCTACAAACTCTTTTTTTACACTAGATGACTGGCCAAAATCGGTGTTTTTTTCCATAATAGCGTAAATGCTTAGTCTTGATTTTGAAAATTGATTATATAAATCTTAGTTTCAAGTCTACATTAGTAGAAGAGAGTCCCACCCTCTGCCTTTTTCGTAATTAGAATTTTGAATTCGAATGGTTTCTCTCAGTCTTATTTTTACTTTTTTTAGATATTCCATCTAACTATTAACTTTCAAAAAAGTTCCTTCTGACTTTTAGTCCGTGACAGGTCTAAATATAGCACTGGTATCAACCTCTTTACGCCTCGCGGCCATATACCACACCCTGGTGCATCGTTCGTCATAGTTTTTTTTTTTTAATCTCAAAAACAATGTTTCAGTAAAGTTGACACACAAGGTGAAAAATGAATAGTTACTGGCAGTATGGGTCCCTTTCAACATGAGTAGAATTTGGTATTAATATGTGACATGCAATACCTCGATATGTTACTCTTGACATGGTGAGCAGATTTGAACTCGTGGTTTAGAAATGTTCAAGACCATAACTGAGTGAAAGACTGCTTGGTCGTCTATATAGTATATATGGTCACCAATAGGTCAAACGTTACTTGTGGGTAAGATGTCACGCCATTAGTTAACCCCTGACATGGGGTTGAACATGGTGTTGATTGGTGGGAGGTGAGAAGGGTCTGTATGGGGGACTGGCGGCTCCATGTTCTCCACCTCCGGGTTGAAGATGCTGTTGAGAGGCATGCCGATTAACTCTTCCGATGATGCCGTCTCTGGATGATGTTGGGCTGAATAAGAAAGGTAGGAAATATAATATTATATTCATATTGTAAGCAACATGAAAAAAGTTAAGTCTGAACATAATGAATCAAAGTTGACGATTTTTTAAACTCGCTCTGCTCATGCCAAGATACTAGACCAGGGACTAGAACAGAGAAGACAATCTCTAATTCCTCTTGGCTCCCGGTCAGATTTAAGCTGACCCCATTTCCCGTGTCTGGCCTTTAAACTGTAATCCTGCCTGTCAATCTTCCCCATCTACTTGCTGCCAACCTACTCTGTTTGAACAAACCAACAATCCACCATAAATAATACTGCCGAATCCAGAGGTAACAAAAACTTCAGAACATGAAACTATGCCTACATGTAACGTGTGCGTGGTGAATCCGCGCCCCACCGCTGTAAGCAGACGGTGACTTGCGCTTCGTCGGGTCGTCCAGCAGGTTCAGCGGGTCGGTCGTCTCGTTGTACCGCCTGTGCTCCGGCACTCTGCGCATGCCCGCGGAGGCGACGGAACTGATGACGGGGACATGTGGGTTGATTTCCGGTTTGCCTGGTGGTGGGTAGCCGCCGCTGCCATAGTAACCTAAGGTAAAAGTCAGCATTCAAAATCAGTATATAGTTTTGTAGACCAAATAAAAAGCAGGATATAAGTATGATGGAAAATATCGCTTGTTGAACAAAGGCTTCTTTGACCAAGTACAGGAGACATGAACCCATGAAGCGACTTGTTCATAAGGTCACGTGTCCTGAATAGTGAGTCAGTAACCCTGATGAAGGTCGTAGAGACAAATTATTATGGAGGGGGGGGTGATGAAAAAGGATTCTGGACATGTAATGATACCGGTATACTTACTTTGGTAGCCATTGGTGTTTGTGTAGCAAGGTCCTGTCCCACCAACAACGTTGAAAGCGCTTCCGCTATGAGCCGTGCTCTGTGATTCGCCGGTAGTGGTAGGGAAGTGGGGAGGGCGACCACTCATGGCACAGCTACTGAAGTACGGATCGCTGTGAAGCTGAGGCTCACTGCTGTAGCCGTACCCCGCCTCCGTGTCGTTTTTCAAGTACGGTCCCGACCCGTAACTCCCCTGCATATGTCTGAACATGCTGGTGTAGCTGCCGGGGTACGCGCCCATGTACTGGGCATGCGCGTGCGGGGAACCCGAGTAGGGTTCGCCATGTTGGTTGATGTAACCTCTGGGGACGTGCGATGATTGGTGGGTCGGGTGTTGCATCATGGACACGTGACCTTGCGTGATGACGCTGCTTCGCACGGGGTTGACCACGATAGGAGATATTGGGGGTGTCAGCATTGGGCCGACGTTTGCGGGGCTTTGGGACATGCTGCCGTGTCCTGTATGTGGGATGACCGGGTAACAGTCTCTCTCGGGATTGTACATGTAAGGAGGCTGTCCGTACTCCACCAGCATTTCTCCCAGCATGCTTTGCTCCCGTTTAACGGACTGGTTGCTGGCTGGTCGCGGAGGTACAGACGACCGGTTGGCCAGGAAGCAAGAACTGGGAGTTCCCGCCAAGGCCTTACTGCCTCCACCTGTTGGAACAAAGAAGTGAATATTTAGACCTAATCAAGTCATTTGAAGCTATCATTTTACACATTTAGAATTTCTGATAATCCATTTCTTTACATTTTTCACATCCTTCACTCATTACACAGAATCGTCGAAACTTTGACAAGGTTAAATTATGTACAAATGCCTTTGCCCCTTAGGCGTCGCCAAAAACAACGTAATCACCTGCAGTCTTCATGTGCTTCTCGAGGGCGTTCTGAAGCTCCGTCTCTTTCTCGTTGTAGAACTGAGTTTCCACGGCTAGGAGCAGGTACTCGTCCAGCAACATCCTGATGAGGTGGAAAGAACCTGGGACAACAAAACAAACGTACGTGGTTTCCCTCTATCAATGTTGACAGTCCATTTGTCCTCCTATCTCAGGCAGCAACGCAATCCGTACGGATGGATGTAGCCAGGTACCATTTGATATGCTAATACTGAGGTCACATTTCCAAGCCGGGGCCCGGCCGGGCTGTTTACGTGAACGAAAAATAAACAGTTTATATTAAGAATATGTACAGATACTGCTCATAATCAATTGTTGCAAATATTTTGTGTTTCGATGCATTTCATATCATACTCTTTCTTCTCTGAAACTGCCCGGCCGGGCCCGGCTTGGAAACGTGACCTCAGCATTAGCATATCAAATGGAACATGAAGGTATATATCTAGATGCGTTCAAGATGAAATACAAACTACACACTGGACTATAGTAGATAGACGATATATCACATTTAGGTTAGGTCTTTCCCTTACACCTGTGAGAAGATGTTGTAAGCTTACCGAAGCAACGTGCATTGTTGAGGGTGAGGTTGTGCATGACCCGTGCCCCGAAGAAAGACCACTTCAAGAGAAACTCCTGCGCTCGTTTCTTCATCGACCTGCCGTTCTGCTTGCTCGGCTAAACGGAATCAGAATAAAAAGACAATCGATTTTGATTCTTGCTCCATTATAACCCATTATTTAGGCTGATTCGCAGTGTGCTAACCTCTGAAAATGTAGTTAACGAATGTAGTAGACTCATTTACATAATTAGCATCAATGATAGAAAGACATAGATACGAAACAGAAAGTTGTCCATAATTAATCTGAATGTCGCACCGTCTGTACCTTGATGACCTTCTGTTCCACGATCTGGTCAATCCACTCCGTGAAGGCCTCGACTGTCGCCTGCTTCTTCAGCAGCTCCTTAAAGTCACGCAGGACTGTAAGACATAACATGTCAATTGCAATATCGTCTTCATCTAGGTTTGTTTAAGTAATGTATATATACACTAGTAATGGTAGAGTTCTTTACACCAGTGAAAATCTAGGTTAGGCTCCGTTCTCTTCATCAGAGTGTCTTCGTCGTATTCTTCAGAGTGTATGGCGTGGTGGCGTTGCGGCAACAGGAATGTTGCTCCATTTTGTACGTTATATATGTGACCAAAATTACATATGCAACGTTGATGTCTAACTGGCAACTTGCAGGTTTAACCATGCAACATGGCGGACGATATTTACGTCACGGTCACGTGAGAGCAAACAGTGTTATGTGAGTAGATTTGTCCTTACATTCAGCGTTGTCTGCGTCTTGATCGCCGTCAGCGGTGGACGTGTAGAGGGCCTGGGAGCCGATACTGGTCAGATCCACCTCACTGATGTCATCAATCATCTGGTCTACCAGCTGCTGGTCAAACAGTACTGGACGCGATGTCTGAGATGGCAACAAAAAGTGTCCAAGGTTAAGGAGTAGCGGTCATTTGCAACTGAAGTTTTGCACTTTTTACAGGCTAGTGGTAGTGCAATGCGGCTCGCGTTTAAAAAAAAACACACACAGAAGGTCATGTTGGGTTCCTCTTGATACTTTCAGAGGTTTGGCGTTAAAGCCTGAAGCTTTCCCTTACATTAATTAGGCCACCATCCCAACATCTCAAACACTCCTTCACTAGTATGTGACGTGTACGTACACAGGTGTAACTGAATCTATGGTTGTAGCCACATTGTCTTCACTACTTACCTGGGCTAGATGAAGGAACGAGACTTGTCGTTTGAGTGACTGTGCGAATCTCCTGGCCACGGGAAGCTTTCTCTCCGCCATGCTGTCGGGTAGGTTCTCCAGGGCTGAAGCCGTCCAGTGCTCCCAGTGTTTGGCGAAGTTCCTGATGTCCGCAAGTAGACTGACAGAAGGAAAATAGACATAGTGTTACTTTCAGATGCGAAAGTATTGTTTTGGGTGGCTGAGCCTTTGGTTTGTGTATCTTTTTGTCCAGACAGGTTGACAGTAGGTGGTCAGGGGGAGATTGGCATGCAGAATAACACGAGTTTAAAGGTTTCAGAATCTGGCCGCGAGCCAGTGGGAATTAGAGGTCAACATGGGGAAATTGCATACTTCCCGGTGGTCTGACTTTCTGTGAGTTATGATACTCCTTGCACCCCTCTCTCTCTCTCTCTCTCTCTCTCTCTCTCTCTCTCTCCACATATGTTTGGCTTAAAGTACATCAAACTATTGATGTTTTAACAATACCCTATGTGTTTATACACGAGAGAAAAAGTTATCGAATTACTTTTCTGGCATCTCCTGCATCGTTGCTGGTATCAAGACATCTGTCAGGACCTGTGATGTAAAGAAGAAGCAAAGTAAGACAACCGCATTATCTTCTGAATCGTAGTCCTACCTAGTTATAACCTGTATCCTTACCTGTAAAAAATCTTATTCTTCAGACCATGTAATATAATGCTTTTGTCACTATGGACTATTACTAGCTTCAAAGAGATCCTATAGTTGTAAGCTTCAAAGATATCTCAAAGTTATACGAAAATCGTACAAATTTACCCTCGCCCAAAGTCCAGACTTAGAAAGTCTGTTCCTCGAAGTAAGATTACTGATGACTTCACGACACTTCAATTCATATTAACGGCCGTTATTGCCATAAAACGATGTCAACTCCACTATCATTGTCATCACCATGCCATGTCTAGCATACTTTGTTTATGGTGAAAACATATTGTAACACCGGTACCATATCTACCACTTCCTGAAGCTATATATAATCTATTGTAACGAAATTCTTCACTCAGACCAAAGCAAAGAAGGGAAGGGCTCTTTATCAACGTTAGATGGACTAAAACAAAATCGGCCGGAACAAACAAGTAGATTGAGAAGTTGAAGGAAAGGAACAAACAAGAACCAGGAGTGAAATACCTTGTAGAGGATTTGATCTGACGCACAGATGACGTCAACAATGACAGGGTTGTCCAGCAGGGGCAGAAGATGTTCCGGCATGCCTTGCCAGAAGTGCAACAAGAAATTTTGGATCTAAAAAGAAAGGAAAATCAAATAAATATAATAATAAACACAACTCATTTCTTTACTATATACATGAGCAAAAAAATTAATTTCTATGGATACGATATATTCAACATAATTGTTTGCCTCTTCGGTTGCCTAAATAAAAGCTGTTTACAGTGTTTTTTTGTGATCGTACGACGGATGTAACCAGGTCCTATAAGTATAAGCTCAAAATAATTCGATCCACAACTCATTGAAACTGAAACTTTGAAACTTTGAAACTTTATTCATCAAAACAACATTGCAGGCTGAAACAGCCTGAATTGTGTTGCAAGTCACATGTAATTCCATATTAATAATAACAATTGTAACATTTTAGCGTTAAAAAGATTTCTATGAGCAAAAATGATTCTATGAGCATTTCATTTCTATGAGCAAAAATTCAATTTCTATGGATACGATATATTCGACATAATTTTTTGCCTCTTCGATTGCCTAAATGAAAGCTGTTTAAAGTGTTTTTGTGAACGTACGACGGATACAACCAGATCCCATAAGCTCAAAATAATTCAACCCAGAACTCATTTCATTTCTATGAGCAAAAATTCAATCTCTATGGGTACAATATATTCGATGTGATTTTTTGCCTCTTCGGTTGCCTAAATAAAAGCTGTTTACAACATTTTCTGCCATCGTACGAACATCGTACGACGGATGTGGTCCTGCAAGCTGAAAACAACTCCATCCGCCGCGAGGCACGAGTCACGCAGTACAAACAGCCAACCTCTTGACAACACTTGTCTGACCTCTTCGTAACCTCCGAACCCCTGACCGTTCAAGTAAACAACAGGGCAGCCGAAAACGTGCTCTGGCTGTTTGCTGTGGTTAGTTGGTATCTTCTAGGATGGATATCTCTTCCGCACTTACGATAACAAACTACAATTCTGGGGGCACGTGTTGGTAAAGGTAAACAACATCCTCGAAAAATTCCCTATTGGTAAATCATCAACTTAAGCCAATCCATCCTGGTAGAGTATGAATGATGAACAAACATCAGACCGTATCCAAATAGAATGATATGTCAAGATGACTACATAAAAACCAAATTCCAACTTTTAATATTAAAAAAATGTGAAAAAGAAGCTGATGAAGTCGTCAGTTATCCTGCAGTATCATAGAAAGTCGCTAGGGCCCCATAATGGGACTTGTTTTGCTAACGCCCGCCAGCAAGCATCCTATGATAAGAATCACAGGATGCTTCTCAAGTTATCTTGTCCACAAAACCAGGTACGAAGCTACAGACGACACCGTCTTGGTGAAAGTAATAAGAAAATGTTTCTTACCTCTTCGAAGTTGGCGTTGATTGCTGTATCTAGGATACACTGGCAGTGAGTTTTGTACATCATGATGAGAGTCTCCACCTATAGTACACAACAAATAATGATATAATGACTTTGTTGTGCAACTTTCTAGAAAAACCAAACTATGGATTCGTTAGTCATCTGATGCTGTCATAGATAATACCGTAGATCCATGACTGTACTTTTGCGGTGGTTTTATGTCACGGTAGAATGGCAAAACGAAGTTTGGCAATTTACGATTTCAACAGATCTAAAGTACAGTAGAAAGTATGTCACAAGTCAGCCATGTCATTTTTTCAAGTGTCTTCCTCTTTCATGACTTCATTCAAGAATTATTCCTGGATTTTCTAACTTTCTTAAACAACGAACAAATCGCTTAGTCACTGTGGTTGGCTTCGTTAATCTACGGTAAAGCGACATCTACCAGGTCCAGAAATAACTGCAACAACGTCAGGGATGAAAACAATTGGGCTTGATTTCGCATCGCCGAAATACCCCTTGCTTTTAAGTGTCAATGGCATCGTTGGAGGTATACTACCTACTCTAATTGTAGCTAGTAGTTGTAATTATTAGGCTTGTATTTTTCTTCTTTTGTTTGTAATACTGTTACGGTGTATGGGTGTGGAATGCTTAAAGTGCCCACATTGAATCCTGGTTACTTTTCAATAGCTCTAGAACATGTTGATACTCTTAATAGTCACTGCTCAATCGCCTGTATCTGTTTTAGTAATGAAGTACAACTGAAGAGGCGAGGCCCCTTGAGTTGTATCTAAACGTAACAGAAGAAAGACGGGTAGTAAAGAAACTCAGAAACAAGAACTTTGACCCTCCAACTCCCACCACACCTCCTGGCACCGTGCCACGACCTCCCCCTCCCAATAACCCGCCGACACAATAACGCACTTTTGTGGCGGAATTTAATAAATGTTGGTTAAACCAACATTAGCCCAGAGATAAGCGCCTGGAAAAAGTGAATTTGTCAAAATCGGCGTGACATGTGACGACAGGGGACGGGTTACTGGTTGACTGAGCGGACAATGTCGGACGTGTTTACCCGCCAATTCGTGAGGTCCCTAAAATGAGGTGCCGCCATGATTTATTCAAATGATTGAAATGGCCCGTCTTTAGAAATCATTTATAACGGAGAGGGGTCAACACAGCTATCAAAGAGACTGAAAACCTCCCGTAGCCTATTGGACACCACTTTTCTTTGGGTAGGGTCAAATAATAGGTACTGTCTTGAAAGGTGAAGGATACTGTAGATACTATAAAATACAAACAGAACGATGAATTCTGTATCTGTATCTGTATCTGTATAGCCGGTATAATCGCCCTTCGGCGTAACACACCAGGTTGACATCCCGAAGAATTTTCAAAACTTGAACAGTGTAGTTTTAGTGTCACAAATTTCGTGCAGTCCCTTGAGTTTGTGCTTTTTTTTTGCAAACTACATACAAGGAGGCTCAAAAAGAAAAGGCCTTTTCTTTTGCTACATATAAATGCTTTTGGAATTTAGTAATTTAGATATATAATAGCAAAATATTTCTTGCATAATCGCTTCAACGTCTTTTTCAGATATACGTAATAATCAATTTTCAATCATCACCAATTCAATTTTCAATACAACTATAAAAAATCTTGTATATTTGTTTCGTTAGGAAAGACCGGTATAATTGAAAGAAAATCGTTTCCTCTTTCTAACATCTAACAGAATATACGTAGTCTTGCAAAAACGTATGCAGTGTAAAAAGCAAGTGTTAAAATTATTACAAGGAATGCAGCTAAATGCTGAGTAAGGCCTTGGACACCAACGCCATCTATATGAAGACCTAGTTGTATCATAGAAAGATACTGTTTAGGTACACGTATTTAGATACGCCTGTTCCCGGATCTTCTAGCCTGGGTACCATCCTACTTGTATGCCGGGGCTCCCACACTCGCTTCCCTAAGAAGTACTTCTTAGGGAAGCGAGTATGGGAGCCCCGTTATAAGTAGGATGGTACCCAGGCTACGGATCTTCACCATATGCGTGAACATATGAACACCGTGTGTTTCTCTGTACACATCATACGGTGGTATAGATAGTCATAAGATTAATTGTTGTCACCTGTGCATTCGCAAATACTGTCTTCGGTTTGGTAAGTTGATAACGATATTTGCACTGTCTTTTACAAGCTTGCAACGAATTTACGGCAATATTACCACATCTATAGATAGCATTTAGTAACACGCGTTTTTTAACATATAATACTAGCACACATATATGCAGACAAGTTTTCCATATACACGAGGTTTATCACATAATATTCCCTCTCAACATAATAGGATCTTCGTACGCATTGATTAAATAACCTTCATCTTTTCTATCAATTTATGTGAACACATCTGTAATCATATGTATGCTTATGTATTGACTAGTACTACCACCCTTCCCAAGTATGACAAAAATCAGTTGATGTATCCATATGTATGTATGAAAAAATGGGTATAATTTTGCATTGCGTCTATTTGATGTACTTTTACAAACAAGAGAGAACAAAATCACAGCTAAGATACAGCCAAGGCTAATTTTTGTAACCCTGTAAATTATTATAAGAAATAAAAGGACGAAATAAAAAGGAAGAAAACATAATCATATCTTTTACCCATTACATGTTAAAGCTGTATATCTGTATTCGATTTCGGAGTGATTCAAATACCCCTTAAAAGAAAGTATAGTATACTCAGTATTTTGTTTGTAACATAATCGCTTAGGGCGTGCCCAAGAGCAAACTCTTATCAAACGTGAAATATGTTCATGTAATTGCTTACACCCCCTATAGTCCAGTACACCGATGTGACAGTTTCCTTTGTGTTCCGTGTATTCAAAAACATCCTAAAGTATGTAGATGCCAAATCCCTTTTAATCATCTGAGTTATCATCGTCTACTTAGGAGAAAAATGTTGTCCCGATTACAAAACAGGAAAATGCTTCAATCCGCCGCATGTTTGTGTATTACATTAATCTTACCAAACAAATCAAAATGTCATCATTTATTTCATAGTGCCCGGGTGTGCTGTTTGCTCAGTAATGGCGAGATGTTCTAGTAGCAGCCCCTTTCCATCTGTTCCCGAGCGGGTAAAGGCGGATTATGAACAGCAGAAATAGACAGCAAACAAAGCCATTATTTGCCGTAGGGTTAATGATAGCCAAAGGCAAAGTTGCAAAACGAATCGCCTCTTGACCTGCACTGCTACGATAAGCTGCTGCTCTGGTGTCTTTATACTTAGCAGTTTGATACTCAAACTTAAAGATAGAGACTTTTGATGTCCTAATCTAGTTCTACCCCTTCTGATGTAGTCAATGGAAATCAGCGAAGGAGTTCAAGAGATATTGCAAGACCATGTAAAAGAACTATGTTGCTCCCTGGTTATGTTGGATTGAGTTTGAGATAACCTTATTCAGTATCAGCGGATATTCTCCATTTGATACCCACTAAAATCAATGAATCGTGAAGATTAGAATGAATCAAAGTTGTCTTCACAAAACTGCCCACGTAGCAAACTATATAAAGTCTGTAGAAACGATTCTATGAGCCTATACATAATGTATATAGTTGCCACGTAGGGTGTATTTTTTGGTGTAATTACCGAATTAGCGTAATAAATTTCATATACGAATGAATAAACTTTATTGCTTAACAATCGTACATGGTGCAACTATTATATAGAAATACTACAATCTATCCTATATTTAGAACTACAAAGTACATGCCGATTGGTGACATAATGTATTAGCTTGAAAGTTGGTGTGCGTTGGTACACAACATTAATATCATGAAAAACTTTATTTTCCACGATTAAAATTGACTCATCTGTTATATCTATTTTCAGTAATCTAAATATTGTCATCAATCTTAATAAAGGCCAGAACTATGGCCCAAAATTATGAGTATCTTTTCCTTTTTGTTGAAAAATGATTATATACATTTCCACTTTATATTTACGTGAAAAGAAATTAAGTAGTGAGAAACATTATGAAAAAACTTAAACTTTTCTCCAACTCAAAATTTGACTCACCAGAAATTTTCGACTGAATTTGAGTTGGGGATTAGTTTTTTCATAATGTAATTTACCAACTCAGATGAACTTTCATGCTGATGCTAGTGAGAAACATCTTTGTTAGAACTTACCTTGTCTTTGCCGATGTCTGAGTCCAGAATGAGACTCTCCGCCTTGCAGAACTCCGGCAGCAGTGTCCCCGTCTTCGAGCTGAGGGAGTATTTCCTGGTGAAGCCGCCCTGTGAAACACAAGTGTCGTCTGTCAAACTTGGTTTTCAAAATGTCATTTTGAACAACTATCTGTCACTGGCTAGAATGGTATATGTTCCCCTGGTCCTTTAGTTGTAAGTTATAAAGGAAGCCTATGCATGCTTCTAGCGATGACAGGAAACCTTAGTTTTGTCCAGGTTTCTAGCTATGGAAGAGACAGTTGGTGTACAGGTTTCTAGCAATGGAAGATACTAGAGACCATAGATATGCAGATTTCTAACTATGGAAGAAGATCTTTGATGTCTATGTTTCTAGCTATGGAAGAGACCTGTGGTGTACAGGTTTCTGGCTATGGAAGAAGACCTTTGATGTCTATGTTTCTAGCTATGGAAGAGACCTGTGGTGTACAGGTTTATGGCTATGGAAGAAGACCTTTGATGTCTATGTTTCTAGCTATGGAAGAGACCTGTGGTATACAGGTTTCTGGCTATGGAAGAAGACCTTTGATGTCTATGTTTCTAGCTATGGAAGAGACCTTTGATGTCTATGTTTCCAGCTATGGAAGAGACCTTTGATGTGCAGGTTTCTAACTATGGAAGAAGACCTTTGATGTCTATGTTTCTAGCTATGGAAGAGACCTTTGATGTCTATGTTTCTAGCTATGGAAGAGACCTTTGGTGTACAGGTTTCTGGCTATGGAAGAGACCTTTGGTGTACAGGTTTCTAACTATGGAATTTGAAGGCCTTTGATGTATAGGTTTCTAACTTTGAAAGAGACCTTCAGTGATGTACATTTTTCTAGGGAAGAAGGCCTTTGGTGTCCAGGTTTCTACCTATGGAAGGAAATCTTTGGTGTTCATGTTTCTAACTATCACAGAAGACCTTTGATGTTTAGGTTTCTACATAGCTTTATTTTGACCATGACCATGTAACCTAAAATAGACTTCATTATCCCCTTGTGGATAACACTTTTAAAAAGGTTCATTGTTATGATCGCTACAAATAGATTACCCAGTCAGGCTATGTGGGTCACCTGTTAGCTATATACGTACAACACTACCGACATTGTACAGTACTACTAGATACTGCCATATGTCACAGTGGGAGGTAAGCAAACGGAACCAATGACTACATCCCTGTGACTCGGAGATTTGCAGGGCAGAAAGACCTACAAAACAACTATTGGAACACCTGGTCTTATCTAGAGGCGTATCAAGGCTTCTCCTGTTCGATCTACGTAATTAGATTATTTAAACCACACCCATGGACACAATGATTTCATTATGATATTCATTATTACAACTATTCTTCTGGTTCGCTATTTTTAATTTGAACGAGAGCCTTTGTGAGATTTTTCTAGCTTGCAATCTACATTGTTTTCCACAATGTGAACTTAAGCTCAATGGAAAGACCTTATAAACGTAAGATCTAGATTGCCTGTTATCATTTTATAGGCTGGTATAGATTGTTTCATTATTAGTTCGATTGTTATGAATTATTTTATGCATCTTTATGCCTTATGCATTAATGATCCATCTTGAAACTGCAGACCAGTTCTAACGCACATTTGCATGAGTGGCAACGTTTTAAAAGTACAAAAAAATAAGAAAAGTGTTCAACCGTATTTTAGCATTGCCGTTCATATCTAGTGATCCTCTGCATGTACTTGAAGTATACATTTGCAGTACATGTAAACTAATCGATAAAATGGAAAAACAAATGTTCAAAAGACCATGGTTCTTGTGACTCCGGCTAATGTAGATCAATTATGATAGACATACCTAAATAAGCCATCTACAGTTTTCATGGTGTACTTTTTCTCAAAGGGGTCTCATGCAAAACAACAAGAACCAAAATACGACTTAATCAAATATGCTAAAAGTCCGCAGTTACTTGTAGGTTAGGTGTATGGTATCAGTGCAATTAGGCACTATTTCCCTTTTATTTTGCTTTTAGGCAGTGATTGTATATTTGTATAGATACAAACATACTGAGAGAACACCTATGGCGACAGATGTGATGTTGTTTATGCAGCCGCTGGCCGTTCTATTTAAGCGCAAACGTTGTATTGTGATTAATGAGTGTATCAACAGTGTGGGGATGTTTGTGTCCAACCGCCTTTGAAACAATGGCTCACGTTTTGGCACAGCAATAATCAATATTTTCCACTCTCTATAATCCATATCCACTCAAGGATACATTTCCAGCTTTTTTATTGATCTGTTTTGACATCGTTGCCATGCCAAATCGCGGTTGTAAATCGTTACGGCCAAACAAAAGTGTGACTTTTTTGTCAGTTTTGCTCACCTGTTTGTCAACCTGTCTTCCGTCAGACACTTGTAATCCCCCATGATTGGATTCTTATCAAAAACACTTCAGAGATAACGCCAAAAATGTATCAAATGAAGGTAAGAATCGGCGGGAATTCTACAGTTTGTCTGCTGTACACTTTTGTGTGAAAGTTCGTAGGAGATGCGGAGCCGGCAAAAGTATGCGGGCGAGCGGTTTTGTGAATGGAGGTTGTGTGGGGAGCGCAAACGCAAGCAAAGTTACACTTAACAGAACTGCTTGCTGCGAGAGCAAACAAAGCTTATCAAGCCCGGGCGTTGTTTAAATCATACCCATGTAGCAATATGTACAAACATGCGGCTTTCGGACCTATCAGCAGTCACACACTGTTCCGGTGTGTTGTAGTATGTTGACTCTGGGCTAACAACAGCCCGCTGGCAAACAATGACATCATCCGGCCGGCCGGCTTGGTGGGGTTAAGTGGACGGTTCAGATGGGGGAGGGGGGCGCAAACCTTCTGTCAGGACGACCTCTGATTTGTAAATAACCTGTTTGATAGGTTCTGTTTTTAGATTCCTGTGTTTGGCTACGTATGACAGCTTTCTTTCATACGTTATGTGTCTACGGAACAATTCGAGTTGTAGTTTGATTGTAAATCTAACAATCCCAGTGAACATTTCTTTTGGTTACATATTCACCAATAAAAATCATAATAAGAGTGACAAATGATATAAAGGGTTGGAAGGTCACATAATCTAAAGAATGGAAACAGCACTCTCTATTTTTAATTCGTAGATCTTGGTATTGGTGAATAACGCTGCATTGCCGCGACTGGATACATGACTTAGATGTTTATCTTTCACCAGTAGATCTTCCTCCCAAGTCTGCTCACGCCATAACGGCAAAGCACCCTCGTTACCCACCGGACACACATGACGAACTCATATCGCTAATAATCGTAACCACCAAACATGTTCCCCGCTAATGCCACCATGTTTCTCCCTAACCAAATACCATTAGCCTGTCAAATGTCAAGCCGTTGGACAAGGTCATGGACAAACAATGGCAGTGTGCTGTCTGTGCGGGGACCAGAGTCCCGGGGCGGTACCTCGCCTTCAGATCAAAGCAGATAGGGGGAAGGGCTGCAGGTGATAAATGACGTCTGGTTTAAGTGAGGAATGCAGTGAGAATGACACTGCCCCGGTGACTGTACCTTGGTGATTTGAGGTGGTGGTGGGGTGTGATGCTGGTGCGATGCTCATTTAACTGTCTTGCAACTACATTTTTATCTTTCAGTGAATCAGACCTTCATGATAACGGAATTTCGTCAATCGTAGATTGTAGAAAATGATGCAAGTATGGAAAAATGCCTTTTTATGCACAATTTTAATTTTAACTGGTCATAGTTGGTACCGAGCCGGTCTCCACGGACAACGACCCCACTAGCACACCGCCAGTCGTCCCGCACCAAGCACCACAGACACTCAAGAAATTTGAAAGTGTTTACAACAAGACTCCCAAGGAATGTAACTACTTCAGAGAAATAAAGGAGGGAATGATCTTTTGAAGTTTATCCAAGCTTGAGAGATCGTTCAAAGAAATTAGCACATAATACCTTTTAACTCATCAAAGGTTAGTATACAATTGGTTTGTGCGTACGTTGTATCTTGAAACGTTCGCAGTTTCTAGCGCTTTGGTCAGTTAGCACTACACAGGGCAAAATAGAGTCCTCGCTATTGTCCTAATTTGTCATATACACTTACACAAACTCTTAATACGCAAATACATACTTTTCTAACACAGGAAAAAACAGCTGGGTAGAAATTCTATCTCTTCGAAAACACCTGGACACAAACTATGAAAGCCTCAGAAAACTACGGGGCTAGTAGTGGTGATTATTCTTTTGTCCAAATGAAAAAACCTACCCTTGGAACAGAAGGCAAAGTTGTTTTTTTTAAACGTTTTAATTTGTTTTAAGAAAAATTCAGGGCTAGGACCAGCAGTCCTTTCTCCACAGGGCCATAGCCCTATACAACAAAGAACTGACGTATCACTAGTTTTATTTTTCCTAAACCTCATCTGTATATAGTTTTTTGCTTGGTACAAATTCTTTATGTATTATAGTGTAAATAAGGGTGTGTATATAGTGTTTGTTTTGCCTATTGTAACTTTTCTCTTTTTTTTTCTGTACGCAAACTCTTTCAATTCGGGGATTCTCATCCCTGCTGCAAGGTTTGCTTTTGGTGTTGAAATAAATAAGGAACGATTCATCCCAATCTAGAATTGAAATCAAGAGGGTAGTCTTTTGTTGTTTCTGTTATTGCTGGAGTAGCTGGTATTTAATTGCAAAATAAAATCTATCAATGCTTACCTCATTCTTCAACCTCGCACCAGAAAACCTGCGAGAAAATAAACACAGACCTTTATCTAATACTTCACAAATGATGAACATAGCAGTTATTGTAGAGTATACAAGTACTATCTTATCATAGTTTAAATACGTATAACGTTCTGTAGAACTGTATAAGAAATTCTAGACATTGAGCTATGTGTTTATGCGGATCTAAGTTTTATTTTAGGTTGTTTGTATTCATATTTCACTGACTGACAATGTTGCAGTGTTTGAAACTCCATACTCAGTAGCGTGCAACTCTCACCGACGCAAACATAAGCATAGAAGTCAGGGAGAATTTTTGAAGAGATGTAGAGATTTTGTATGATTGGCAAGTATATAACATGTGGGAGGGGCAGCCTTTTTTCCGTTGGCACTTTCGAGGATGATGAAAAGAGTTTTCTTATCTGAAGCGGCGTGTAAAGCCGACACTTGACAAGTGTAATTGTTCGCCGGACAACCTTAGACTCTTTCAAACCCGCCAAACTCGCCTCCAAACTTCGCTGCCAAAAATCCACAACCAAACGCCTTAGTCTCCGTCAGGATGTGGGTAATTAATTACAAACAGCCAGATTATATCTAAATTACTGTTTACCGCTGCCATGGCGCGGGGCTCTGTGGGAGTTATTCGACCAATGGGGAGCCGAGTTGGTAATCGTATTCTCTCGCAAACAAATTAACAGCCATTACAGAAACCTCGGACCCAGGGGCGATGTGAAAACGTGTGAGCTATTCCGTACTCTCTAACATCACGTGACGGCTTGGGGAACTGTTTAGTGCCCCTGTGTTTTCTGGCCGGGACGTCCTACGGGTACAAGTAATTACTAACGTCGGCAAATAAGATGGCAAAGATAGTGACAGGGCTTTGGGCTTTGTCTGCAACGTTTGCTTTCCGCGAGGGGCGAATGAAAAATGGGCTGGGCGTCAGCTAAAATTGGACAAAGAAGTAATTACTCAAACCCTAACTGCTATCATTACTCAAAAGGAATTGCTCCCGCTACGCAGCCTTGCTTGGACACTGCACTGCGAGTCCACTCACAAAACATCAAGCTGTTTAAGGCTAAAAGAATTACCAAACGCCCAATCAGTCCACCAATTTACAAATATCTTTAACGTACAGCCCCTAAGTAGCTGAAAAACTTACGCAATGTCCTTCATTTTTATCCGTCATTAAATACAATAAAAACGTCGTTGTATATTACATTGCGAAATATGTCTGACTTAAATGTTAAATCTAAGAAGATAATGTTTTGGGTAAGACTCGGCACGTGTCTTGGTCGGAAGTATGCATACTTGGTAGTTGATATAGCTTCCAGTTGTCAGAAATACCGGTGATTATATCGCTTGTTCAAAGTGTTTTATTATGGTAACAAGATACCGCCGTACTCCAAGCTACTGAACAATCTGCCGAGGGTCTCACAGTGTTCAGTCGCTGTTTATAAACATTTTAAGGAGACTGCTTGTATGGGTACGCAGAAGACAGTCTTTTCCTACTTCTTAGCGTATTCACATACACAAATCATAACGAAAGAAGAAATAGATCACAGTAACTGGCACAAACATAAACCACGGTTTCGAAGGCAAATCATATAGGTTACAAAAATTAATATACATAATAGGTAGAAGACGTAAATGTGATTGATATCTATTATGTGAATAAAATATGCAGGTCATGATATTTACCTCGTGAGGCCTTTTCCTGAATATAGAGAATGATAGTAGGCACTGGTCTCCTTGATTCCTATGCCATAGTAGTGGTACCTGGAAAAATATATAAAAAATTAATAACCCATACATTTCTACCTCCTTATGACGTCAATATATTTTTACTGCAAGTTACGCACAGATAGTAAGAATAGATAGTGTTTTTTTTCATGTGGTAAGCAGAACTCTCACAAACCACACACACGCACACACAGGCAGGTTGCGAATGAAGAAATGTGTATAAACAAACTAGGTTATGTCTGTAGCTGGCGTCACTTTATATTGTGCTGTTCTCCGATTCTATGGCAGTGGCATATTTCGCCAAAAGACTGTCTAAATGAAAGCTCCAATTCTGCCGGTGGTAACCTACGATTGACCCCAGGCCAAGTGAACTTTTGACACAGCCTACGGAAGTGTTGGGAGATCCTTTTATTGCCCCCTAAAGGCCATAAACCACATAAACCACACCCGTTATCTTTTTTATACATTAACTCTTGGTAATGTGAGAAAACCACGAAAAATGCGACCATCTTTGAGAATTAAGATAAAATTCTTGAAAATTAAGCGTGCAAAAATACAGAGAACCTTCGTCTTGTATCCCGATAATGACCGTTATGTGTTCGAAAACATCAAACTGAAACTATACTCTAAAGCAAGCAAAACATAGTTTTAAACAATAGAAATTTTGGTGATCACTTGTGCAAATTTTGTGATTTGCAACTTTTCTCCATGTATTTTTCCTTATTTGTTTTACATTTACGCTCAAATGTGAATTTCATATAACGCCAACTTTTATAAAAAAAAGAAAGTACAGCAGGTTTTGGAGGTGCTGAAAACTTCATTTGGAGTCATGAAAACTTATGTAAATGACACATATAAATACCAATTTAGGCCTGTAAAAGCGTTCACCTATAAAACCATTTATACTCATCGTTCTCTAATATCCTATTTGAATTCAAAGTGAACTTTTATTAACATACATATATCAAAACTTTTATTTAAAAAAAGGAAGTTTTGGAGGTGCTATGCAGTTATAAAAACTTACATAAATGACACATAGAAATACCAATTAGGCCTGTAGAAGGCTTTAACGTATAAACCATTTATACTCTGGCATCGTTCTCTAATATCCTATTTGAATTCAAAGTCAGCTTTTATTAACATACATATATCAAAACTACATATAGTATGCCACTATTTTATATTTGTAGAGTTGCAATATATTCAGATAATATTTCACCGCACCAGAAAGCATATTGCTAACTGTGATATATGCGGCATACACAGAGACCACCTTGGCCTATTGGCTTCCCAACAGCACTATGTACGGTAGTACTGCATACAAGTCTCTCTAACGACCGTTGTACTACAGGTGACCGTGTTACCAGACGTCCCGTGCTAGGACATGGTTATTTTATGTGTTGCTAAGAGGAGCAATGTAGGTTATTATAAAAGGTCGCCCAATGTTTGGTTCATCATATTGAAATTAGCCACTATGTCAGACATGACCGGTCAATCGTGCTTTGTGATGAATTCATATCCAAACAAGTCGACTTTACTGGGTTATATTTTTCTATTGGCGAATTATGGAAACGTTTTGAGCATCAAGATATTTTGTATTTTGTTTTGTTTTGTTTAAAACGGATGCGATTCTAGATATCGCCCATGATTGTTTTGGCATTGACATTGAATAGCAGCGTAAAACACTGCGTGTTTTGTGTTTTTCTAAAATACTACCTCTTGAAAAGTGTACGTAGTTTTGTTTATTTAAGAGTTTGTTGTACGTAAATTAGAATTAATGTTTTACTCTGCAAACTCTTCATTCGTTCTTAGTTTTAGTACTCGTTTGGTATGTGGTGGACCTGCCAAAAGCACGTTCAATTATTCTAGATGTTGCACAACAACAGCATTGTTGAAGGTTTTATTTTCGGGTCATTTTCCAATCCTGGCATTCTTTTTAATTCATTAGGGAAAACTTCTTTGCTTTTCTGTCAATGGCTGGATCACGTATCCGTAAACAGACCGTAGCGTTCCCGCTGATATAGGGCGGTTCAGAGCGTGACATTGTGGATATAGGCTACCCGGAGGAGGGTCTATATATAGTTTTACGACGGTCCATGGCGTCTGTTGCTATGCCGATTGTTTGGCCGAGAAACTGACACAGCGAACTAGCAAAATTTCTCTTAGTAGTGTATATGGTTATAATGTTTGATTGTTAATATTGGTCACGTCTTCAGTCTGTGTATGAAGAAGTTTCATAACTTACCTAGTTTCTAAAGGTTGCGTTTTAAGAGAGTTTTCGTCTTCACTGGTACGTTATATCATTGAATTGGAAAAAAATGGGATAGTCGAAGGAAAAAACTAAAAAAGCAACCAGCTAAGTGAAGACCAACCAACCAACCAACCAACCAACCAACCAACCAACCAACCAACCAACCAACCAACCAACCAACCAACCAACCAACCAACCAACCAACCAACCACATTTAAACAAGCAACCAGCCTGCCAGGTAACCAACCAACCAACTTACTAACCAATCAACCAGTCAACCAACCAACCAACTAACCAACCAACCAACCAACCAACCAACCAACCAACCAACCAACCAACCAACCAACCATCTTACTAACTAACCAATCAACCAACTAACCAATCATCAAATTTTGACATTCATCAAATTACGATTACTTCTAGAAATCCTTGCTGAAAAAGACATACATTGCTAAACCCAGCAGAAGATTTTCCCCTTAGCTAGCGTCTTGAGGTCATTATTTGCTGTAGAATTTGTCCAGCAGACGTAAGAAGGTAAACATGGTTGTTATGCAAACAGAATTAATGCAATCGAGGCGAGCCGTATATCAAAACGGATTTTACGACCAGTGCTGACGCCTGTGTGCCGGCACATACGGGTAGATTGTAGCCTGGGAAGGTTTTGACAGAAAAAAAACTTATATGAGCGCCGCCAGGGAACTGCATTAATGTGTGCTGAAGAATAAATGTATGCAAATTCAACAACGATTATGAGAAATATTTCAATATTTGAGAGCGCACGTAATAAGCCGCCATCCTTCAGATACAAATGTAATACTGGTAGGACACAGGTAAAGTCATCTTAATCACGCTACTATTCATAAATTTTAAGGTGAAAACGTCCAGTTTGGATGACGAAATCCTAAGCCCTAGTAGTTAATCACTATGGCTATATTGCACAAAAAGGCTATTACCCAAGTTGACTACATGTACGTATCCAATTTTTCAGAGATTTAGAACTTTAATTTCGTTGGTACTGCTGGAAAACGCTGATGATTTGCATGGGTCAACCCTTGGAAAATACGGTGTTTCTTACCGTTATATACATATATAGAAGTACGATGGGAGAGATCTAATAGACATTTAAAACAACAGCAACATACTTATGGTGCGGTCACATTTGTGGTACGGTCTTGATGAAGTAGAATATCCAAGCAGGCTGTGACAGAGGGAGCCGCCAACAAGGATCTTATATTAATTACCAGCGTTTTTCTGTATCAAGCAGCGGAAAAAATCCGCAGGGCACATGCAAGACTATCCTAAGAATGCCCCGAGGTTGCGATCGCAAGACTATCTTGCGACGTGTGTAACTAGAAATAAATGGCCCGACAGCATCACGACTGTTACTTACTTTGAGTGGCCCCTGGTCCCCAGTCGTCTGGTCGTGAGGTGTGGAAACTTCTGTCGGATCGTCTGCAACATACAAACCGAGTTTGAAAAAAAATATAGATCTGTGATTCTCCCAAACCTTATAAAGACCATGCACGAAGCACATATTCGTCTGCTATTCATACACGAAATACGAGGATATTAAAATGTGCGTTTTCTTTTCGGACAGGAAGAGAGATAGAAAGAAAGAAAATACTAAAAGACGAGAAAGAAAGTCAGGGTAACAAAATAAAAAAAGAATGCGATTGAAAGAAGAGAGAAGGAAAATCTAAGGAAGTGGAGAGAAGAAAACACAAGTCAGGCACAGAGCTACCAAGAGTCGTTGATTTGTCATTTTGCCGTTCTGTAGCACAGACGGACACGGGGGCATGTGAAACGTCTACCACCGTTGCAGTTACAGTCACTGGTTCTATCACATTAGAGACCCAAACCGTGGTTCTATCACGTAGACTCACTCTGTTTGGCCACAGCTACATGCAATAGCAAATTACTACTGCTACTATAATTACAACAGCACAGATTCTTACCTGTACTTGATATTCGGTGAGCAAGAAATAAATAGCTAAATGATCTGGAGGTCCGGCTATTTTCATGTCGATTGAGCAGCAAGTCACATTAAACAAAACTATACATTCGTATGATAAATATCAAGACATCTACGTCTAGAAATACTGATATCTCAAAACGCTAAACGATAATCGTAGAAAGCATACTAAAAATGTATATATGCCTTAAAACAGCCAGTAAAAATGTTTAATATCTGTGCATCAAGAAGCATCTAGCATGTATACAAGCCATGTATTAGACAAGTGTCTTAGATAGCTATCTTATAAACATCCCCATGATCTGAAATCCGTCTTAGAGAAAACCTTGTCCTGACAAAGGGATATAATACTAGTAAATGATTATAAGGAAATTTCATTTTCGCCGGTTTTGTACAATGTGCGCATAAATATTAGCCAGATCTAAACTAACATAATATAAGACGAGCTTACACGGGAGTAGGCACCTAAATGCTCTGATAGGTTCGTGGATTAAACATTAAAGGATACTTCATCCTGATTTCTCGACTCAATGGCAAGTTTTGATTGCAAATCTTTCATTCATTCACTCATTCATTGATACCAGTTTTTCCCACAGTTTTTGTTGCATGAATGACATTGTGAAAATACGAATGACATTTTTGAGTTTGTACTAAAATTAAAACTAAAATTGTGAACATAGTCGTACGAGCTACTATTGTGAAACTTAGGCAGACAGAAAAAAGACTTGAATTTTTTTCATTCTTTTAGTTTTAATTTGTTAAATTTCTAGATGACAACGCCACCGGCAACGGCACTTATTTAACGCCTACCTTTCCGAACGTTGCTGCGCATGCAGGCTCGAGTTTTTCCCGGCGGCAGAAGTCCAGGTAGTGCGCGTACAGAATACACCTCGGCAGGCACACGCCCTCGCACATGATGTAGTTCTCCTCAAGCCTGGATAAACGGAGAAACGTCTCTAAGTATTTTTTTTTTATTTACTTCATGGTTCACCACAACACAGGGCTCATGGGAGCCACTCAAATGTTTTGGGTTACTGTACAGCCAGTAAGGACATACATGTATATCTACTGTAATTAACAAAATGGAAAGATCCGTGTTCTAGAGGAGTACGCTACGACCTTAGTACAATTTGAAGTTCCTTGTGGACCCCTAGCACGTTCATAATGTTGCGTCGGTGTTGTTGTGCTGCTAAATGATTGTATAGAAAGTATGTCTAGTGGTTATGGTTACATTCTTCGCCGGTAGGTCGTCAAATGATTTTGGTATCGTAGGGTTTTCATGCTTAGGTCACATTTCCAAACCGGGGCCCGGCCGGGCTGTTTCAATTAACAAAAAAAAATCAATAATTTATATCAAGAATGTACGCAAATAGTTCCCATCATTTATTTTTCGACTTTCTTTGTGTTTTGTTGTACTTTATATCATATTTTTCGTTCCATAAGACTGATCGGTCGGGACCCGGTTTGGAAATTGACCTCAGCCTAAGCAGCCAGTGACAGAACCAACCAACCAACCACGTCTTAAGGCCTAAAACACGTCTTTTCGGGAACAAAACAGATGAATTTTGCTCGACACAAGTACGACTATCCCACGGAGGATCTGATCAGTTTGCGATCTTATGAATGTGACCAGGCCTTTTGCCTAGAGGAGACGGGATCGGTGGTAACGGGTTCGATTCCTGGCTTTGAAGTTGTGTCCCTTTGAACGCCTCTATACAGGACAAGTAAGTAAAGGACTCTCCTCATCCCACCCAGGTGCACATGAGTACTGACTTCAGTTGAAGAGCTAAACGTGGTGGAAGGGTAGGGATGGTCTTCGCTTTCCAATAAAATGTCTAAAAAATGGATTAAAACCTACTACCCATACGGTCTGAAAAGAGCTACGGAACATTTACTTGTTACTCCATCTTGGCACAACGTCATAGCTTGATAGTACTAACGGAAGAAAGGGCAGAACATACACGAACACAAGGGCGAAATTGGATGAAACGCTTTTGTACTTTGTGTAAGAGCGAGAATTAAAAATGCTGGATATACAGTCTCAAAATAGAGTCTAATATTATATTTTTCAAACAAAGAGTGAAAGGCAATAGCAGTTTAACCGAATACATTCCCCATATAATCAACTTGCCTATATCGCCGATATAATTAGCACTTCCTAAATTTTTCGTTTTTCATCAATTTGTTTCGTGTGTTAAATTCTAAATTGTATCAGACAAGACCTACAGTATATACTTCTAGGTCTAAACCTCTCAAATTGCTGGTAAAAAGGGCTAAAGGAAAAGCGGCAACGCCGGTATACTACTTTACTGTAGTTCCGTAATAGCTGTTTAATTGGCTGCATTTTTTTTATCAAGAAAAGCAAATGTTGAAAAAAATATTCCTTTCTTCTTTTCTTAGCAAGTGAAGTTCTTAAAAAACATGTTTGGGCAAGAATATATTGTCTAAGTGAAGAAACTGACAGAGGTATTAAAGCGGAGATGGTTTGCAAACGATAAAGGTTAAAAAGCGTTTGCTGCACTGTTAGTTGTGCAGTGAAGCGTGCATGTAAGCCGGGTGAGACTTGTTTACATGTCTCTCAGTTTGTTGGCTCTGTTATTTAGCAGCACAACAACATCGACCCAATATTATGAACGCGCTAGGTGGCCGCAAGGAACTTCAAATTGTACCACGGCCGTCACCGTACTCTTCTAGAGCAAGAATCTTTCCATTTTGTTCATACATATTATGTATATTTTAACTCTAGATTTACATGGTAGCGACAGATAATACTCCTTTTTAGTTATGTTGTAAGTAAATTTCATTAGTTTAGATGCTTGAATATATCCACGATCACAGTTGCTTTCGTTGTTATGTTCCACGCAAGAAAAAGACCTTTATGCCCCCCCCCCCACATATCTACTGCCATTTTGTACAAAAAAATAAAACTGGTTTGCGAAAGGTTATGGCCTTGGTAAAGGTGAGAAGTAGATTTTACCCTGTTTTAGATAGTAGTACGAAAACATTTATCGGTAGATCTAGGTGTAACAATATCGCTTTGTTGTTCGCATTCGCGCTCACTATAGTCATTAAGAAATAACAAAAACCGAAGTTTGTAACTCAGCACTTGACTATTCAACCGTTGTCCCATTCTAGCTGTCCTAGACATTTTTTCAAAACCTTTTTAGCCCCCCTTTCCAAGGGATTAAGACCATTGAACGACGAAATTGGATTCGTATGGCCTGTTACTTTATATATTGAACATTATACAGAAGAACTTTATTGCACGACAATTGTACAGGGTATGATAAAGGCAACAAAACACGCAAACCTAAAAAATTCACTTTTTATGGGTAAAATTCGTTTGAACTACTAATGAGAATTTGCGTCATTCAATTGTCTCATCATCGGCGGAAAGGAGGCGTTACTACTACTATATTATTGCTAAAGTCTCCCAACCCATTTAGTTTTCAAAGAGTCGAACAATTCATCTCCCACTGCCTCCTGAGAAGAAGTCAAACCTCCTAATACCTTGGCAAAAATAGTCTAATAGAATAGAATAGCAGTTACCATGTCTCCCTTACCTGTTTATGTATTGCATATCAACTCTTTATCTTGTATACCAACGCTATTAGTTTTATGTGGAGATAGTAAGTGAGATAGAAAGATTGTAGAATATGTTAGCATATAGTTTTATATCACTACATTCTGTAGTCATTGTTCAATGTCTGTTTGCAATTAGCTGTCGGGTATGAACTTGCAATAAAGAACTCACATTAATACTCACTATTATATCAAAATCATCTGAGATTTACGTATTTATGAGAATAGTTGTTTTTGCCTACCATTGCAGGGTCAGGTGAGTTTGTTTCTTTTTGTCCTTCATCATTTGAGCCACGGTCTTCTTCTCTTTCCCAAGGTCATGTTGTTTCTGCTCTTTGCGCAGGCGCGCTTCCTCTTCTTCCTCGGACTCTTCCCCGCTCTCTTCTGTCTGCGGTTCTGTCAATCAAAGAAACAAGTAAACAAATAAACACAAACAAAACAACATGATGAGTTACAGTGTTCATGTCTGTACATCGACCCTTTGGGGAATGTACGTGGTTTATTAAATTCTTTGGCAAATCGTTTGTGCTAAGTGCAAAATTGTACTCACAATATGATCACTTGACATTTTAAATTGATACGTTTTGTAAAATCACTTGACATTATAGATTGATAAGTTTTGTAAAATCTACAGCTACAGTTCTTTTGTAGAATTTTTTTTATTTACATAGAATAATGTAATAGTTTTGTAGATTTTTAAGCCAACTTATATGTTGCCGTAATGTTTTGTCTGTCTTGTCAGCAGGGCAAGCCCTTTGTAATAGCCACTAGCTAGTTGGGCTGCCCTGGCTGTGAGGGTTGAACAGCCAAACCAATAAATAGATAATAAAATCTACAGCTTTTATATAAATTTGTTATGTAAAACATTCTATAGTTACATTTGTGACGATTGTGCGATCTTATATTATGACTAGCAAGACTTAACATAAAAACATGTCACCAAGGACGTTCAGTCATGGAACATCCTTGATGTCACTAACTTTCCATCACCAATTTTCTAACTACATGTAGTGCACAAAAGCGTAACATTTCGACAGTCTTTTAAAATCACACATTTGTTACACATACAATTTGTCACACATACAATTCTACTTTGTTACTACAGCAGGCCAGTTTTTGTCCATATAAACCTTTACTAATTTTCAAACTGAGGAAACTTTTTTGTCAAACACGCTGTACTACAATGGCTCTGAATGAATGAATACCGTATGCCAGTTATGAATATTGTTTTTAATCTTTGTTAATTTTTCTGGAAATGTGTGCTAGCTTCCTCAAAACTTTCATACTAAAACTTTCTCAAATGTGTTTGAATTGGTCATTTATGCTCTTCATAATAGAAAATAGCAGAATTTACTAGATTTGTTTGTGCGCTGGCGTTGTAGGTGTGCTTTTCTGTGGCATGCGATGTTTTGCACTGTGTTAAAACAATGGAGGTCCGCTAATGTTTTAGTTTACATGTAGAGGTTTGAGTGTCTATACGTAAGTGTCAACCGTTGTCAGATTGTGAAACGTCGATGCATTTCAACGCCTGTCAGATTTGGCGGCAAAAATCATTTTGAAGGAAGACTGTTTTGATAATACAACATAAAAGTATAATGGAGTCTTGAAATTTGTGTTAGAAATCATGGAATGTGCTTCTTGTTACTCATCGAGAAAAGGATTTGTCTACAATATGAATTTGTATGAGTATCTTTTAATTGCGACGATATTTTTGTATGGATACCATCTTGTTACTTTAGTTCGACAGGTTTATATATTAAGGCCTTCGCATTGACGATGAAGCTCCTTTCATTCAGCACATATAAACAACTTACATCTAACGGACATATTAGCAGCACAGCAACAGAACGGTTAACCTACTGTAAGGAATATGATGCAACATCAGCATCCTAGATCTCACAGAATGATATGCACAAAGTGCGTTCGAAACATTCCTTACAACTTGTTACAAATATGCTTTTGCAAGAAATGGTTGTACTTTAGGTAATGCTGAAAACTGTTCAAAGACTGACAAATGGCCATAGGTATTTTCTTACACATTAATCTTGAGCATACTATAAAACGGCTACTAATTCTCTATTGGTTGTGTGGTTTAGGCAGCAGAGAGAAGGAGGAAGCATTGTTCAAGATGTTGCTATTATATGAAAATATTAAGCACTTTTTCTGTAGTTCGTGTCGACAAATAGAAAACATTAGTACTAAGCTTGCAAGCTTGCGAACAACGTGTCCGAAAGCGCTGTTGCTCAACAAAATACTTTACTTTTCAAATTTCAATCATTCGAGGGCAAGACAGCTGAAATTTAGTACGACACGTCTACAACTGTCCCAATAATAGCTTCAGCTTTCGATCGTACGACAATCGTGCAATGGTCGTACAACAAATGTGGCCAGGCCCTTGGGTACACAGCTCTACCATTACAACATATGGCTACGGTAATTCGGAAGACCGTAACACGGAGAACAGGTGCGAGGCGCACACCTATAACGTTCTCTATGTAAACTGTAAGAAGCGTTGGCGTGCCTGACTGGAGTTTACATGTCAACTTAGTACACTGTCCACTCTCCTGTACAGCACGATTTTTATGGTTAGGACCTGGTCACATACACATCGGACGCTCGCAAACTGAGTTCATTCTTGGGATAGGTCGTGCATGTGTCGTACGAAATTCTGCTGTCTTGTTATCCGAAAAGGTTATCTCGGCGGTTGGTTATGTCATTGTCTGTTTGGAAATCCTACGACATCAAAAACCTACAAAGACCTAGGACAAATTTGGCCGTGCCTTTACACTCAGAACAGTTAGGACACTTTTTAAACTTAGGAATATGCTTCTCTCAGTTTCAAACTACTCAGATCGTTCTATATGTAGCCCTTGATATCCGGTAAACTGTAATAATATTATGTAGTTGCGTTCACAGCATATATAATACAGTAACTGTGTAACTTTACATGTAGGCGTACTGGTAAGATGAACGGACTCCAAATGGAGGGAGAAAGAGAGTGGAAGAGAGAAAGAGAAAGAGAGAAAGCGAAATAGACTAACGGTTGGGAAATTGAGGAAGAAGAACAGTGAAACAATTTTTAAAAATACAGGAATACGATACATAGACATATCACAAACTTCAATAGAAACCAAAAAGGCATTACTTTCAAGACTTTCACTGACATCGTTACTATGGCGTGCATCTTATATCTGGTAATACAATGGAATAGCACATTGTTATATTTCTTTATTGGTGGTTATGCATTTAGAGCTGTTAGAAATATACATTTAGTGTAATGTATTCCATTCAAACCGTTCTATTAGGTGTTGCTTTGCATCTACAGCATTCTTGTTTCTTAACGAAATTTGCACTTTACTACAACGTTTAGAAGTGATATAAATATAGCACAAAAATATTCGTATTAGCCGGCTTTATATGTGCAAGGTATCTAGGAACTAGAAGTATGATGCAATATACTAATACCTAAGTTCATATCTTAGTCATTCTACAAGTTTGCCCACCTATAACTGAAAAAAAAATACTTGCAATTTTATGTGTTTAAGTTTTAACTTATGCTGCTCCATTTTTTCCGGCGTTGCGTTGTTTTGTTTTGTTTTGAGTTTCAGCTGTACCAAAAACTTGTACTTGTATGTTTGAGCCATTTTCTAATCTGAATGTTTCAAGTAAAACTGTACAATGACTCAAATAAGTGGAACCGTAAAACTATAGAGAGCTGCATGGAGAAATGCCCTTTCTTCTAATTCAAACTTTAAACCAAACAGGCGGTGCGGTTTAATTTCTCTTCTATCAGGTTGTTTCAGGGATTGAGCGAGCTAATTACCAGCAAGGCTTCCAAAACAAAGATTGCCTTCAGATTTGTAACAAAACAATGTATGGATAAACCGGATTAGCGACGTAACTAAACACGGAGAATTGATGGAAGACTTTAGGTCTTTAGTTCGGGGCTTTTTGAAGTGCGGGGATCAGTGTTTAGGTAAGAGGGGTTTGACACAAGAAGAATGAACACAGTAGAGCAACAATGGCGACGGGAATGTTTGCATGTTTTTCTGTGTGTTAAACTCACTCAATCAGAGCCGCCATGACAGCTGCTTATGTTTGGAACTTTCTGTGTTGAATTCCTTTTTCCTCAACGGAATCAAATTTATACACAAACTCCTCAGTTTACTGCAAATCTTCGTTAAGTTGCTGAAAAGCCCAGTTTCTATGAGAACTACCAACTCACCTGTTTAAAACGATTAGGTAGATTTTGTGATCGTCACCTGTTAACGGTGCCCGGTAGGTATAAGTGTTTGTATACACAACTGCATATATAACTTACGTGTTTCTATTCACTACAACGGCACGAACAATGCTGGATTTGCTGTTCCCTAAAAGAGTACCAAAAAGGAACCGATCGCTAATGATTGTTTTTTTTACCTGACTTGACGGCAGGGTCTGTATCCTTGTCGGAAGGGGTGCTGATGTCACGGGCCTGAGCGGGGGAAGCGTCCCGGTCGGTGGTGTCGTCTGCTCCCGTAGCTGTCGTCCGAGTAGCCGGCCTTTCTACTGCTGAACCGTCACGAGTTTTCAACCGCTTGCTCGTCGGCATGCTTTCGACTCAGCCTTCAAGCCACTGATCTTGCAGAAAGGCAAGGAATAGGAGATCCCCTGAGTAGGAAAAAGGGCCTGCCTTCCTATGTAGTAACTCTTCACCTTTTTTCTTTTATCGTTGAAGGTCACCCGGAAGAAAAGTGACTCGTACGAGAGTCGACCATTCAGGAAAGGCTGTCCGTTTTCCGCTTGTTGAAGAGTTCCGTAAACTCGTGTTGTCTCCCTCGGGCTGCCCCGCGTGGGCTGGCGACTGCTAGCCGGGCGAGTGACCGGTGAACAAACTCCACTTCCCCGACTGCTTCTCCGAGCCGACAACTGTTTCAGATCGTGTGGAGCCGCGAGGAGGAAACAAAAGATTTGCCTGTGTCGTTTTCCAGTGTCCAGTCCGAAGAAAACGAGAGCTGACTGAGTCTATGTCGTGCCTCGGACATGTGGTAGAGAGGTCTAAGCCGTTGTACAATCAGTTGACTGAGGTGAAACAATGAAATACAAGCCCTTCATTGACGCTGACGTCACTCAAGCCGAAAATGCAGCAGCCACTACGTTTACTCTTTACTTACCAGCCAAATGAGTCTGACCGGGTGAACACAGCTTACTCATTAACGAAATTTCTCTCCCCCGCTAGCGCTCCCGACCTCTTTTCAATAGGTAACCCGTTCATAGTGGCTATAGCCAACATGCAGAAGACCATTCACATAACGGGTCAACTAGACACAATCTAACGGTGCTGTCACATTCGTAGTAGGTCGTACGATTCTGGTGTCGTAGGTGTTTCAAGCAGGCTGAGACAGAACCAACCACCGACAAGGATTTATGGCAGTCTTTTCTGTAACAGAACAGCTGATGTTTGTACGACGCGTGTACGACTATCATAAGAATTAATGGCCTCGGCTTGCGATCGTAGGACGGTCGTACGGCGAATGTGTCCATGCCCAATACAGTGTTGCTGGTTATATCAATGAAACAATATATTTTTTACGATTTTTAATAGAACCGTATACTATTTTGTAACATATAAACCTTATGAAAACTGGAAATATACGTTCATATCTCTTCTAATTAAGCACAAAACGCCGACTTTACCTTCCGTCAAATTTAGCTCGGTATATATTCAGTACATCTTTAATTTATTCAGATATTTCTTCTAATAGGCAGCAATAAAGTTAAAAGTATTGCTGAATAGTTGAACAATGCTACAGAATTCTTAATCTGCGTTGTGTATATATGGGATGTGTGACATTGTTTATTAGTGGAATCTCTTTCTTATAACTACGACGTTACGATGCCTGCTGTTCTCATGTAAAGCGATAGAGGACGCTTCTGACTTGTTAGGTGACATCTCTCGTAAATCGAATAGATTCAACAGGGTAAAACGCCACCCAAGACTATGCTAATGTTGTCAATAGAATTACGCTATCTAAGATTTTCATGTTAAGATTGAAAACATCCCATATTTACAACCACCATATTATCTACTTATGAACAAACCCAGTACATGTAGTGTTGATATTATGCATTTTACAAAGCAAAACATATTTCTGAAGAGTTTGCATATTTTTCGTGACTTAACAGAAGAGCTTAAAAAGTTTTAACGGAAGAGCTGTACGATAGGGAATGTACCGGCATAATCATCTCGACCCGTTATCTCCATGGCAACAGCAGCCAGCGTGCTGTCATTGGTGGGATGCTTCATGTGGGGAGAGATCTCAGCCAATGGCACGACCACATGAGCAAACCGAAGGATGTCTGGATCAGGAACAGTTTTCTGAACGTGGCCGTTAGTCAAGCTGTGATTGGACCCCTCGTCATTATTGATGACGCTGTAATCCTTGACCTCTGACCCCCAGAGAGAGATGTCAAGGTCAATCGTGCGGGGGCCGTTTTTGTTGTTAGGATCGCGCACGCGCAGAAGCGACTTTTCTATTCCAGAAAGGACAGTTTTCAGTTCTGTCGGCGTCATTTCTGTCAGGATCCTAACCGCCATGTTGATGAAATCTGGCTGGTCGGTTTGAAGCTGAGGCGAAGTAAGGAATGGTGAAGACATCTTAAGCACCAAGACTTTCTTCTTCAAGAGGGCGAGGGCGTCCCTCAGATTTTTCCTCGGGTCGATGTTAGACCCCAGGGAGAGATGGACCACGCTGTCGTTGAAATCTTCCGGTGTCCTCTCGATCAGGACGCCGACGGAGTCAGAGAAGCGCAGCGCTTGTGGCTTGTGGACTCGTACCTGAACCCACGGAACCTAGACGTGGAAAATGAAATATACAAAATTTTGCTGCAGTACATAGCAAATCAGCCAGGGAGCATTTTTCATTTTTTACACCAGTAGCTCAAGACCAAACCACATACTGAATATCATGCCATATACTAGTACCAATCCATCCACAACCTCTTAAATTATGCCACTTAATCACACGCAAATACAATATATACTACTACACTGTTGCTTCATCTTCATCAACCCCGCGAGGGGTGCCGTGAGGGGGTGGGGGGTGGGAGAGGAGGGTAAGGCGGGCAGGCCGCCAGCCCGGCCCGGAACGACTCAACATTGGGAGCCATGACTACCGGGCCGGGTAATGAGTTCCACTGTGGGATGGTACGGGGAAAAAAGAAAATCTGTTGCACCATTAGAAACGCTGTATACCAAAACATTGATTTCATGGCGAAGTTGTATACATATGCACATAAATATATTGAAAACGTGGTTACGCAAAGGTCCCGTACCTTGTGCAGAGCAATGCAGATTCTGGCGACGTCCGTCGCTAGTTTCTCCACCAAGTTGAATGACGTAGACTCCACGTAATTGATGACGTCTTTGGAAACAGCCCTGTAGTTCACGGAATCGCTGACGTCATCGCTTTTTCCCGCCTTGCTCATGTCACAGCCAAGGCGGATACTGATGACGACTTCTTGTTTTTTCCCGATCTCGTGTTTACTGAAGCCTATTTCTGTACGGCACCGCAGGTGGTCTATCTCGATTACGTCATAGCCCCTTCCGCTGCACCGCGACATCTGAGAATACAATGTACATAGGGATACCGTGAGGAAAACCGGCACAATGGCCTTAACTGTTTATTGGTGAATGAATATACCTTTGGGGATCTGCCCAAATTGTGATTATTTGCTGAGAAATTATGGTGCCGACTTGTCCTGGGGTTGGTGCCGAGTTGCCCTGACCAAGGACGTTCAACGTCCTTGCTCTGACAACTTGCTACATGTAGCCTACACATCCGGTGTCAGTAGAACTCGGCACCTGGGACAACTCGGCCCCTGGCCATTAGGGACAACTACACATTCCCCTTCCCCTGGCGCCCGTACCTTGAACTTGAGCCACAAATATCTGCAAAACTTGATCCAGAGAATCGTCAACAGGGTTCTTCAATCTTGCACCGTCACTCAAATAGTACTTTAGTAGTCTGGAGACAAGTACAGGATTTGGTTGTGACGAAATGGGAAAACCGGTCGGACAACAACTGACTCGGGTACTGGACTAGACTACGTCATATGATACTAGTTCACACCTATTAAACCCTAACATACGCCGGCTAGGTGCCGAATTACATGGAACCAAAGAGGTTCAATACCAACGAGGTTCAAGACAATATATATCCTTGGAAAAACCTTGCGTTTGACGCTTTCTGGTGACTTGGTCTCACCGAGGACATTATTCTGTATAATGTCCTTGGTCTCACGGTTTTCAGTGCTCTATCCTGTTATATCACTGTTCGCCTCAATCCTGTGAAAGACTTTCATGTTCCCTGGTTTCACTTTCAGATACTTGTAGCTACTTAGTATTCACTTTAGATAAAGCGATGTGTTTGAAAACCAGAAGAAACATTCAGTAGGGACAAGCATAGAGCTCTGTCACTCAGTGTAGGAAACTATACTTTTTTTTTACACAGAACAACAACAGGTGCTTTCTTTAGCCAAATCACAAGTAAATGTAATACCTTTGTTTGAAGCTTTTCGAACCCGGTCCGACACAGCGACAGAACGCAGGTTCCTCAGAGATCTCAAATCTTTTCAGTAAATGTATTCCGACTTGTGGGGCAAGATGGCTACTGTTAGATATCGTAGTCATTCACGTAGCTTACCGGTTTGTTCACTCGAGCAAGGACATTCTACAAAAACGTCCTTCACTCGAGGTCCGAATTCGATATATCCCTGACCTGTGAGGAGACAGTTCACAAATTAACAAAACAGCATGCATATGGACAAGCCCTGCCTGTAAGGCTTGAACAGCCAAACCTAAAAATGATAAAATAATGGGTAAAGGATTATACAAATTTGCTCTTAGGTTGTTTGGGTTGTCAAATTCGCTTGCTGTCAAATGTTTTGAAATTCGTTTTTGCTGTGAATTTGTGTATTTTGCTGCGAATTTTTTTCAGATAAATTTAAACCCGACTTTCTCCATTTTGCAAAGGAAAGGTCAATGTCTTTTTGTGCCTCCAAGCGCTTTTTTTGTGACTGCAGCATTATGTTGTACGTGATAAAGACATGAAAGTATTAAAATTTGCATGGTCAGGTTTCATCAATGAAACCTGACCATGTATGGTGACCAATTTTCTCGGTCCCCCAGATTTTCCCAATTGACGCGAGCATTTATTGATGACCTGTTCAAGTGACCACCTGGCCAACGCGACCCGAGTTGGGTCCGTTCAGTTTGCCTCGACTGCTGGGCAATGTTTTTGTTCGACGTGCCACCCTCCCCACATGCATTCACCACAGAACTGAAGATGCTTACAGTATTTGACATTAGAACACTTCGACTTGGAAACCATTTATGTCTCAGTCATGTCTCTTAAGGGAGACCACCTGTCCCGAGGTGGCCGCTTTTCTTCGGCCCCCTGGGTGGTCACCTTGGTCAAGTCGGGAGTGACTGTATTCTGCAGTATGTGTGCCGCAAATTTGCAGCGCACCCGTCATTTCGACGGTATAAATTCTGTACATATAGAAGAATGATTATTTGCTTTGCTAAGAAAAATACACGGCTTCTGACATCACTCGGCCAACTGCGCTGTGTCATGTTGACAGAGCAGTCATGCCAACAAAAACATTGCTCTCTCAGTCTCTCTCTCTGCAATCTCTCCACAATCTGCTAATTAAGTTGTAAGTACCATCGTGTTAGAAAAACAATACATTTTGTGCATAAAACTCTAGGTAACTCTCTTGGTTGGGCTAATCAATCTCCCATCGTAAAAAAACCTACGGAAACCTAGCTGAGGCGGGCGGGAATGAGCCTCAGCAGCCCCGAAGAAAACCCGCCCCAACCACGGTAGACTGGATACTGGTGAGGAACTTTCGGTGTCAATCTCCTAAAGGGTCATGACCTAGTGGGCGTGTTGTGACGTGCCGGGACAAGCCCAGGCTTTATCAGCGGGTTTCCCGCAAGCCATTCCCCTAAAACATTGGCAGTGTGGACTACAAAAGTTGGAAGACAGCCACAGGCTTACTTAATCGGTCCAGACACAGAGTTCGGAAGTGGGGAGGGTGTCAGTTGGTAGAAACATGGGGAAGAAGTGGATGAATTGTACCATGATGATTGTTTCCTGGAGTGTTTTGCTGATGCTGGTTCGTCTTGGGTCTTCTTGTGCACCTTCAGGTAAGGTACTGGCACTTAGTATTTCCCATATCATTTAGTAAAGCCAGATTTAAAACTAGAAAAGGCACATAGCACATGTTATATAATGACAATGAACTTTATTGCATATCCACGCCCTACATGGGCCAAATGCATTAAGCTGGATAACTATAGGTACAGGTATAGAAGAAACAAGTGTTATACTTCTGTGCTATAACTATAGGTACAGGTATATAAGTAACAAGTGTTATACTTCTGTGCTATAACTATAGGTACAGGTATATAAGTAACAAGTGTTATACTTCTGTGCTACGTCTCTAACTACAGGATCTATCTACATGATCTCCTCTCTCTTTTTGAAACATGTATGAACAAATTTACATAGCTTTTCATTTACATCGTAGTGCTTGGATGTCATAATATATTTGAACAGTTCTGCTTTTGACAAGTATGTATATTTCTTCTCTAACTCTAAGGAATTGATAAAGGATTTCCGCATATCAGTGTATAACGGGCATTCTAAGACAAAGTGTGCTTCATCCTCTACACAGTTACTGTTACATAAAGTGCAAATTCTGTTACTTGCTGGAGTCTGGTTATACCTACCAATTTCGATCTGTAATTGGTGATCACTAATCCTTAATTTTGTCAATGCTCGACGATGACTAAACTTTTGCACATCTAAATATTGTTCTTTTTCATATGTAAGCTTAATTGTTTTGTAAGTTCTTAACTTATTTCCTTGTCTTCCATTTTTGCTATATTTGGAGTTTATTTCTGAGTAGAAATATTGCAGAAAATTGTCTTTTAGTCTTTGTTTTAGTTCAGATTGAGCAGATGATGTGTTTCTGTCTTTTTGGAGTAAAAGGTAGGCAAAACCTGACTCCTCTAGTATTCTACTTATATTTGACAACCAGCAAGGTATTTTACATCGGTGCAGGTCTTGCTGCACTAATAGAGCTTCATATAGTAAGCTCTCTTTTGGTATTTCTTTAACTAATCTTTTATAATATGAATAAATTTTAGTATATACTTCGATCCACAGTGGGTATCTTCCTAGTTCTGCCCTTGCACCAAGATTGCTGGCATTCTTTCTAACGCCAAGAAGAGACTTACAGAATTTTAGATGTGCTTGTTCCATTGGAGAATTGTCGTTTAGTCCAATCTTGCCCCAAACTTCAGCACCGTAGGTTAATATGGGAACAACGCATGCATCGAATAGTTTACAGTATACAGATACTGATGCATTACTGTCTCCTAAACTTGATTTTATACTGAAGAGGGCTCGTAAGGCCTTTAAATATGTATATATGTATATATATATAAATATGTAAATATGTATATATGTATATATATATAAATATGTATATATGTATATATATGTATTGTGCTTCATTGTTCGTCTGTTTAGTCATCGGGCTAGAATTTTCAATAACTCATATCTCAGAGTCTGATTTGCTTGAACGTTGCAGAGGTAGTCCAATATGAAACGTTTTCTCAGAACACAGTTGGACCAAACATAGATCATACGCAAATACATGTATATTAAATGAAGTTAGACAAATGTTGCGGCTCTGGGACTTTATTCAGACATTTTTAGTGTTCAAGGAAAAAGACGGAGGCTCTACAACCTCTCTCAAAGTCCCACACTGCGCATGCTCCCAATGACGCTAACCAGTCTCCATCTCCTGTGACCCACAATGAAACTGATGGCTTCCTTTGGAATGTCACGTGATTTCGACATTTGCATAATTTAGTCGTCATAAATACTAACTACAATCATAAGCGTAACTTCTTATTTTTTATTTTTTTTTTTAGTAGAGAGTTGACAAATGAGTTGTTTTTGCTTCAAACACAAACCGCTATTTTTAACAGGATCGGAATACTTTACTGTTGACATGTTAGGCAACGTACTTTATGAGCCCAACCCCAACGGTGTGTTGTGCAACGACAAGAGATAGATAGCGCGCAGAGACACTTGATATTAATCTTATTTTGTCAACTACTATCTAACTAAATAAACAAAACACTACCCCAACCAGGCCTCCAAGCTAACTAACACCTTGGCTTTTTTTAAAGACCTTTTTTCCAAGTCAAATTGCTGATCAGTTAAATTCGGTCCGTCTATGATTGAAAGGAATGAAGAACTTTAACGACATAAATTTCTAAAAAAGGGTAAGGTTATTTTTGCCACTAAGACTAATTATAAACATTCTTATTTTGTCAAGAAAACCAACAATTGTATGTGTGAAAGGCGACATAACAAAACCAGGATATGCGGGCGTATGAAACTTATGAACTCATCATTTATTGTTATGATGAAGGCAGAAAAAACAAACCTTTGTACAGCATAACAGGATTTAATTATTATAAAAATAAAGATCGCTACAAAATAGGTTAGTTGCCAACCAGAGGTGTTCTTTTTTCTGATAGACATCTTTGTGTTATATACTATACATAAAATATATAGTGTGGCTTTGTATCGTGTGTTACTTCTGTGTAACTCGTTTTGTGTTAAGTTTGTTGTACAGTTGTATAGTTGTTGTTGTATAGTTCTGCAATTAAATTAATTCAACTGTTGACAGAATAAAGAGCTTCGCCACACAACATAATAAAACAGAAAATGGCTTCCTTAACATATAAGAGGTAAACCAAACATAAGGTGGATCTTTAGCATAATTGTAATTCTTGCTACAACGTTTTTTTTTCGGATCCACGGTGGTGGATCGTAGAATTCGGAATACTTGGCCAGGAAACACGGTATAAGGGAGGGCTACTCCCCCCCCCCACGGTGGCTAAACTCAATTATTCTCCCTATTAATAATATTAGCCAAATGTTTCTGTTTTTGAGCCCGTGTCGTTAGAATGGTGGAGACTAGCTAGCCTGCACCAGGCCTTACTACGGGAATACGGATCGTACAATTCGACAAAAAAGAGAGTGTAAAATTGGCCAAGGGAGTCCACGCGTGGGAAGGTAGTTTCTTTCCGCCCAACTATAAGGCAAACTCCTCTGGCAAATATTCTCCTATATGTAGCAACGTAGTTAGTCTAGTAGAGACTATGGACTAGATACTTGAAGCGACAAACTGGCGTAAAATCGAGGCGTAAGTTTCCGACGGGGTCTAGGCGGTCCTAACGATTTTTTGCTTCCAAAGTGTTCATTTGTTAGTAAGACGAAATAAGGATACTTACCTTAATATCACAGCGTAGCGTCATCTCAAAGTACATGTATTACGTATCTTCAGCGAAAGTCCAGGATGGTGCTTCCACACCTGAGCGGCTGATCCAAACTGTTTGCATATACTGACCCTGGGAACTGTACAATAAATCTAATGGTGAAGGGTGGAGGAGTAAAGCACTAAACTCAAGTGAAAATGAGTATTGTCTGTCCGGTATTCGTTTCTATGTGTGGGCCACAACACCAGCAACAGCTGTCTGTTTCCCACGTGTATTGCACTGTTGAAATCTCAATAAATCAAATCAAATTGAATCAAATCAAATCAAATTATATATGAACTCGTTGGATATGGGTATTTAGTCAAGTCATATATACTAACTATAATCATATGCATAACTTCTTATTTTTTACCACATAAATTAATTGTGTTCTAGCGTGGGTTCTCCCAGAAAGATGCCCTAAGAGTCAGCAGATTTTGTTGCCCAGTGGGAAGGTTTACTGGGCCGAAAGCCGAGCAGCAACGTACGAGAAAGCCCAGGCCACATGCCGGCTAAAGGGAGGAATGATCGCGGTACCGACGGATAAGTTTGAGAACTCTGCTCTGGTCTGGCTGAAGAACTGCGTTGACAGGTGGTTGAACAGGAATGATCTTGAATAATAGAGACGTTGTGGTTGATTGGTTTGGATAAAAAAATGGCGACTACCGTATTTAGAATCTACCATGAAATGGTAGGCATTCTTCCAAAATTAGCAAAAGCTAACGTGTCGAGGAAACTGAATAGGTTAGAAAATATCATACATATCTCACATAATTACTAGTAGTTCGCGTTTATTGTATCCTAATTTTCAACTCCATTTTGCAACATACCACTTGCATCTTTATAGCCGGTGCGTGGGGTTATACATTTTATACTACTGCTCATACATTTAGTTACATTAGATGATAACCATCAATAACCATGACTGTATGTATCTATCAGATTTCGGCCGTTTTGGCTTGGATTACGACGCGAAGAAGACAACCAAACTGCGGCTCATCGCTGGGTTCACGCTTTCGGGGCAGTCCCTATTGGCTCGAACATAATGATCACGTGGCCAGGAGGACGACCATTCAGCGCATGGGCAGTAGGGGAGCCTAACGTAGCGAAGGACAGACGCTGTGTCAGGATCGTAAGCGGTTCTCAAAACGGCAGCAGGAGAGACAAGTGGGCGGACGCCAGTTGCAGCAGCAGGCACCGCTACGTCTGTGAGAAATTCACAGGTAAGGGCCCGGTCACAAACGCCATGCGGTCGTCCTGCAAAATTCTGGACTTGTCACGAATAGAGCTACCTTATGCTGAGGTCACATTTCCAAACCGGTACCCGGCCGGGCTGCTTCAATTAACGAAAAATCAACAATTTTTATCAAAAATATACGCAGAAATAGTTCCATTGTTATTTCTTTTTAACTTTTTTGTGCTTCGTTGTCTTTTATACCATATTTTTCGTTCCATAAGACTGCCCGGTCGGGCCCCGGTTTGGAAATGTGACCTCAGCATTAGATCAGCTATAAAATCAGTAATTTACGTTCCCTTCTTGATTATCCTTTTCTTTCCCTTTGTTTATATATATGTACCGAGTCACATGTTGCTAACACATGTGCATCCTGCCGATAATCCCAGTTGTGGGGCTTGACAGTGGTGAAGAAGAAGAAGAGATCCTTTCGGTGGTTGGTTTTGTCACTGCCTGCTTTAAAATCTTACAACCACAAGATCACATGACGGCCTCAGACGAATGTGACCGCGCCGTTAGTCTTCAGCTGTGTGGCTCAAGGGCTATACAAGCGAAGATATGCGCTCCTGCACACTTTAACTGTGGTACATGAAACAAGTTTGATCTGGATTAGACTATCAAACATTCAGACCAAACCAAATTGTGTTAATATCATGAGTACAATGTGTTAAAATAGATCCGGAGTGTAGCCAATACCAGGTGCTGATGGAAGGCTCGCGAAGTGTGAAGGTGGAAAATCGGCGCCCAAGTCGCCACTGTGATAACCTAGGCTATCACAGATGGTACCGGTTCATGGGGGAGGCCGGCACGGCCATGCCGACAGAACCGCCGCCGTCCTCCCACCGCTGCGGCTCTGACGCCCCCGTCTGGGTCAACGGGACCAACCCAACCTATGAAGACGGCGTGGTCGAGCGGCAGGTTTGCGCACGGGTCTCTGGAAACATCTGTCGCTGGAACTGGAAGATACACGTGAAGGCTTGTCCCGGGGGATACCTCATCTACAAGTTGCCACCGATAAAGCTTAAAAGATGCCGGTCAACATATTGCGGTCTAGGTAAGAAGAACAAGTTTTTAATGATAAGTTTATTGCATATCCATGCCCGAGGGCTACTTGCAAGAACATGATAAAACGGTATAAATGATGATAAGTAATGCTAATGCTAGTTTTGATATAGTTATTGTTGGGTTTGATTTCTTTTCTGTGTGTAGTGGAGTATGAAATGGCTGACACTTTGCGAGATGTATGAATTGGGAGGTGTTAATGTTACATGATATATGTCCCACAGGAAATAACGTGACGGTTAAAGACGTTGTCACTATCATATCTAAGAAAGATGGAGATGCATCTGAAGGGTTCTACAAGGAAGGAAATGTTTCTAACGACACGCCTCTACAAGGTGAGCTAAATGTCTACTCATTGATTTGAATTATATCCTCATTTTTATAATATAAGTGTCAAAAATTTTAACAGGATGTACACTTCACGCTCACACACTCTACTCACAAAGAAATTATACATTTGTTCTGTATTGTATATAGTCTACGGTTACTTTGTTATTTTTCATCCATTTGCTCACCTTGTACCTTGGTTTAATTTGAAACTTGTTGTGTTTCCATCAAGGATGCAGCAGTTACGAGGAGTTGAGTGAAGCTTGGAGAAGTGCCCACGTGTGGACATATCCCGGCCACGATCAACACTTTAAATGCGACGGGAGACATACAGCGGTAAACGGAAGCTGGTACCGTTTCACCGGAGCAGCTGGCGACATGATGGTCACGGAGCGCCCCCTGACGACTAATCGGTGCGGTACACACGCTCCCGTCTGGATGAGAGGGACGCACCCGACACTTGATGAGGGGGTTGTGAGACGGACAGTCTGTGCTTTTTATTCAGATAGACGATGTCTTTGGCGTTGGAAGATCCACGTCAGGGCGTGTCCGGGGGGATATTATGTCTACAAGTTGCCGCCACCACCGAAATGCAACACTGCGTACTGCACAAACGGTACTGAATTACTAGTATAAATCATATTCGATTCATGGGAGAAGGTGGCAGTAAGATGGCGACGGAATGCCCCCTAACGACCCGTTGTCGTACTACACATGTCTATGTTTGATGGTGCGCATGTCCCGTGGGTTACTGGTCTACTAAACACTAAAGTATTACGAACGAAGATGTAGTAACCTGTACAACAGACGATACGATATTCAGATATGAACAGTTATAATTAATAGGTGGATGGGGTTTCAAGATCCATTAATACATAATGTATGTCAACTAAATGTTCACTTATGACAGCATTGTATTTCTAATGGTATATATATAGTCCCCTATAATAATGTACGTGGATATATATTCGTTATAGTAATCACCATGAAAGGAAGAAAAGACAAGCACTAAAGAATACCCATTTACTCCCCTTTATTATCTTAAAAAAGCGGTCATTCTATCATCACAGCACCAATTGCAAACTTGAACATATGACTACAATGCGTACACTTTGCTATCGTAATGTCATATTCAGAAGTATTTCAGAAAACGATACATATTATCCCATGGCATTACTGCTGATTCAATGTTACTATAATCGCACCAAGCATCGGCAATAATAACCTTGCGATAAATACATGAGCTGTTTCCCTTCGCTACCGTCAAATCTTTGCTTTTCTGCTTTATACGTTCTAGCAAGGCAATGCATGTTTCTCAATTTTGTCAACCACTATCCCTGCATTGCTAGCTATACGTTATGTTTTCCATTTCAAGCGTAGTGCATGTATGTAGCTGTCAATCTGATTCTATTGCGTCTGCTTTGATGCTTATGCATAATGAATGAAAGACCTTTATGATATATCTTAACAGAATTACAGTAACATTCCTTTTGTCAACTAGAGCTATTATCAAAACTCTTTAACCTTTACTAGTTCCCAGTTGAGTTTGATTCAAATTCTATTATAGAAGACTTCACAGAAAAGACCCCTATCGTAAGCAATCGCAATGGCATATATGTATTATATATGGCTACAATGCTAATACAATTCCGTTGCAATTAGACTATGCCAGTAATGATCAATCTACATGCAGTAATGATCAATCTAATACCTGATATAAATTGTGATAAGGCGCACTTGAAGCTGTTGGTGCCAAATAAACTAATAAACTGTTAAACATGCTTTTTTGATTAGTGATACTGCTTTTTGGGGGAATAGTTTCAGCAGCATGGTACTAGTAAGTCATTTATATGTTAAGTTTTTTTCCACAAAACAAGTCAATTTTCTCACGATAAACTTTCCGTAACTTTTCAACTGCCTTCATCGGGGCATTACAATGGCAGAGATATTTTATGCAGACAGTGATAGGGCAAGGCACCGAAACGTCGATGACAAAATTCACAGATTGAAAGAAAGAATTTTTTGTTGCCAAAAGACCTCTTTGTAGATCACGGAATTCTGAGTAACGCAGGAGGCAAACAAGACGTTACCATGGCAACGCGTATGTCGCGCATGCGTCAGTCGTCCTGTCCAGTCTATGGTGTCATGGTAATGATGTCGCTTGCCATTCTGTGTTATCCAGAGTTCTCCGTTTTTCTTGACATCCAAGCAGACGTTGAGAGGCAAAATCGTTACGTTTTTCCCAGTAGCTGCCCATGTCTATCACAACCTGCTTTCTCAATGCGACAGAAACGGGCAGCCGTGACGATTTTTGCCTTCAACCATCTGCTTGGAGATAATGCTTTTTTTTTCGAAGCATGTCAAGGGGTACTGGGGAAAATAATGGCGTATTAACGGTAGTTGTCGGCGGCCTCACGGTTGGTGCAGTCAGGGCAGAGGATCCGCCCGCCCTCCGCGGTGAAGCCCTTGCCGACCAGGGAGGTGCGGCAGCCCGAGCAGTTGAAGCAGTCGCTGTGCCAGCTCTTCTCCTCGAACGACACGAACTTGGTTCCACCTTGCCCTAGAAGTAAACAAGGAACGGGCATTTTAGATATACACTGTATCAGACTTTCGACTACGAAGTTTTTTTTAGCTTGCCGAGAATAAGATTATGTACATGTACATTCACATGCGATTTCTTATTTACGAGTAGCTGCCAGTTGTGAAGGCACTTTAATTTCAAACACAAGACTTGCCCAAATTTTACATTGTACTTCAATGAACAATTTAATGTTTTGGAAATTTTAGTTTAGAATTGCTTTGTAATGACGTTTACAAGCAAAGACGAAATTTCCAGTTAAGGCTACAAACTGTCTTTTTTTACAATCAGAATTACGGGGCAGCAATTGGCTAATCAAATTCACAAATCTACATGACATCCAGCTCTAACCATCCAACATGGCGGACAGTATTTACGTCGTAGTCACGTGAGTGCAAACGATGCTTACCGGTGATAGGCTTCGTGCAGTGGGCGCACTTTTTGGCGAAGAGGTCGCCGTAGCAGTTGATGCAGTAGGGGTTGTAGTCCTTGGAGGTGAAGCGATCTCCGGCCAGCTCCCTCTTGCAGTGGGTGCACAGGAAACACTCCTTGTGGAACGGGGTATCCTTGTAGGTGATGCCGCCATGCGCAATCACCTGGAATTGCAGAAGCAGTTTTGCGTTAATCTTTTTTGAATGCGAATATATAGAATAGCATCTAATGTAGTTTCTCTGGGTGTAGTTAGATCGGGTGACCACATTTTTGCTGTAGTAATCATACAATGAAAACGCATATTCGATGTGTTATTACTTCGCAATGGAAAGACCATAGTATAAAAAATTCAAACGCGAAAATTTCAAGAAAAGAAGCATGGTGCCCACCCTCTTGCACTTGTCGCACTTCTTAGCGAAGCGATCCTCGTAGCAGGTCTGGCAGATGACGCCTTCGTCCTTGGGGACGAAGCTGCCGGTTCCGACGGGCTTCCTGCACTGCTTACAGGTGAAACAGCGCTCGTGCCAGTTCTGCCCCTTATACTCCATCTTCTTGTCACCTGGATTAGAATTATAAAAAAAAAAACGGTTTGAGAAAATAAGGAAAGCCACAAAGGGACCCAAAATGTAACCATTTCTTCTATAGGTTGGCCTTTCTTGACAATTTACATATAGCTTCTTACTGCTATCAAAAACACAACCTTCTTGACAAAGGCAACGACAAGACCAAATATATCATTGCGAAATCCTTATTCACTGAAAAACATAGAGATGTATGATCGTTAACAGATAGATAGATACAATGATTGCTTGATTGCTTGATTGATAAGTGTTCCACGTACCGGGGTCGAAGTGCTGCCTGCACAGGTCACACTTGCCCAGGAAGGTCTCCTTGTGGCACTGGGCACAGTAGATCCTGTCCCCCTTCTGGGTGAACTGCTGGTCCACCAGGGACTTCATGCACTTGGAGCAGTTGAAGCACACATCGTGCCAGTGCTTGTTGTTGAAGGAAAGATCCTAGTAGTACACAAAGATGATACAGAACGTACATTAATGGTTTTACTTAAGAAAACTGAAGTTCTCGCACAATACCAACTTGAAGTAGGGTGTGTAGACATATTCGGTATTACGTAATACATTCAGGGTTTGTTCGTATATACATAGGTTGGTATCATCATCATCATCAATCATCCTCCGAAGAGGTGGAGCATACAAAGTTAGATCTCCAGAACTTTCTGTCCTTCATCGCAGAGATACATGTAAGTTCCAGGCCCTGCAAGCCTGTTTCAGTTTCTATAAGTTTCTTAAGTGTTACGTTTGGACGTCCAACTCTTCTTTTTGTGTCATATAGTTGCCTTATATGTTACTAATAGACACGAGGTACACATTTAGCTTGTATCAGAAGAAAAATAACAAAGGAATTGGGTTTTCATATTGGGGTATCAGTTGTAACCAAATCGATTTTGTGGTACCAGTGATTACATCACAATGTTAATATGCAAAGATAATGAGATTTGAAAGGGCTATGTTATTTTTGTACAGCTCTTTCGACAGAAGTACACAAAAGGTTAATCTTTCTTGGCTTCGTCCCAAAAAGAGACAAGCAGTTGCATGCAACGCCCAACGACACGCCTGATTAAACATGTAGCTGTATGAAGGGACGCTACTTCTTTCAGTCAGCCATTGTGGTGAATGGAATTATGGGAAAATGTGGGAGGGTAGAGGCTTGGAACCTCAACATTTTAAGAGATCACATGAACAAATATATACAGGGTAATTAAACATTAAAGATAGTATTGTGTCGTTGGGGTGATGGGTTGAACTCATGGCCTGGGAAAATTGAAGTGGGAGGGGGGCAGCTATGATTGTGGCCGGTCGCCATTTTGTCCTTGAACCTACCTTCACGTCAGTGCCGATCTTCTTGTGGCAGTGCTCGCAGGGGAAGGCGAACAGCTTCTCGTAACACTTCAGGCAGTAGTGGTTGGAATCGCGGTTGACATAGCGATGCCCAGTCAGACTGTTGTTACAGTTGCCACAGTTGAAGCTTGTATTCTGCCACATAGACTTAGACATGGTCCCGGTTTGCGTGGAGTTGCCAACGGCAAGCCTACAATGTAGATATTCGTAAATATTTTATGAGAATCTTTTCTATTGCGTGATCAAACAATCCACACTGTATACAGTTAAAGGCTTCTATTATACATTTTGAAATATTAAAGAGCAAAAAAATGTATTTAAAATCATTGCTTCGTACAACAAATTTAGATAGAGCTCGGAGGTAGAAAATTCTACCTCCATGGATAGAGACAACTGATGTACAGGTATGACTGTCATACTATTTAGATATGGACCTATAGAATGTTCAAAGACTATTATTCCTGGGTCACTTCATCGAACAGATTGTGAAGTAAAGTAGAATCCAATTTCACAAATCTAATTGTTTTAGCTGTATGTTTTATATTAATCTCAGTCCTTAACAACATTTTTGTATAATTGCATATTTTCCAATGGTTGATGATGAATCAAAACAAACGAGGCTGAAATACAACCACACCTAAAATCACGCACGCCCAGTGCTTTAATAACGTTTTGTAATGCGGATCCAACATTCCTTTGTAAGTCTACAGGCCCATTCAGTCACTAGTAATGCGTTTTGAACCATGGCATTCAAAAAGACGCCAGCAGGAATGGTGTCTATATATTGTTTCTTAAAGGTCTCGTGTACCGTAATTTGTGAAATATTCGCGGTGGTTTTGTGTGCGTGGTTTTTGTGGTGGCCACGAAATGACTACAATCTACAAAATATTTTGTCAACAATACAGTACTCACTTGCACTCAGGGCTTATAATACATAGTGGTCATTATTATTTAAGCAAGAAATATTTAATCCAATATAGTCACGTATGAAATCACAACCTGGATCACACCCAGTAGTTATCGTTCTTGAATGCCCATCCCACATTCCACTGACACCATTACCTTCTTACCGATATATCTAACAGCATAAGTCTTACATATCACAGGACGTAGGTCAAACACACATGGCTATCAGAAAGGCAACGTTTGCTAGCAAAGACGGCATATTTCACGTCTTCTCCCATTTTCATTCATGTTAAAGAATTTGAAAGGCCTATTTCTAAAAAAATAGGTGCAAAAAATGCAAAATGGGTGTTAGGCACCTAGGTCACTCCATGCAAAATTTCCCAAAACGACAGAAATTAATCCATGTTATATGACAGGAGAAAAACACAGAAAAAAAACAGTACATGACACTCTGTCTGTATGAGTGAATATAGAACGGGGCACGCTACACATGTAGGAGGGATAACTAGGCTTAATTTCACGTGATCAACCGATGGTATTGCAGTTTGCTTATCTTTAAAATCCTTCTAAATTAAAAGAGAGCCCCTGTACGAAAGAAGCTAGACCCTTTTCTCTGCACAACGTGTTTTCTGACCGGCCACACCTGTATATGTTTGATACAGGTATGCTATTGTTAAGACAACTGTATTGGGTCACACCTTTGCCTGACTACGCCTGACCTTGAGTCAATTCCATGGCGATCATAGTTTTTGTAGAACGTTAAATTGTAATAAGAAGAAAGTAGGGCAGACCATGCAATCTCTATATCTACACGAGAGAGGGGTAAAGGCTGTTTTCACAAATTCCGAGTCCTGAAACGCCAAATATACAAACCCATTACCGTTCGTACATACCGACCTGCCACGCAAACAGCAAACACACCCACAAAATCCGGCTCAGAATCGTTCAGAGATTCAAACGGTCTACCAGAGTCTAACGTTGTCAGTTGGTGCTACTAGTAAATACACGATTTCTAGAGACAGTCTCAAATCGATTGAGACATCTCAGACGGAAGCGAACACTTACCCAACAGATCGTAAAGTAAAGACGTCTTGTCTGTGTCCGTTCTCGGTGAAACAAGACGGCTTGAGGGGTTTGGCCCTCCAGTGCTTGACTCGGTAAAACCGGTTTATCTAGTCCTCTCCAACCCGCCTAAGAAGACAAGTACAGTTGACTGCGCACAGAAAAACCATGTATCAAATTCGTCCCAAGACGAGTATATCCTTGAAAGACGTAAAATTGAAGATATGTGTCGGTCAGAAATGCGATTTTTCAAACCTGAACATAAAAGATGACCTTGAATGTCCTTGAATAACATTTGGCCTATTACTCCTTTACATTTGGTAAATGGTATGAGCCAATTATACAAACGACAATATTGGGTGTGCCGATTTTAGACTACAGGATATTTGGGTGTGTCATGGTTTAGACCATGCACGTCATTGTTGCTAAGGCTCACCCAGTTATTTTGCGTGAAAAATATTTCTGTTGTCAAGTAATTTACAAGACGACTAAACACGAGCCAAACAGACGAAAAAAAAACGTTCGAACTTACTGCGCATCCACTAATCATGTCAGCCAAAATTTGTAACAAATTACAAACAAAACTACAAAAACAAGGTTTACGGTAGCGAAAACTACAAAAACAAGGTTTACGGTAGCGAAACACGTACGCTCTGTTAACAAAGAATAGCCCATTGTTGAACTGGGATTGCATGTGTGTATAATGTGTATGCTGGCATGTGTTGACCTACAGTACACTGTAAGACCTCCTTTCACGCGACGGCGACCATACGGCGACAAAACACCGCAGCCGTATGATTCAGAACAGATCTAGCCAGGTGAACCGGATTAACTTTCTTTCATGCTTCATTGTTACAACTTACAAGAAAGAAAAATGATGAGACTTTCAGACTTTTTTTTTCTAAAAAAATCTATTGGTACAGTGCGCCCGAGGTTACACCACTAGTCATCCCGAATAACCACACAACCAACCAACCAACCAACCAACCAACCAACCAACCAACCAACCAACCAACCAACCAACCAACCAACCAACCAACCAACAAAGCAATTTAGATGTCTATTCATTCAAGACGATTGGATTAACATCGCATCCATTTGTACATACACATGTGGGGTAGACTGATTTTTTGTACCCTAGCCCCTTCAGTCTACTCTAGTAAAAACACCAGTGTTCATAATGTCATTTCTAAATTACGGTCTGTAGTCAGAAATTGTTGTGATATTCATGTACATATACAAGAAGTATTATCATTTCAAGTTCATTAAGCCTCTCAGGTCACTATTTTTTGCAAACTCTGATCGTAGAAATTCTTTTTTACATTTGCTCCATTTCAAATTTTTGTAGTAACATATACTATATAATGTAGCCTCATCATACACGTCTGAATTCCAAATTCCCCGCACTGCCTGCCACTTTATGGCTAGACCAGTCAGAAGCGAGCTTTCCTGCCAAACACTAGGGACCCGGCTATTGCTGGTCACCATGGCAACGGCCTGACGGAAAAGCTCGTCTGAATCAAAGCGAGGTTGTGCGTTTAGCCGTTTGTGGTCGGACGGGTCTCCACTAACAAAGTAACTTGTGATGTTACTGTTGTAGTAATACGTCAAAGCCGCAACACTAGACTCGTCATGCACAAAATAGTCACATTTAGCCAGCAACAAAATGTCGGTCAAAACCTGTTCACCTAGCAAACGCCCAAACTCTACAGTCTTCAATTTGTTGTTCATCTCTTCTCCCCTCAGAGCGTTGATGTTTAAGACTCTGTTATCTCCGAACTCTGCTTTGAATACGCCAATTGATTCGTCCTTGTCTGAAGCTACGAATATGCGGATTTCCTTGCCAGTGTTTGTTGCAATGATGTCGTTCATGAGACGTTGTACGGTTTGAACAAAGTCCTGTAGTTCGGGCATTTTCTGCTGATTGTAGCTCATCTCACCAACATGGCCACTGTGAAATCTTAAATGCACACCTGAAAAAATGGAATAATTTATATTTGTTTGTCAATAGAAGAAAAGGCGTCATTATTTTTGTACAAGTAATATCGATGAAGAAAAATACTAAATAAAGTAATGAGAAAAATCGATTAGCAAAAATGTTTCAGTACTTTACTCTAAAGAACAGGGTTGAAAGTTGAGAAATTTTCCTTCCACAGTGAATAGACAATTAACTAAGTCACTCCTTTGCTCTACATGTGCATGTATGTACTGTACATGAATGACATTTGATATTGCGAATCGGAAGTTTTTGTTCTATATCGTATTTCAGTAAATCGTATTTAAGAATTGACAATACCAACCTATATTAACGTATCCGTCCATGAAGGATTGGTAGAACGTATCAACACTTTTCTCAATTCCATCAGCCGGCTTGAGGTAACCGGATATGACGTGATTGGCAAGTGCCCGAGTTTCTGCTGTGATTGGTTGAAAGTACCTCGTCACTTTGTGTTCCATGTCAGCAAACCGGAAGTCGACTAATTCACCTACAGCTCCCGGTCGAGTCAGATAAAGCTAAAAAATAAAATTAAAAGGATGGAATAGATCATTTTGGGAATAAGAGCAAAATCAATATTTACGCCAAGTATCCGAAGATCTAGACAACTTACCGAACCACTGAGGAACACATCGATAGGCGTGGAAGGTCCCACGCAAACTCGGGTCTTTGCTCTTTCCTCTATGCCTTCATTTATCGCTGGGGAAAACAGATAGGCAAACCGTATTAGATGCTACACAAAATAGTTTCAATTCTACGTTTATGACGTCTTTACATACAAAAAGAAATAAATGTACATTTGTAATTGTTTCGAAAACAAAACGATGGGAACAAATTCCGTTAATGATATTTAATCAGAGATTTACCTTTAAAATACCATGTCCAATAGTTGACGCCAGGTCCAGGCGTCCCACAATAGTCACAGTCCGTCCAAATTACTGTTGGGACGAACCCCCGCGCCTGTATGTGATAAATATGCAATGTACATGTAAGTGCGCCATCTATCGGATTCGTCGATGCACTACTGCATTCTTTTTATGTAGTCAAATGAAGACTTGACCTTTTAGTTACCTTTTCACTAGCATATAAATACTGGTACATGTATAGTTAGAAATCAACACCATGGAATAATGGAGCATAATCATATTCAAATCTCAGACATACCAAGCATGTTGTCATTTCGTCTATCGTCTGCAAAACCATGGCGGCAAACCCGATTCCGTCACAGCTCAGGAGGGATGTCTCGATGACGCAAGCAATCTCCGTGTTGTTTTGGCCCGTGTTGTTGTGAATAGCAACTGGTTTTATAGCTTGTAGGTACGTATACGTGTGTCGGACGTCTGAGAAAAGAAAATATATACGTATACATGTCATTGTATGTCACAGATACCGGTCATACATATGTATTTTCGGACTTGAAAACGACTTATTTCTTTGCAATATATACATCCCTCCTGAATCCTCAAATTCTGTACAAGTAGACCATAATACAACAGAAAATGAAGCATGCTCGATTCAGCATTGCAAAATTACAACATATGTCAGACAATTAAGGAAGCCACCCACAAACATCATTCAAAACGACTGAGAAAGGACTTCTCACCTCTTGCAACGCCGTAAATGCGACCTACGAAGTTGACAGGTTGAACGGCAAACAAGACCACCATCAGCCCAATCACTACTAACACTCGGCGATGCTTCAGTAGCATTTTTGTTGGAAAACGACGCGGAACTTTGCGGAGACCCTCCATGCATAAATGTGGACCTATTACTGAGATGACCCACCGTAGAAAAACCTGTTCACCCACTCACTCATAGCCTCCTGTGCAGGCCCCGCGGCGGTGGGGAAGAGTTTTTAACGCATTATATTAGTATAGCCGGCCATCCTACATAGCCGCCGAGAGAAGGTTCCATTCCGCCCGTGGGAGGCTACTCACTCAAATCACTCAACAAACTTGATTAACAAAAATACAGAAAACAATACATACAAGTGACACATACAAAGGCTTTCAATATAAGAATACAAATACTTTACATACATGACCGACATAAACATTAAAAAAAAACTAAGACGCCCACACCCTCAGCTACCCCCCGTGCTTATACTAGTAATCATCATAATACTATTGATATTACATACAGGATTTCTACATATTCATGTAGGCTTTGTACCCTAGTCCCTCCAGTCTACTCTAGTCAAAAGAGACCCGTGTCTATAATGTCAGTTCTAGAATACAGTCTGTAGACAGAAACATGTTGTTAAATACATTTTCATATACAATATGTATTATTAAAAGTTCATTAAGCCTCTCAGGTCACTATTTTTTGCCAACTGTGATTGTAAAAATTCTTCTTGACATTTGCTCCATTTCATATTCTGGTAGTAACACATAACATCTTCCATGGGTAGATCTGAGTTCAAAAATCCCCACACTACCTGGCACTTTATGGCTAGATCAATCAGAAACGAGCTTTCCTGCCAAGCACTAGGGACCCGGCTATTACTGGTCACCATGGCAACGGCCTGGCGGAAAAGCTCGTCTGAATCAAAGCGAGGTTGTGCGTTTAGCCGTTTGTGGTCGAACGGGTCTCCACTAACAAAGTAACTTGTGATGTTACTGTTGTAGTAATACGTCAAAGCCGCAACACAAGACTCGTCATGCACCAGATAGTCACATTTAGCCAGCAACAAAATGTCGGTCAAAATCTGTTCACCTAGCAAACGCCCGGACTCTTTATTCTGCAATTTGTTGCTCATCTCTTCTCCCCTCAGAGCGTTGATGTTTAAGACTCTGTTATCTCCGAACTCTGCTTTGAATACGCCAATTGATTCGTCCTTGTCTGAAGCTACGAATATGCGGATTTCTTTGCCAGTGTTTGTTGCAATGATGTTGTTTATGAGACGTTGTACGGTTTGAAGAAAGTACTGCAGTTTGGGCATTTGCTGCTCAAAGAAGTCCATTTCACCAACATGGCCACTGTGAAATCTTAAATGTACACCTGAAAATGGAATCATGTATATTTGTCAGTAGAAGAAAAGACGTTGTTTTCTCATCATGTGGATGAAGGAAAGACTAAATAAAGCAATGAAAAAACCCCAATAAACTCAATTTAGCATACCCGTTTAATAATGGTACTTTCTTCAAAAGACCAGTGTTGAAAGTAGTGATAAATTTTCCTTCCACAGTGAATGCCAGATAGCTCTGTAGCTCTACTTGTGCATGTATAAAATGTATACTGTATATGAATGGCATTTGATATTGCAAATTGCTGTAAGCTTTCTTAGAGCAAGAAACAAATACAAAAATTGACAATACCAACCTATATTAACGTATCCGTCCATGAAGGATTGGTAGAACGTATCAACACTATTCTCAATTCCATCAGCCGGCTTGAGGTAACCGGATATGACGTAATTGGCAAGTGTCCGAGTTTCTGCTGTGATTGGTTGAATGTACCTCGTCACTTTGTGTTCCATGTCAGCAAACCGGAAATCATCTAATTCCCCTGTTGCTCCCGATCGAGTCAGATAAAGCTAAAGAAATGCAGTCTTGTATAAATCGTTTTGCGAACAAATACAAAATCAACGTCTACGTCATTATACGAAAGTTACGGAAGATAGCATACCGATGAACTGTAGAACAGAGGGGTGGAAGGTCCCACGCAAACTCGGGTCTTTGCTCTTTCCTCTATGCCTTCATTTATCGCTAGGGAAAAAACAGAGAAACTTATTGAAGAAAGAATTACACAATTAGTGTTGGCGCGCATTAACTTGAGCATTAACGGTAATTGATAAATATTAATGGCACACGAAATAAATCTCCATGTAATACGACGTTTAGAAACAGATATATCATGTTTACGTACGAAGGAACATAAATACAATTCCCTGAAGTACAACGTATAGATTATGAAATTAGTTTTTATAGTTGAGTTATCAATCAGTTAATGATATCTAATCAGAGCTTTTACCTTTAAAATACCATGTCCAATAGTTGACGCCAGGTCCAGGCGTCCCACAATAGTCACAGTCCGTCCAAATTACTGTTGGGACGAACCCCCGCGCCTGTATGTAATAAATACGGGTTGCCTAACTGTGACACAGCCTAAGGGATGCATGTAAGCACGCCATCTATCGGATATCGAAGAACTGCTGTATGTCGCTGTACTTTTGTTGTGTCAATAAAGTTCTTCATATGTATTCCTTTTATACATGTATAGCCAAGTGAACACCTGGCCTTTTCTTTACCTTTCTACTAGCATATAAATACATGACATATAGCTAAAGATCAAAATCATATTCAAATTTCAGACATACCAAGCATGTTGTGATTTCGTCTATCGTCTGCAAAACCAAGGAGGCAAACCCGATTCCGTCACAGCTTCCGAGGGATGTCTCGATGACGCAAGCAATCTCCGTGTTGTTTTGGCCCGTGTTGTTGTGAATAGCAACTGGTTTTATAGTCTGTAGGTACGCATCCGTGTACCAGAGGTCTGAGAGAAGAAACATGCATATATAACATCCGTGTCCATAATATCACCAGGGTCCATAATATCGCCACCTTGAGAAACAGTGAGCTTTAAGATATTTTTACTGCAACATACTTATGGTATGCACTCCTGCAAACCTCAAATGTACATATCTAGACTCAGAGTGTATTGCAGTAAAAATATCTTTAAGCACACTTTTTCTCAAGGTGGCGATATTATGGACCCTGGTGATATTATGGACACGGATGTTATACGGATATATAGATTTCAGTGCCCCATACCAGTCATGTATGTAGGTCATGCAGCATATAACTGACAATAAAAAAATTCACATTAATCAACAAACAGCCAATGATTGGTTCATATATTTGGACACTGCTGGTTGGGACATATTTTTGTTACAATTACCTCCTGTGACATTGAATCTTACTGGAAAGAAATAGTCTCTCATAACATTGTGCTCCTTATGCATACATAAGATACCTTGTTCTTTTACCGGTTATAGTGATACGCAGATACTGTAACTACCAATAAAATCACAAACTTCATCATTTTAGTTAAACTAAAAATTAAATCCTTCATTCTCGATTCAGCATTGCAAAATAAAACATATCCCAGGCAATCAAGGAAGCCACCCACAAACACCATTCAGAACGTCCAGACTGAGAAAGGACTTCTAACCTTTTGCAACTCCGTAAATGCGACCTACGAAGTTGACAGGTTGAACGGCAAACAAGACCGCCATCAGCCCAATCACTAGCAACACTCGGCGGTGCTTCAGTAGCATTTTTGTTGGAAAACGACGCGGAACTTTGCGAATACCCTCCATGCATAAATGTGGACCTATTTTAGAGTAGGCCCATCGTATAGAAACCAGTCCAACTGGGTACTAATTTTATTAATGATACTTATTACACTAATTGTGTGCACAACACCGCTTTAGACCAAAGGGCTTCCCCCGTATTGACACTGCACAGATGTCCGACCCTTTCATGGCATTTTCAAAGCATATTTTGGAGCCCGTCTTCTCTCTCTTTGCTTTCTCGTCTTTGTATCCATCGTTGTGGCTTGCAATTGTGTCTTGATAAACAAATCTCCTTTAGACTGTATCCGTTTTTTTTGCATCCGAAAAAGGAAGCACAGGATAATATTCTGTACTTTATTTGTACTTAACGTTCTGATGGGAATGATATCTTGCGATTCAGTGATATCTAACAATACATTAAAGCTCACACCTCATGTTGTACATGTAAGTAAATATACATTAGCCATATAGAATGTTGTACAAGGAATGCTCTCTCTCTCTCTTGTTATCTCAGAACAATGCTCATACCTAATACAAATACTTCTCTCAACCGGGACGGGGGGCGATATCAACTTCCAACAACCTCTGACATAATGATGACGTCACAAGTGCATAAAGCAATTAATTAGATTAATTAATTAAAGCAATTTTGATCTATTGGTTCAGAGAGCTTACATGTAGTGATGCAGAATATTCCGGTGAGTCCAATCTAAACGTTTGAGTTGGAGATATTAGTTTGATCATTCTATATCAAACGACGTTTGTAGTGTTGCCTTGGTATTTCTAGTTGTAAAAGAGATTTAACATGTTTGTATGGCATGCATGACTTTCACTCAAGAATATGGGACGTCAACCTCATCATTACAATTGTGACTACAAAATGGAACACTACCGTTACATTGACAAAGGATGCAGACGATCTTCCCACAAGTTGGCGCCCAAACACGAAACACGGGCACGGCAATCTTGTTGCATTCTTCACGGTAAGGTTGAACCTCAGCCAAATTTCTTCATAATCTGACAAGTTGTGTATCCCTTTACCATCGCCGTCGTATATGCCACCACCATTGCCTTGTTGACCGTTGCCTTGTTGACCGTTGCCTTGTTGTCCGTTGCCTTGGCCCCCGTTGCCTTGCCCACCGTTGCCTTGCCCACCGTTGCCTTGCCCACCGTTGCCTTGCCCACCGTTGCCTTGAGCACCGTTGACTTGACCACCGTTGCCTTGACCACCGCTGCCTCGACCACTGCCATGCAAATCACTGTTGTTACCATGCGACCCGCCATCTTGCAAATTTGTGCCATTGTTTCCTTCATAACGTGTGTCATTCTGGTACTCATTGGTGCCATTTGTGCCAGAATGTGATGCACTATCGCCGTCTCCATTTATTCCAGAACTATTTTGATCATGATCGGTGCCATTTTCCCTGCCCCTCGTGAGACCGTCACCATTTTCACTGTCTCCAATGTTCTGGGATTGTTCATTTGAATCACCTCCCTGGTCTCCGCTATCAACACCGCCATCTGGAAGAGGCTGCGATGTTGTGACTGAAAAACAAGAACAGTACACTTCAATACCTACAAACACAGCCGTGTGTGTGCGCGTCTGTGACTTAATGAAACATACAGACGTATAATATGTTACCAAGTCTTACGAATAATCCACGAAACGATCTTATCACTCACGGCAGTTTGCTGGATCCTCGTCACTTCCATCCTCACAGTCGTCCCACCCGTCACACGTGAAGTGGCTAGGGTAACATAAGTCATCACAGAAGAACTCATCCGCTGCGCATCGAAATGCTAGCAAACAACCACAATAACATACGGGATTAAAAGAGCGCTTTGTTAATCACTCATTCATTCACTCACTCACTCACTCACTCACTCACTCACTCACTCACTCACTCACTCACTCACTCAATCAATCATTTAAAGTAAATTCAATTCAACTGGAACAAGTCATCATTTTCATCAACTTCATATATTACATACCCGCACACAAATAGCTTTCTAAATGACATAAATTTTGACTTTTTTCGCATTCTTCTTTTTTTTTAAACGTCGGTTTTCACTTTGCTGTACATCGTTTAGTATCGAATGTTGCATTGGGGAAGCGTACATGTATTTATGCATTAGGACAGTCGTAAAAGTATTTTTTTCTAATATTAGCTTATTTTCATGTGAATATTACACCATATAGGACCCTTTTCACGTCAACGAAATGAGCTATTCATGATTACATGACGCCATTATAACGTCACCATATGTTACTTACCACAATCCTCTTCGTCGCTTCTGTCGGAGCAGTCGACAAGGTTGTCACACACAGACTGACGCGATATGCAGCGTTTGTCGCTGCCGCATTCAAACTGGTCCAGTCTGCAAGCTGACATGAAATAACAAGCGTTGAAACCCATGCGCAAAAATGTGACATCCATCCCCATATTGAGCTATATTTTGGGTACCCGAAACGAGGTTTTGCACGACGTGAGCTTACTCAGGTCGCGTCGGTTTGCACGCGTGCTAAGACTCAAATCGCCTTAAGTTTGCACGCGTGCCGTTCCTCAGGCGGCCGACGTAAGTTGAGTAAGCTCACGTCGTGCAAGCCCTCATATTCGGGTCCCAGTATATACCTGCCATATTCTGTGTTTTCTGCATCCAGTCGCAATCAAGCCATTGTGAGAAGCCTGATGGTAAATTCAATATCTCAGAGGGTCTATAACAATATCCACATGCATATGTGCAAATGTTAGAAGCTTCGAAACGACGTCAATAAGAATTGCATCATGACATAAGTACCTTCAACAGCGGACTTCTCGGTACTCTTTTGCAGCAATCCGCCGCTGTGCGGAGTAACTTGAGTGATGCGGCTTACACGTGACGAGGGACGCGCATGCGTATGCCCCGGCTGAAGTGAGTCTGTGATGCCAGCAGGCGAGGGACCGCCCCTTGATGCTGTAGTTGACAAAGCTCTTGGGAGCTGCGGGGTGACGTGCCTTTTAGCTGTGGTGGGGCTAGATGTTCTCGTTGGCGTGGTGGTAGCTAAAGTAGTTGTTGGATCTGGAAAACGAATGGGGTTGTTCATACTCGAAATACGTTTAGAAAATAGCAATATAATTTCCAAAATTCGACCTATTTAAATTTCTAAACACAAACTAGTGACCTATACGTTTTAAACAGTGTAATTATCGAACTAAGAGAAAGACATGATTTCGCAATCAGTATTAGTCACCCATCTCAAAACAATGTAACAACGCCTAGAGTTAATTCAAGATACGTAGGTACTAGTATTTAGTAGAACAGAAGTTTTGTACTTACTACAGTTGGGAATGGGGCAGAAATCCCAGTAGAACGAATGTTCACTATCGTCAGGGTTGACGAAGCACAGCGGTCTACTGTCTGAGAATGGATTTCTGCAGTAGTTCTCTTGGAGACCGTACTTCTCATAATCACTGGGCCTCACGACTTCTTGTACCTTTTCATGGTCCCAGAACAGACATTTTAAGCCACGTTCAGTATAGTTCACGTGGCCTCGATAGGACTCCCCTATTCCTTCATAACATTCTCTGTGCGGATCGACTGAAACAATTAAACATTTACAGTTATGAGTTGTTTTTCCCTCACGTGACAATGACGTGATATTGTCCACCATGCTAGACGATTAAACCCGAAAGTTGAGAAGTGAATTTGAATGAGTGTCATGTGGACACAAATGACCTGTACTGTCACTGTCAGGTTCAAATAATACGCATTGTGGCAGTGACACACTTGTCTAGAGAACAACCATCTTTACAATTTAAAAATAGTGACTTGTAAGAATCTCAAGTGTACCATGGCATATATCTTTGTGAGATAGCTTTCAGCAAAAGCAAGGGATGAATAGGTAAGATTCCTCTGTCCAATACTTGCTTAAGGCCAAAAAAATGTTTTGACCATCGCCGTGTATAGTCAATCAATATATGAAAAGCAATTTTTACACAGACTTTGATAGATATTATGCAATATTGAGCAGTGATTTTACTCTAGTTATCGATTGTAAAACGGACTTATTTTACCTGCAATGGAAGCTGTACAAAGAGAATGAACCCCGAAGGACTTGATGTATCCAACTGGGTTCCCGTAAGTATTACTAGGTGTCAGTACAGCTAGATATCTGAACGTTTCATTTCAAAGTACTTGTCAACAATGAGCATACATGATCTTGATCTAGACTTATGTGTGGCGTGACATTACACATGTATCTAGACATGTTTTTCACGAACATGCCGTGTATAAACTATTTAAACTGTCAATATTAACTACCCCATCTGTGGATAAATCAACCTGACACGTTTCTTCCAGTTGACGTCATCATTACAAGCTCTTCGCACTTATCTATTTCTGCATGACGTAATGCATTGAACCTAGACAGTGAAATGGACGATTTGAAATTTGTACGTTAAAGGCATCCAATGCAGTTTTTAGGGCTTGGAAACCAGATTTTTTCAAAGTCAATATTCTAGTCACTTATCTACATACTGATTTGAAACCACACTATCTCAATGTATGTTGACCCACATGGAACAAAAATACCCCCAATTCTGACAGAAAACGGTTACTGGAAAAGCCCTTGGCTGATTTTAGGGTACCAACCATAGAATAAAGGACTCATCTTGGGGCTTGTTTTTGCAGTTTTAGACATCCAAAGTATAAAAAACTGATTAAAATGTGCTAATGTGAAGCAGTATGTGTCAATATCACGAAGATTGTCTTATTCAGAAATTTTCCAGTTTTTCTGCTCTAAAATCGCATTGGATGCCTTTAAGCTTGTCGCATTCGGTAGCTGATTTCCATGACGATATGCCATGTGGGTACAACTTACCGGTACTTGAGGTCTCCGAGTAAACAGCAAAAGTCTTAACACAAAGTAAGAAAAAGATGTTCTTCAAAATACGCGTCATCTCCAAACCGCTGGTGCAGTCAGCGTTGTTGTCAGTGTCTCCTGTGGGTATTTTCAAAATATAAGTGCATCTCTTGTTCTCTTAAACTAGTTTAAGTGTGTATCACGTTTGTTTTTGTCTTCCGTTAAAATCAACCTTCAATCTTTTTTGGAAATAATAAGAAATCCCATGCGATACTTAGTTTTCGTTACATTAAGTTTAGTTTCATGCCTCTTTCGAATTCATTTTCCTTTTTATATTTGATTCTTGTACATGTGTTTTAGTACAATCGCATAGTAAGCCGAAAACAAACGCCTAATACGTAGCTTTACATGCAAGCAGTTCACATTTCTAGATATGTATACGTTGAGTTGTCGTAATTTTCCAAAGGCATTTGGTCCTTTCTCTATATACTCATTATACACCAAGCTAAACATTGTGATATCTGTGGAATGCATTTACATTAACTTGCGGAATATGCACCGTATTGAGAACGCAGTAATAATAAAAAGATAGATCTTACCTTTTCTGGTTGTACCGCGTTTGGAAACAACCTCATGCTTTGCAAGCTAAGCACTTTGTAACTGTGATCAATATGTACGTGTTCTGTTACAAGTACTGTCAGCAGCGGGAGTTTGGTCGTCCCCTCGGCGCAGTGGTGACGGTTCAACATTAATAATTGAGCACGTCTCAATTGAACGTCATTATTCGTGTGAAATGGAGACTCGTTTTGCCCACCCGCATGGCCTTTGAAGCCGGAGAAACCGAACATTAATCAACCAGTCTTTGCGTTGAAAGGAGTGTGGTGATAAAAGCGATGAAACCGTGACCACGACGTCCCCACAGGACACCACACAACATGTCGGAATTGCGCCAAAAAACAGTTACTCAAGTAACTGGATATGGTTTTGGGAAGTCAGACGTTTCAAGTAGCATTCACTATCTTTCATCAGTGTCACTGGAGAGCTGTCAGAAAGACAGGTTTACAAGCACGAACTATTCATTGATATTTGAATAAGTGAATACGATTTTTTTCTGGAAAAGTTCGTGCGTATAAACCTGCCTTTCTGACATGTACAGGTATCAAGTGTCAGTGACGTCTGACCGTATCCAAAATCATGTCCAGTTGCCCGAGTAACTGTTTTTCTTGTACCTAGTACCTGTCTAACCTTCAGCGACATGATGTCGCAATTTGACGTCAAGAAACTGATGTTTCATAGTTTAGTGTTTGTACGTGTAACACGACTTCAGGAAGACTAGTATGTATACTATACTAATTAGATATTCTGTACAAACTAATGGAAATCGATCAAATAAACAGAACAAAACAAACCTATCATCTGCCTTCATGGAAAGATACAATCATATGGTTGTGTTATCTTATCTTGAAAATTCATCTGTGTTGGTAGAAATCATTATGAAGCAAGTTTAAACTGTAATTTCCAACACAACAGAGACGGGGGGCGCCACAGACTTTCTGCAACCTATGATCCACTGCTCACGGAGTCACGTGTGTTATCTGCATGACGTCACGGAAGCGGTGGATTGATCATTCCATGACAAAGACTGGAGTTGTACAGTCGAAAATTGGGGTGATTCCAATTTGTTGTGTTGGAAATTACAGTTTAAACTTGCTTCATAATATATGGTTGTGTAGTATAGATCTGAAAAACCAACCTGTCAAAAATAACAACACTAACAAACTACCAATGGACTCGTCAAACAGGTTTATTGTTTAAAAACAGGCTTCCCTCTGTACAAAGTTGTCTTGCTCGCCTTAGATGACACATTCACTTAACATTTCTTACCAAGAAACGGTAACAACAGTCTAGAAAAGTGGTATCATTTCAGGTTATAAAAAGTGAATCTAATGTTTTCTGAAATTCGCCGCAGTAACAAACCGTCACAACTATCAATGTATATAATGCAACATCTTGCAAGACATCCAGTGATTCATATCAAAAAGGTAACATTATCCATATTTTCTGCAGAAATGTCAAAATCAATTCAACTTCTTAGGATATCTGTAAAACAGTCCAAACAGCAAAAACGATTCTAACATTATAACTAGAATGAATTCTTCAAACTGACTAAAAGACTTACTGTTTCTCTCGTTTTCATGCATGTCTCCGGGCACATAATCGGGCGAGAGAAAGTTCAATGTCTTCGTTTCTCTATTTCTTCTTGGTACAAAGGTTTATACAAGCTATAGCATCAACGGCAGCGTACGTATAAGATATGGAATTGAATACGTGGTATAGGTGTTGGAGTGCTTCAAACTCTTCTTACGTTTGTTGGATTTATTTGGGATGTTTTAAAAATGAATTGGTCTAAAAATATTCTGTGGTACGTGTAGAAATTACTTCCGCTTCCTCCAAACAAACAAAACTACGGCAAAGATGACCACAAACAAGATGAAGAAGATGCCTCCCGTGAACAGAGCAACGGTGAATACACTTCCAGTGTCCGAGATGATCACAATCCCCTGTCCTTGTCCTGCCGCAACAGATAGAAAAAGAAAATTGATGAGTTCCAACGCCAGTGTTCTTGTTAGAAACCATAAACTAGCCCGGGTGCCATCCTATTTGTATGCCAGGGCTCCCATACCTAAGAAATTTCTTAGGGGGGAGTATGAGAGCCCCGGCATACAAATAGGATGGTACCCAGGCTAACCATAACGGCCTCACACAACCAAGTTGACGAATGGAGAGACTGAGATCTTTCTTCTACCAAGCAACACCGCTCTATGACACATCTCTGAAATGATTCAAGCTGCAACTTGTAATTGCAAGCCAATCATAGATCACAACATGCCAACATATTGGATTATCACAATCAATAAAAGAGGCAATAGACCCCACCATAACTATAAGCAGGCTGAACAACAGAATGTTTATGAATCACATCGGACCGACCTTGATAATCATCATTGTCCACAGACCTCCCCGCCTCTGTTTCAAAAGCTTCCAACTCGTTGACGATATCGATGGTCTGGTCTTTCTTCTCATCAGTTGAACATTCTGAAAATAGTTACAGAAAAGGCCACATCAAACTTCGTTGTTAAAGATACATCCATGACTTAAATGTAGAACACGGAAAATTACGCACATCATGTGCAATGTCTTTAAAAATCATTTATGACATTGCACCTGATATGGTAATTTTACGTGTTCTCCATTTATTAAAATTATTTAGACGCTTAGGTTCATTATTCACTCATGGCCTACATGTAGTTTACAAACACAATGTGGAAGTTTTCTTTTCTATTGTCAAATATAGGTTTTCAAAAATGACTTATTTTGCATTGTCTCCACGAATAAAAAGACAAAAAGATGTTGCATGGACAAGAAAACATTCCATAAGCGTATCGTATTTCCTGTTTATCAAAATTGTAAGTTGTAATTGTTTTTAGAAAAAAAGTAATTGTAAGGAGAATAATATTACAGAACGTACCTAGAATAGTCAAATTGACGTCAGCGTAGGAAAGTTGTTGTGACACCAGCATGACTTCACATCTGTACGTCCCAGAATCCTCTCCTTTAACCCTTAGAATCCTAAGGGAGGCGTGGTCATCAACGGCCTCCAGTCTGTCGACCAATCCCAGCTCGGCACTTCGGCGTTTGTTGTAGAAGGCGTGTCTGTCGATATACGTTAGCAGGGGAGCACCCTGGGTACCGTTTTCTCCCACTCTGTACCAGTTGACGCGGTGGTGGGTGTTTCTGAGTCGGGATCTCAGCGTGCACTTCAGCGTGACGTTGGTGGACTTGAGCACGGTGACCTTCCCCTCGGTGGTAACTTTCGGTTTGGAGCGGCTGGCTGGTGCAGGGGTAGGACCAGGCGTCTGTGGGATGGCTGTCGTCACATAGGCTGCACGTATAAACATGGTGATCGTACGTAATAATTAGTTTGTCAATTTATACGGGACTACGTACATTCATAACAGGTGCACTAGCTCAATCGGGATTGCATGGTGTAATTTAATATTATTGCATTGTCATGAATGTCTTTTATTGTCAGGTCTCATTTGCAAGAGAGGAAATAAAAAGTCTAACGTTAAAGGAACATCCAGGGCCTCGACAAGACTTTTTCAGAACACAATCATTCAGGCCGGGTCCTTGACAATCATAAGCCCTTTCCAGTGCCGCCGACAGCCCGTACCGCCCGCGTGCAGGGCGGGGCGTATCTCTATGTAGTGCCGACTCCCACCAGAGCCGCTCGCGCACCGGCAAATGCGCTAATGTTTACAAGAAAAAATCATTATAAACACTCGTTTTCGATTTTTTGGGTGGTCTAGTGTCTTTATACAGGCACTCAACTGTCCATTAATGCCGTCTATGCTAACATGTAAATGTGTAGCTCTGGGTCATTATACGATCTAGTCGGACCATATTCTATACGACACGCCGGAATATACGACAATGCGCTATACAAATATGCATTGTTTTTACAATGGTGTGAATGGTAAATGATTTGGTGTTTTGAATTCTATACAGATACCCGAAATATACAACTAAAAGAAATACAATTAAGTGGACTCCACCGTTTCATTTTCAACGACGTCTGTCAGAGATCTAGAGGCCGCCTGTCAGGTGAGGAAGTGCAGTAGACTCATCCAGAAAGTATAGTAGGCTCATCCGCGGAGCCATACGTCATCGCGGCATATCTTCAGATTATGTCGATATAAACAAAACATGTAAGGTACACACAGGGTAGGACTCCATCCTTGATCGCTTTATACACACAAGGTAGGACTCCATTCTTGTTCGCTTTAGTTATTACCTCCATGGAAAATGGAGGTATTGTTTTTGGCGCGTGTGTGTGTGTGTGTCTGTGTGTTTGTGTTTCCGCACATTTGTATTCAGCATAACTTCATAACGCCTTTATGGATTGAGATGATGTTTGGTATGCTGATAAGTCTTAGGAAGACAAAGGTCAAGGACAAATATGGGCCTCCTGGTGGATGACCTTGGTATTGCAGCAGAACCTCCGGTTTTTGTATCTTTTGTCCTGAACATGCTATGGTCATGACTTTTTGGTGACAGATAGCTAATCCTGTCAGTGATAAGTGGTGTGGGTTTGGTCCCCCTAGCAGTGTGTTTTGGAACTGCAGGGGACTTTCTGTCGAAATCTTCTAAAGCCAATAAATCCAGATAGGAAAAACGTATTTTCATCATTTCTGGTGTGTAGGTAGCTGAGAGAGAGCTGTACATAATTGAATACAAGTTATGCAAATGAGGACTTAATTTGCATGATTAAGGAGGAAATTCTATAATTACAGTGTTTTATATAGTAGTTCTTTTATACATGTTATCTATCTAATTTGTGGCAGGCGGAACATCAACAGATAACAATTATGCAAATGATGACCTAATTTGCATAATTAATGTGAAAATTCTGTGACTCCTTATTGGTGGATGATGGGAATTTTATACCTCGTGACATGGGTAAGTTACTTATGGGTTATATGCATATATTTTGTTAATGTAGAGGTTATTTGCATAATTAATGAGGACATATTGAAATGAAGTCTGGCAAAGCAAGCCCATATTTCATGGAGGCATGAGATCTCGGAACTCTTGTTTTGTATTGTGAGTTTAATTAATTGGGAACATATTTTGTTGTTCGACTATGATAACCATCCTTGCTGTTTTGATTAAATCAACAACATTTTGCTAAGTTTTTCCTGTTTTCCTTCGTACCAGTCTTATTGGATTTTTTACAAGTTACGCAAGGCACCAAACGAGTTTTCGTCTATGATATTATAATTATTCATTACTTGTTATGGGTTCACCACACCACGAAGTGGTGGTGAACCCATATTGTCTTTTCTGATGTTTCTCCTCCTCCTCCTGCCCATTTTTTATGGGTTCACCACACCACGAAGTGGTGGTGAACCCATATTGCTTTTTCTGATGTTTCTTCTCCTCCTCCTTCTCCTCCCCCTTCTCCTCCTCCTGCCATATCTTTAAATGGATTCAGCTTCTTCATTTTAGGGCCTAAGGTCCTGAAATTTGGTATGGAGGTACAGTGGGCAAATACCCCTAGGCGTTTTTTACATTTTTGTGATACAGGCTTTTAGAATGGTTTTATTTGAGTTTTTTGGCTGTGTTATAGCAAATGTATTACTGCGTTAGTGTGCCGTGTTTACCACGTCTGGGCATGAGTCATCACAATGGAATGCAGGGCATCAACCAATAGGCATACAGCTTTCCTCTATACTTCTTGCTGATTGGCTGTTGGGATTTAACTTGATTAACACCCGCACAGAGCATTTCCACCTGCACAGAGCATTTCTTGCTGATTGGCTGTTGGGATTTAACTTGATTAACACCTGCACAGAGCATTTCCATACTGACAGTATGTCTGTATTCTAAGTGTTTTGGTAGGTATTTCAAGCTTTTCTGCTCCAGCATTGGAATGCGGGGGCATTGTAAACGTTTTTTTATTTTTAATTTTTGTAAAAATCAACAGTTTGCATTATGCAATTAAAAATCCTAACCAATAAAGTAGGGAATAGCTATCCAACTGTTGTTTTAGTTGTATGTTACTTCATATTATAGTTATATCAATGTAATTTACTAAATCATTGTTTTCCCTTGTGTTTCTCATTCTTTCCCTGCCATGTGGTAAAATGTGGTGAACCCATCGCTGTATTTGCTCCAAAGCAAATATTGGCCTTTCTAGTTTAAATGGATTCATCTTCTTCATTTTAGGGCCCAAGGTCCTGAAATTTGGTATGGAGGTACAGTGGGCAAATACCCCTAGGCGTTTTTTACATTTTTGTGATACAGGCTTTTAGAATGGTTTTATTTGAGTTTTTTGGCTGTGTTATAGCAAATGTATTACTGTGTTAGTGTGCCGTGTTTACCACGTCTGGGCATGAGTCATCACAATGGAATGCAGGGCATCAACCAATAGGCATACAGCTTTCCTCTATACTTCTTGCTGATTGGCTGTTGGGATTTAACTTGATTAACACCTGCACAGAGCATTTCCACCTGCACAGAGCATTTCTTGCTGATTGGCTGTTGGGATTTAACTTGATTAACACCTGCACAGAGCATTTCCATACTGACAGTATGTCTTTATTCAAGTGTTTTGGTTGGTATTTCAAGCTTTTCTGCTCCAGCATTGGAATGCGGGGCATGAACGTTTTTTTTTTTTGAAAATCAACAGTTTGCATTATGCAATTAAAAATCCTAACCAATAAAGTAGGGAATAGCTATCCAACTGTTGTTTTAGTTGTAAGTTACTTCATATTATAGTTATATCAATGTAAATCATTGTTTTCCCTTGTGTTTCTCATTCTTTCCCTGCCATGTCGTAAAATGTGGTGAACCCATCGCTGTATTTGCTCCAAAGCAAATATTGGCCTTTCTAGTGTGTTAATCCTTTCCCAAGTACGTAAGTAACCTCTAAGGTTGTGGTTGATAGTGCATTGTCAGAGAAGAATGTAAAGAAGTACACAGACCTTCTGTAATGTTTGTAAAGGCAAAGGAACCGGACCAGCTCCCGTACCTGTGATAGTAAGGGGGAAATATACAATGTATGTCATAATTTAAATACTAGTATACACGTAAAACCTAACATGGCCTTTCGTTACTGTAAATAGATGTGTTCAAAATGGTATCGGTAGTAACATGAAAAAAGCAGAAATTCTACTGAAAAATCTATTTGTCACGTGAAATGGAAAGTTAACTCTAGATCATACCCAAGAGTTTGGACTCCGTTCTGGTCAGAACCCTGGTACGAGGCCTGGCCTGGGATCTTGTAGCCAGTCACTTCTCCACCGCTGGCGGGGATCCTGCCGTCATGGATAGCGGCACGGCAGATACTAGAGTCCTAACATAACACATACAGGCAACGTGTCAGCACTACCTGTATTCCAATTGTCCCGAATATACAAATGACTACACAAACATCTGAACGGCGCACAGAAGGTACATGCACTCATTAGTGACGAAACGTTTCTAATCAGATCAACAGTTCTACAGCAAACAGTCCTTCACTAGTGCACTTACGTCAGTATAGATGCCTTTTCCCCACACAGTGCCTCCCATCTCAGCGCAACCGGCGGGACAGTTAACCCTGGTGATGAGGAAGAATGATAAAAAAAAGACGATTTTAGAAAAAGATGAGCACCTTTAAAACTAAAACAACATTGAAACTAGAAAGATCGACATTTGCTTTGGAGCAAATGCAGCAGATGGCTTCACTACACACCGTACCAAAAATGGGCCTGTCCCACTCCCGCACAAAGAGATTGTTTTTAAATCACCCTTGTCCAAAATGTGAAGTGTTACAACAGATTAACAAATGGTACGACATTTTATCGATGTTAAGGTGCCTTACGTGTAGGATTCTCCTGTGTTTACGTCTGGGATGTCCCTTGACTGTGTGTGACAGGTCACGGTTTCTGTAAGTGAGCAGCAGAATCATAGCTAGAATAGTAGGTTCTCTGATCGCTTAAGTTCTCCAAGCCTCAGTAATTCTTCATTTGTTCCCGCCAGAATTTATAGTGAATTGGTCACGTCAATGTGAAATTTTCTGTTGTGATTAAGAATGTAGTAGTAATTGCTTGTCAGCATGCCGTGACACTTCTAGTAGCCCTTTGGCTGAATTGGGATACTGACAAATATTGTTATCCAGCTCAGATGTAAAAATGCTTGAATGACAAAGAAGATAAATTTAAAGTAGCAATGCTGGGAAGACTAACCTTTAGCAGGTTCCTGTAGTGGTACAATAGGCTCTGTGTGACAAAACACAAAAATACATTGACGAATGAGAAAGAGATATTTAGTGCTGCTTTTCATATTCTCGATAAAAACAAATTTATTCTTTTGATGGATTGATTATCCTTCTATCCTCGACCAAGTCGAGTAACCTATTTTGAATCGAATTGAATGACATAGATTTACGAACGACAACTAAGAACTTGATGTAGTCGAATCCGTGGACATCTATGAAGCAAAATTAAGAAACGCAAATTGTCCGCTCATTTTTCATCTGTTAGGCAACTTAGATTCATTACTCACTAGGCGTGAAGGCGAATGCGCCCTCCCATCGGCCGTACCTGAAGATTGGTCATAAAATCCGATTAAACATCAGTTGTTTACGTGTGGTACAGTGTTTTGCATTGTGTGTAGAAAATATGACTTTACATGGTTAAACAGCATTTGGTAGAAATAGTGTCATTCAAGACCTTTTTTAAGTTTCTTGGTACCTGTACGTTTGGTGTTTTGATCTTAAGGTCTGTTTTATCGAGGCTTTAGAATAATGCCACTATTATCCTTGCGTTATCCTACTGATTATCCTTGCGTTACATGTGGCCAACGTATCGTTGTAATCAATCTTCCTCCGTGTTCCCCATGGCCCATCTTCTAACTTAATACTTACTTAGTCCTACTGCCCATCCTTTGGCCTAGGCCACGGACTAGGTCCTTCCATCTTATAAAGACATACACTAATTCCAACATGGATCTATAACTCACGAACGAGTCTGAATCCCGTTCTGCTCGACCCCCAGATACGAGTCCAGCCCGGGTAGTTTGTAGAGAGTCACCTCCCCACCAGCGTCTGTCAGCCTGCCGTCATGGATAGCCGCGCCGCAAATACTGGAGTCCTGTATACATGTAGCAAAGGGACGTTTGCGCTTGGCGTATGTTTCATCACATAACGAAATTGTCGGCATTGCAATGCTAATACTACATTTTTGTATCTTGATGAAACGATGACATACATAATTTCTGTCCCTAGCTGTTAACAAGCGCTTTTCAAGGTGAATTTTCTGGTCTTTTCTTAAAGTAGTAAGTTAAATCAACCCTATCACATAGTATATTGATATCTGTGATATCTGTGTTAAAATAAGATACTTACATCTGTGTAGACGACCAGACCCCAGATAGTGCTTGTACCCGCCAGACAGCCGGCAGGACAGGTTACACTGTTAGTCAGAATCAGGGAGAGACAGGGTCAGAAACTAGAAGCCACCCTAATCTGACATCTCAAAAGCCATTGCTAGAGGCATAAGGTTTACAGCTATAGAATCATAATGGCTTTACAATACTATAGGGATCGTGATACACTACTATGTTCTAGAGCCCTAAAACAATATTTTACTATTGTTGTGACCCTAACTTCATACACTCATACACACAAAGAAATAGTGACAATAATTGTTTGCTAAGTCTTTTGCCAGTTTGCCCACTATTAAGATGTACATGTGCATGTCCAACATACCTGACATTCTGTCCATCCAACTGCCTTGCCTCCGTGTGACAGTCAATTGTGGCTAAGGAGGAAATAAGTTAGAAAGAATGTCAATTGTATGAACCTGTACCACCAACAAGACGTCAGTCACTCACACAACAGACAGCATTAGAACTAGACCTTAATTTGAAGGTAGGCGGACATTAGAACTAGACGTTAATTTCAAGGTAGAGGGACATTAGAACTAGACGTTAATTTCAAGGTAGATGGACATTAGAACTAGACGTTAATTTCAAGGTAGAGGGACATTAGAACTAGACGTTAATTTCAAGGTAGAGGGACATTAGAACTAGACGTTAATTTGAAGGTAGATGGGCATTAGAACTAGACGTTAATTTGGCGGTAGATGGACGATATCTAAACACCTTGATCCGGTTCTTCCGGCTCGTCTTGCTGCGGCATTTGCGGATCTGTGAGAGCAAACAATATTGAAATATCGTCAAATCTTTGACCAACGTATTCCTAAACATAGACTATATATGTACTTCATAATTCTGCCCCTAGCATTACTGTGTCGAATTAAAGTTATTTGTGTTCTTTGCTTCTTTACATTGTACGCTGTACTACTGCCTGTGAAGGGATCGTATATAAAAGATAGCAATATGTGGAATCGGGAATTACTTCAGTGTACAATTAAGTATGGTAATGATATAGATATTACAGCATATTAATATTTTACCTCGTGTAAAGGCAAAGGAACCGCCCCAGCTGGAATACCTGAAAGATGAATTTGGAGCATTACAATATAACAGTCTGTAAGTATAACCAATTAAAGTATATCGTCATCTGATACTGTTTTTATCAGACGAAGAGCAAAGAAATTTTGGCACAAGTACAACTTATTTCTATAGACATCAGATGAAGCGCAAGGACAATTTGACAAAAGTACAGCTTATCTTATTACGCTACATACACACATAACTACAACATTAGAGTGATTTTTACTGATGCTACGTTACCTACCGGACAGTCTGGATCCCATTCTGCTCAGACCCTAGATACGAGTCCTGTCCTTGTATTTTGTAGACAGTGATCTCACCACCGCTGTTGGTGATTCTACCGTCATGGATAGCAGCACGGCAGATACTTGAGTCCTGTGGAATAAAGGCGAAATGGACTAATTAGTCTAAGGTGTTCTACGATATCGTAGTTCAAAATAACGGTAGCAATCTCCACAGTTTATTATGTTTACCGAAGAAAAACACTATTTTTGCTACGTTTCCTCTTCTTCGTCTCCAAACACTGACCTCTGACGTGGTCAATGACCTGAATCAGACCGTCTGTCACCATGGTAATTGGTGTTGGGTTACATTATGTTGCAATTTTATAGCAGGAGGGATTTAGACTCCTGGCTGACCATATATATGAATGTTTTTGAGTAAGAATTAACAGGGCAGACACTATGCGAAGGTAAACATTATGCATTTGCTTTGCAAATGTTACCTTTCTAGTTGCAGTACTTATTGTTGTATTGTACATGTACTAAACTCACGTCTGTGTAGATCACGGTACCCCAAACAGTCGCTCCTGAGGCACATCCCGCTGGACAAATCACACTGAGGAAAGAGATATACAAAAGTATGATGATCTTCGAATCGCACTCGAACACATGGGGAGAGTAGTTTTGTAAAACTTTTTGTCGTAACTCACGTGTAGAT